GGACAAGCAAAGCAATCACTCATGACCAAAGCCAGCATGAAAATTGCACAGGCTTTAGAAGTCCTTGGCAGTGTCCATGGCTGTGCATACTGGGCTGTACCAGTGATCAGAGGGGATAAGCTTAATAACCTGTTTGACCTTAGACAAGCAATTTAACCTCTCTCTGCCTCACTATTCCCATCTGCAAAATAGAAATAAAAATATCTGCCCTACTTATCTCACAGCAATAAGATGACGAGAGGAAACTGAATATGCTTTGAAAGGAGAAATGTGAGGAGATCTGGGAGAAAAGAGCTTCAAGAAGGAGGAGGTGGTCAATGGCACCATATTTTGGAAAGACTTCTCTTCTTGTTTCCCTTAGTAATTAATTCTTGGTTCTGACACTCACTAGTTCTGTGATCTTATGCAAGTCACATCATTTCTCTAGACCTTACAGCTTATCTGTGAAATGCAGGGATGTGGACTAACAGACCTTTCATGAAGGTCCCTTCTAGTGATGACATACTTACTGTAAAGTGTGATAACTAATAATGTGACCAATAGTAACTTCCCAAAGTGAGCTCATATGGAGCGAACTCTAGAGAAGAAATGCAGCATCCTCCCTACAAATGATAAATATTAAAGAGGGGAATTAGAGACTCTGATGATGTATCTAAGGCCAACAGCAAAAAGTAGCAAAAGACAACCACCTGCTCTCAGCAGAGGATGCAAAAGAGTATTTCTGGTGTTCTAGTCCTTTCTCTAACAAGAGTGAATTCAAAGCCCCAGAGGCCTACAGCTCGTAATAAAAATAACAGCATGCTATTAAGTAAAAATGTGTTAGCTAATTACTAGTACCCTGACACAAGCCACAGTAGTCATATGGGCATTTGGAATTAAGTAGGCTGACAAGTCTTATTAAAAATAAATTGCTAAGATGGTCCACAGGCGAGGACCAAGTAAAATAATTAAATACCAAATTGTTTCTTTTTCTTGCTATAAATAGAACGATTTTAATTTTCATTTCATTTTTGCCCTAAGCATCAAAGCAGTAGATCACCTTGCTGCTGGCATTCCTCATTCCCAATGCTTGTGACTATAATAGTTAAACAGCACTAGCCTTGGCATCAGTAGACCTGGGTTCAATTCCTTGGTTCTACCTCTTACTAACTGTGATCTTGAAAAAAAATCACTTCTCTGAGGCTCAGTTTTAACGTCTGTGGGTCCTGGGCCATTGCCAGGGGTCCTGACTTTTTTCTTGCCACTGGACTTTGTGACTCTGGAAGAGACTGAGGCTGATGACTTTATGCAACTCTGCCTCACTTAAATCCAATTCATCTGCAAATCAAGACATCATCAGTGATGTCACTGGTCCTCTTTGAAAATAAAGTATGGTGGCAGCTAGGTGGTATAGTGGGTAGAGCACTGGCCCTGGAGTCAGGAAGATCTGAGTTCAAATCCAGCCTTAGTCATGTAACACTTACTAACTGTGTGACCCTGGGCAAGTCACTTAACCCCATTGCCTAGCAAAAACAAACAAACGAATGAAAATGAAGTATGAACAACAACAGCAACAACAAAATGAGCATAACACTTATATTATCTAGTTCACAGGGTTGTTATAAAGAAAATGTGTCATAATTTGCAAAGCATCATATAAATATTATTAAGCTATAGATGTAAACTAGTATTCAAAATATTAATAATATCAAGAGCCAATAGTGTATTGGATAGAGCACTGGGCTTAGAAAGATCTGGATTCTAGTCCTGATGAAGATACTAACAAGCTGTGCAACCTTAGGCGAGTCATTTAACTTCTCCTGGCCTCAGTTTCTTCATCTGTAAAGGGAAGGAGCTAGATGACCTGTAAGGTCTCTCAAGTTCTATATCTATGATCCGATCAGGTAGGAATTGAAGCCAGTCCTCGCTAACTCCAAAACTACTTCTCTAGCCACTGCACCACACTACCTCTCAACAACTTAAATAATTAATATCAATAATGGCCCTCAATATCAGTAATCAACATCAGTAAATATCAATAATACTGCTTCACATTTATACGAGTAGATGGCCATCCGAACAGCAAAGACCACGCTTTTCTTCCCCTCCCAGCCCCACTGGGTACCAATCTCCTAGCATCTACGAAACTGAAAAGGACTTGAGTCTGGGCTTGGTATTATAACAATAATTCCTAAAAATTGTATAGCAGAGTAGAATTAGAACAGGTCAAGAATTCATCCTGACAGTCTACTTGAGAAGACTTAATTCTTTACCGAATAATATGTATCTATGTAGCTTCAGGTCCTAGGGTCAAAGATCAGCTTGTAGGACTTTAATAATAATGCATTGGAATAAGGTCCTAACTGGTTTCTTGGCATCTAGTCTCTTGACATCTTTTTCTAGTCCTGAACAGCTACCAAACTGATATACTAAAACTCAGGTCTTTCGTGTATTCATAATGGAGGAATGTCACTCCTCCCCTCAGAAGCTTCTGTGGCTCACTATTACTTCTACGAAAAGATTCAAACTCCTCTGGCATTTAAAGTCCTTCATAATCTGACTGCTCTCCATCTTTCCTGGCTACTCACTCTCACACACTCTACATCTCAGACAAACTAACCTACTTGTTCTCCCCCAGAACATGACAAGTTATCTCTTGCCTTCATGCCTTTGTACAGACTGTACTGCCACCTATGCTGAGAATGTTCTCCCTCTTTCCCTCTACCACTTGGAATCCCTAAATCCCTTCAGTACTCAACTAAAGGGCTATCTCCTTCAAGAGGCCTTTTCTGCTTTCTCTACTTCCTAATGCCTTCCTCCTAAATAACTTGGGATTTTTTTTCATATATACTCTATATTTATTTATCTGTTGACATGTGGTATTCTCCCAGTAGAATGTAAGCTTCTAGTGGGCAGGGACTCTTTTGATTTGGTCTTTGTATCTCCAACATATAGTATAGTGCCCAGCACATAGTAGATTCTAGGTAAGTGCCTGTTGACTGACTGACTGATTGATTGATTGAAAAGTAGCCTTGTGTGAGCAAACACATGATGCAGTCCTCAGCACTTCAGTAGATTACAGCAACAACTCCCACAGAAATAGCTATCATAATCTTCAATAGCCATGTCCAAAAGCAGCCTAGAATACAATTAAAATAATGCCTTTTTCCTGATATCGTCTGCTTTGAGTTTGTGTCCTCAAATGACCACCTGGTCAAAGCCCCAACTACTCTGGTGTTACGAACATCCTGAGGCTTCACTATCATCATCAACAAACATTGAACAAGCACCTACTACGTGCAAGGTGCTGCACTAGGGGTTTCGGGGGACACAATATGATCACCAGCATCAGCATCATCCCTAGCATCCCTAGGTACCCTGTTTGGCTGGGAGGGAGAGAGAAGCCCAGTCTTTGCAGTTCCTATGGTCATCTATTCATATAAATGTGAAGCAGTATTATTGATACTTATTGATATTGATTATTGATATTAATTATGATCACCAGCAGCAGCAGCATACTACCATGAACACTGAGCTTTAAGGTTTGTAAAATACATTACATGTACTATCTTATTTCATCCTTACAACCACCCCAGGAAATAGGTACTTTTATTACCCCTCTCTTATAGTTGAGAAAACTCAAACTCAAAGATGTTACTTACCCATTGTCAAACAGTAAGGGTCTGAGGCAGGGCTTCCTGATTCAAAGTCCAAGTTCTATCTACTATGTCACCTAGAAATATTAAGCACAGCTCTCGCTCTCCAAGAGCTTACAGCTTTGCAAATAAGATGGTCTTTGAGGTTTTGTGATTAGCCGTGCCTGTGACTATGCTATAATGGGATTGGATGCCATGATCACTCACCCCAAAGGGAGTGTAGGTACTGTGTCTGTAGGTACTGTGTCTGTAGTTTGTCTTGCAGGACTTGTAAAGCCTCTAAATGTTTTTTTAAAAGAGGAGGAGTCCAAATTCTACTAAATCCCGTGCTATTGAAAAATACTCTAATAATAAGGTGCCGGTCTCATCAAAAGGATCACCTGGAGGGACAGAAGAGCTCTGGGAGCAGAGGTGTAATAGAAAAAATAGGCCTGGAATCGAGAGAATTGGGTTTGAATCCCTGTTCTGAGACCACTCAACTATTTGAAACCAGCCAGGTCATTAACCTCACTGAGCTTCAATTTTGATATCCATAAATTTGGGATAAAAAATACTTGCCCTGCCTATATCAGGGTTGTTGTGATGAAGGTGCTTTGTAAGCCCTCAAGTGCTAGAATGTGAGTTGCTGTTATTTCTTTTCCCTTTTTATAGAAGGGATTAAGTATATACTGGTTCTGAGCATACATAAATAGTTCATATAAATTAACACAGGCATGGATATAAAGAAATTTAGAAAAGGCTCAAAGGATGTTAGTGAGCAGCCATACCACAAAGGGCAGTAACCTCTGCTGACCCTTTCTAATTCCTTCCTATTACCTTTACAAGGCAGTTTGTGTTTAGGGAAGGCATACTGAGTGCATGTGTAGCAAGCAGAGGTTAATGTTCTTGCTACCAGCTGATAATGCATGGGACATGGAAGGAGGAGTGGGTGTACAAGGAGAGGGGACGGAGTTGCCGAGGAGGAGGGGGGCAATACAAATCAGGGCATCTGGTGAACATGTTCTCCAGTTCAGAGATTTATGAACATCCAGCAGTAAACACTGTGGTACCAAGCATTTTGGGTAACTGAAAATAAAAATATCCGTTCTACTAGAGGAGTTTAGGAAAAAAGAAATAAGTTGTTCTAAACATAAGGATGATCACAGGACATGTTGGCTGATCTGTCTCTCCTTCCCAGAAAAAAAAAAAAAACACCATCAGAAAGAGCCCTTCCCTAGCTCACTTTCCCCTAGAGATTCCCCTGAAAGACAGTGAAATTGTTTTTTTTGCTGCGCTCCAGGGATCACATCGAAGAAAAGAAAATGTGTTTTTGCTTTGCTCTGCTTCCAGTGGAAACCCAACTTAACCATGTGCTTTATTTTTCAGTGAAACAATCATGTTTTTGCATCAGATTTTTTACCAAGGCCTCAAAGCCCGGATATCCAGCTGGCCAACGTTAGTGCTCGGTGAGTAATGACAAACACTTGGAAATTAGACATTTGACTAATTGAATGGCATCCTTCATTAAAGACCACATTTCAGAGGACCTATTGGCCTGTCTTTGTAGCCCAGACTGGCTTTCCCCTCACATGATTACACACACCACCAAGTAAAATTCCCTCTAGTAAATGTTCTGATGTGTCGTCTGGACTCATGGCTGAGATGAGTTAGTTTTTAATACCACAGGAATTTCCCTAGTGAGGTTTGGGAGGCTTTATTGCTGTTCTTAATTCAAAGACTAGTTTGAAGTGATTAAACTCTTTTTATATATAAAAGCTACTTCAAACCTAAGCCCTTTTCCAGTCAAATATTTGGTGTTTCTTTGAAAAGAAAATTCCAAAATAGTAAGGGAAGAAGCAGATGAGTGGCCACAGTGTGCATATATCTCTCCGCTGGCAGTGTGCGGTATGTTTCTGCCTTCAGTAAATTCACAAGCAGATAAATCCAGCACTGGACAGAACCACAGAGCCTGAAAAAATTTCAAAGATTATCCAGCCCACCTCACTCCACCATCACCACCCTCATTTCATAGATAAAGAAACTGAAAACAGGTATAGTAAAGCAACCTTTAAGGTCATACAGGTAGTAAGCAAATAGCAGAATTGGGACTTTTAGACCCATTTCTACTGACTCTAAACATAATATCCTTTCCACCAAACTACGGGTGAGGAACCTTCGGACTCAAGGCCACATGTGGCCCTCCAAACTTCACAGATTCTGTCAAAGGGCTGCACTTGAGTTCCTAGAGAGGCACATGTGACCTCGAGGCCACAGGTTCCCCAGCCCTACACTAACCCATACTTTCCCCCTGTACAGAAATATACTTGTTCAGTAAGCTGGAGCCTTTTTGACATGCAGCCAAAACAGCTGGAGATGAATCAAAGTCCATAGCTGTTAGAGGAGGGAAAAGGGTCATCTAATAGTGAGCTCAATCACATCTGAGAAGTCACATACCCTCAACAATTGATTATGCAGAATCTAGGAACAAACGCAGGGACTGCTGAGTATAAGCAATCATGGCAATCTTTTCCATTTATTTTGATAACATGCCACCATCAATTTCAGCAATAAAACATATCACTAAGCCATGACACCCCCATACATTTAATGAGACACGTTTGTGCTATTGGGAGAGGGGTGCAGGAGGGGTGGCAGGCAAATAGTTCTGGAATACCAGGACATTTTAGTACCAAATTTCCTTGTATCGTCTCAAAGGTGTTGATTATGGATTCCTCAGAAAACTTCTGACAACTTTGGACCCTCTTTCAGTGGTAGGGAACCTGTGGTTTCAAGGCTGCATGTGGCCTTCTAGATCCTTGGATGCTGCCTTTTGACTGAGTCCAAGTTTTACAGAACAAATACTTTTATTAAGGGGATTTGTCTGGTGAAGTTTGGATTCAGTCAAAGGGCTGCACTTGAGGACCTAGAGGGCCACATGTGGCCTCAAGACCATAGGTTCCCCATGCCTGTGTCTTGTGCAATTTGTATTTTCTTAGCATTCTAGTTACTTAACTTTCCAGTCTCTCCTTCTCTCAACTTGCATGAGGGAAAAACTTCCAGTTTAGTGATAGGGACAAGAGAAGTAGAAAGATATCTGGTATAGGGGAAAGCTATGGAGCAGTAGATAGACCACTGGGCCTAGAGTCAGGAAGACCTGAGTTCAATTCCACCCTCAGACACTTACTAGATATGTGACCCTGGGCAAGTCACTTAACTCTGTTGGCCTCAGTTTCCTCATCTGTAAAATGAGCTAGAGAAGGAAATGGCAAACCACTCCAGTATCTTTGCCAAGAAAACCCCAAATGGGGCCATGAAGAGTTGGACACAACTGAACAAAAACAACTGAGAGGAAAGAGAATTTGCTCTGGAGTCAGAGGAACTGAGTTTGAATTCTGCCTTTGTCACCACTACCTGATTGTTATTAGACAAGTCATTTAAACTGTCTGGGTCTTAGTTTCCTAATCTGTCAAATGAGGGGGTTGGGACCAGTTGGTTTCTAAGGCCCCTGCCAGCTGTAAACCAATGATATTACTTTGTTCTGTTGGGATATTCTCTTTTTTTCCTCCTTCCCACATACAAGGAAGAACACAAAACATCTTTACACTTGGAAAAGTTGGAAATACAAAGATCTCTTTTTTCCCATATAGAGGATAATTTTCTTTCCGAAAGAAGAACTTCTCCCAAAGAGCTAAAGGCTAGGTGCTAGCCAGACGTTGCTTGAATATTACATACAATAGCACTTCTTTGCGAACTTGAGGTTGTCCTTGACAACCCACTACTTACTTGGGCCAGCTGTCTCTGATATGTTGCCTTCTTTTTTCAACCTTCAAGTTGCAGGTTCAATCTCATGCCAAAACAAAACTGCCCCCCTCACCCTACCCCACCCCAACAAAACTTTTGAAAAAGAACTAAGCAAAAATTTAAGGCAGAGATTTAAACCAACTTCACAAAAATCCTAGAGTGGCAGATCATATGGAGTTTCAGGCACACTAAAGCTACAAACAGGTGAGGTGAGAAGTAGGAACAAGGCATGGTTGAACGTGTTTGTCTGAAGAAGATCTGGGGGTTTTAGTATGCTGCAAGCTCAGCAAGCATCAGTCATGTGATGGGGCAGCCAGAAAAGCTAATGTGATTTGCAGCTGCATTGGAAGACATAGGTTCCAGGTGACAATCTCTCTGTATTCTGCCCTTGTCACACTTCATCAGAGTATTACTTTATATTCTTGGAATTGTAGATTAAGAAGGATAGTGATGAGCTGGCGAACTTTCAGACGAGAGCAGCCAGGATGGCCAAGGGCCTTGAGTCCATGCCATGTGAGAATTGATTGAAGGAACTGGACCCAGGGGTATATGGGAACTGTCTTAAGTTATGTGAAACGGGGAGGGGTCATGAGGAAGAGTGATTAGACTGGATCTGTTTGATCCCAGAGGGCAGAACCAGGAGCAATGAGTAAAAGGTCCAAGGAGGCCAGAGTTTAGGCTTGATGTCAGGAAAAACTTTGTAACCTTTACAGCTATTCTTCAATGGGATGGGCTGCCTTTGGAGTTGGTGGGCTCTTCCTCCTTGGCAACCTTCAGACACAAGCGGAATGGCTCAGTTGTCAGGTGGGTGGGAGCACAGATTCCTGTTGGAGATGGGTTTGATGCAATGGTCCCCAAGGTCCCTTCTGACTCTACAATTCTGTGATCCTGGGAGACTCCAGTAGGGGACTGGATCCCCTCGGATAGTCTTGGGGGAGGGAAGGTCATTAGGATTTGGAGTCAGAATAAAAGAAATTGCTTCCAAGAAAGACTGAGGGATATGTACTAGGAGGTCATGCCAGACACAGAATAAAAACCAACACAAATACCATCTGCATTCACAGAAAAAAAATTATAAATAGAAGTATATATAGAATAGTTTTACATATATATGCCTGTTTGTGTTTAATGGTAGCCATCTCTGAGGCAGGGTGAGTGGAAGGAAGAACAAAAGGGGGTAAAAAGAAATTTACGTGATAACTTTGTTGTGTATTTAAAAGAAATAGCAAGTTGTACACAGTGAATTTATGGTTTCATATACAATCATCTTTTTATTGTACTATGTTAAGGAAATACTTCTTTTATTCCATAAATTTAAAAAATTAATAAATAAATTTAATTTTTTTAAATGTAGGTGTATACCTAAGTGAAGTGGACCAAGGGACATTTAGTTTGATTGCCTATATGTAAGCTTTACAAAATGTATAAACTGAGGCATAGAACAGATAAAGTTCTGTGAAATCCCATGAGAGGCAGCATGGTACAATAGAAGAAGCCCTGGGCTAGAAGTAAGAAACCCAAGTCCTAGTCCTAGCCCTTCTATCAACTATCTGAGGATCATGGACAAATCATTTCATCTCTCTGAGCCTTAATTTCATCTGTAAAATGAGAAGATTGCACTAGATTAGCACTTCTCAAATTTTTTAGTCTCAGAACTTTTGAAATGATTGAGGATCCCAAAAATCTTTTGTGTGTGTGGGTTATATCTATTGTTACCAATTAAAATTAGAAATTAAACATCCTAGTATTCTCATTAAAATGGTTCTGACCTCACAGCCCCCCTGAAAGGGTCTCAGGGACCCCCAACAGTCCCTGAACCACACACTGAGATTCACTCCACTAGCTGATGACCAAGGTCCCTTCCTACTTCTAAATATTATGATTATAATGTGCTTTTAATTTGGAGGTTCTGAAGAAGGATGTAATTTATTTGATCATGGAGAGAAAGATGTTTTCAGAGCTGACATTCAAAATTTTAGTTCCATAAGAAGCCCCAGTACAAAATAAATGGGTAATCTTGGCAAGTTCCAGAACCAAAAAAGGATAAATACTCAAAATAGAAAAGAGAACAACTGAACCAAATCCTAAGTTTCATTCTACCTATTTCTTCCAGCTGACCTATTTGACATACTGCTGCCTATGCTGAATATCTACCAGGAGTTTGTGAGAAACCATCAATACAGCTTGCAGATCCTAGCTCACTGCAAACAGAACAGGGATTTTGACAAACTCCTGAAGCATTATGAGGCAAAGCCAGACTGTGAAGAGAGAACTCTGGAGACCTTTCTTACTTATCCTATGTTTCAGGTAATGTGGTCTTTTAGAAAGCATAATAAGGGATTGTTCTTAAAGTGAGAAAAAATTTCAGTAGAGATATCATTCTTTAGTAAAATAGGGCTGATTTATCTTTGTATCCACTGTGCCCAGAATTTAAAGGGTGCTGAATGAATGGATGAATGTTTATAGGGAAGGGACCAGTAACAAATCTAATTAAATATTAATAAATCTAATTATGGTACAATAGAGACTCCCTGAGTTATGAACACCAGACCTATACTTGAAATATGCATACAAACAGCTAGCTGAACACTTCCACCTGCTCCAGTTACCCATCCTAAGGTTGATCTTACCCAAATTCACTCCAAATAGAGAACAGGTGGTCTTGCTGCAACTGCACCACCTGATGGCTCTTTCTCCATTGTGTGTCTATTATCTTCATGCTTCTGTTTCTCTCTCCCTCCCCCCTCCTCCCCTCCCCCTCCCCCTCCCCTCCTCTCCCCCTCCCTCTCCCCCTCCCCTCCCTCTCCCCCTCTCCCCCTCTCTCCCTCTCCCCTCTCTCCCTCTCCCCCCTCCCCTCTCCCCCTCTCCCCCTCTCCCCTCTCTCTCTCTCTCTCTCTCTCTCTCTCTCTCTCTCTCTCTCTCTCTCTCTCTCTCTCTCTCTCTCTCTCTCTCTCCCCCTCTCTCTCCCTCTCTCCCTTCCTTCCCTCCCCCACTCTCCTCCACTCCCTCTCTCTCCTCTCTTCTCCCCTTCTCTTCTCTTGCTCTCAAAAGGAAATCCAAACATTTTCAAGTCGCATTAGACATGGTGCCAAGCAAATGCCATGAACCTCTAAAAACCATTGAAAGCACCTAGAAGCTTGCTGTAGACCAATGTTTCTCAAAGGATATGTTTCAGTATATTAATAGGCCATGAATGTGCTGCAAAGTTTTGAATATTATGTTTTGCAGATTTTAAAAATTATCATTGTATTTAAAATAAATTTTACTTAACCAGCAATAAATTTTGTTTAATATAAAATTTAGCATACATAGTACAGTATTATAGTATTCACAAAACAAACAAAACCTGCCCATTACATATATGTACTAATCTCAAAACACAACAGAGACCTTGAACTGGCAAACAACAAAAACAGCTGCATTTATTGAATAGAAATGCTACAAATCTCCTGACTCTTCCACAGAATTGCCACATTAAACATTCTGTGTGCTGTGATTTCTCACAGCAGAGAATACTATGCCATGAACAAAAATCATTTTGAAAACCACTGCTCTAAAGACTCTACAAATGTCTTGGTCTACCTACTTCCTCTTCTTCTATTTAAATCTGTTTTTCCTCATGTCCTATTCAGTTTTTGTCATTTTTCTGTTTTAATTACCAGAATTGTTCCCTGCTCATTTTCATTACAAAAGGATAATATTTACATAAATGATAACATTATTTCTATGGGTAAATGCTCCCTGAGTTCCAAATGAGGAAAACAACTTGGGTAACACAAACCGTTTGTAAACTGGGGGTTGCTGATAGAACAGTCTCTGTTTACAAGTCCCTTCTTTTGGTAGCATGTTTCATTTTGATTTAAAACAGTGCTCCAAACAGAGGATTGCTCTTAGAAGAAAACCTAGTGCCATTTTCCTTCTAACAGAACCATGTGACAACGAGACAATCTGACTTAATAGATAGTGAGCTCCCCATCACTTGAAGTATCCAAGATAGACAACTTCCTCTTAGGGACACTGTAGAGCAGATTGCTGCAATTGGTGGAAAGTTGTGCCCAATGTCCTTCAATGCATCTTCTGGCTATAAAGAGTCTTTGATTCAATGGTTACTCACTATGACATTCCCTCCAAAACCTTTCAGATCCTCAGCTAACATGTCTGTGATTGCCCTGTGGTCAGTCTGCCTTTCTTTGACTGTCTACTCTCTGTAGATCCCCAGGTATATTCTGACATTACATGAACTCCTGGCCCACACTCCCCATGAGCATGTGGAGCGAAACAGTTTGGATTATGCAAAATCAAAACTGGAGGAATTGTCCAGGTAAGAAGCCTTTGCTCTTGTCTTACTGTATTCCCAAAGAATAGTAGGTAGGGGGTCTTAATCTGAGGTCCATGAACCTAGTTGTTTTAATATTTTTGGCAACTGTATTTTTTTCCTTCATCATCTTATATGTTTTATTTTATTCACTTAAAAGACATTCTGATAAGGGATAGTCTTCACCAGGATACCAAAAGGGTCCAGGACACACACACACAAAAAGATCTCTGGTCTAGAGGATGCTGATTCTGTCAGTCAATCAGTATTCACTGAATGCCTTTAGGGTGTATAACCTTATATTCTATGTACAGAAGAAATTGAGCAACCAACTGGAGTTACTATAGTCCGGGCTTACAGGTTCAGAAAATCAATTCCAGCAATTTGCCAAAACTGACCAGACTCATTTATAAAACTTCCAACTAATTAAATAATAATGGTGATTTCCATTCAGTTCAATAAACATTTATTAAGCACCTACTGTATACCAAGAGGCACTATGCAAAGCAAAGGGGATAAAGAGATGAAAAAAAAAGTGAAAACAGTCCCATGCTCTCGAAGAACATATGTCATATTGAAGGAAAACAAAAGGTAGCAATAAATAAAAATCAGTAAATAAATACAAGGCCATTTTGGTGAGGGGGTGGTTATGGAAAGTGCTAACAACTGGGGTGACCAGGAAAGATCTCATGTAGGACTTAGCAGAGAAGCTTAATCCTGAAGGGAGCTAGGGAGTCTCCAAATTGGAGATGAGGAGGAGGGAACATTTTAGGCAAGAAGAACAGCAGATATAAAAGTCAAGAGGTAGGAGATAGAATATCAGATCTGGGAAAAAGTCACCTAAACAAGTCACTCACCCTGTTGGCCTCAGTTTCCTCATCTGTAAAATGAGCTGGAGGAGGAAATGGCAAATCACTCCAGTATTTTTACCAAGAAAACCCCAAATGAGCCACAAAGAGTCAAACACAACTGAAAAACAACTGAACAACAACAAAAGAGAATATAACAGGGCATGTTATGGTGATGTGTCAGAGGAAAACTCCTTTCCTATGGTCAGAATACTTGTGGCTGCTATCAAGGGTATCCCTTTTATTAAAACTGAATCAAGAATAGAAAATTGCTTGGTGAATGTTAAATCAGAGCAAGGGAGCTGGATAGTTGAGCAGGAAATTTCATGAAGTAGTCTCCCCCAGTGACAAGATACTGCTCTCCTACATAGAGAGACAGTGAAAAATTCATACTTCTTGGCTTCCTTTTTGTCAGGGCTCATGCAGATCACCATCCTTCTGGTGTTGACAAAATTCCTTCAGCAATGGTAAAATTACCATTAGATCCCAGAACTCCCATCCACACTCTCTCACCCTGACTCATTTTAGATACTTGTAGGATGGCTGATTGGGTTTGGGTTACAGTCTGTGGACTTTAAACAGAGACAAGTTAATTGGTCCAACCAAGAATCAAATTGTCAACCTTGGCCTCATGAGTGCAGTTCTTTGATGAAGCCACAGTTCTTCCATTATTTAACTGCATGACCTTGGTACATCATTACTTAGAAGCACAAAGTCAGAATGTTAGAACTGGGAGGAACCTTAGAGGTGATCTCACTCAAGCCCCTTATTTCAAAGATGAGAAAACTGAGGCCCAGGGAGTAAAATTAGCTTGCTCAAAGTCACAACTTGACTGGTTAGGTGGCTAGTGATAAACCCTAGAATAGTAAACAAGTCTCCTGATTGCCAGCCCATAGGTATGTTAATTTCCTATATTATTGTCAGAGGAAGGTAGTAATAACTATTATATCCATTCCTCCCTCCTTCTCAGTAATAATATAAGGCACGAGGAGACATTAGCTAAGTGAGAAAAAACAAACAGCTACACAAATTGTTGTTTTTATTGTGATTTCTTCAAACCTTTGAAAGAGCTGTGATTTCATCCATGTGGGCACCTTCTTCCTCCAATGTGGATCACAACACCTCTATGTCACAGAAGACAATCTCTGGTCTTTGGGAGAGGGCTGTGGCCAAATACTAATCCCTTTGTAACCCACTGATGCTAAGCTTCTCTTAATTTAGCTAAGCTGGTCCTTGGACAAGAGGGTCATAACCCACCCCAAGGCCTTTGGAACTTGGAAGGCCCTACTGGAGATTATGCTCTGCCAACACAGTATTTCAGGATTAGGCTACAAAATCTTTGGACTATAAAGAAGCATCACAGGAGGAATCTGGTGAGGGATTCTCATCACCATCATTATTCTACAAGAATAATAATAATAGCAACTAACATATAGGCTTTCAAAGCATGTTTCACACATTATAATATTTATAAAGCACTTAGCAAACTACCTGGCACATAGTAGATGCTTCATAAATGCTTGTTCAAAATAATTGTCTCATTTGATCTTAATAATAACCCAGTAAGGATTCCCCATTTTACAGATGAGGGGAGTAAAGCTAAGCTCAGAGAAATTAAGTGACTTGACCAGAATCACACAGCTAGGAAATACCTGAGGTGAGGATTGAATTTCAGTCAAAGTAATTTCAGCTCTTTGAAAGAAAGGGGCAAGTCCAAACTCTAACTCCTTTCCTCTGAGAAAAGTCTCACCAGGAAGTTAGGGAGGTCATGCAGATCTTGATCTGACAGACAGGAAGGTGGGTTTGAGCTGTGTGTTGCTTTTCAGTTGTTTCCGTCATATCTGACTCTTGGTGACCCCATTTGGGGTTTTCTTGGCAAAGATACCAGAGTGGTTTGCCATTTCCTTCTCCAGCTCATTTTAAAGATAAGGAAACTGAGGCAAAGAGGGTTAAGTGACTTGTCCAGGGACACACAGCTAGTAAGTGTCTGAGGTCACATTTGAACTTGGGAAGATGAGTCATACTGACTCCAGGCCTGGCACTCTATCCACTCACTGTACCACCTAGCTGCCCATTTGAGCTTTGTACAGATAACACAGAGACCACTTAATGTTGTAACTTGAGACTAAATTTGAGGAATGCACATAGAGGTGGGATATTTATTGAAAGAGCTCAGGATCAAATTGAGCAATGAAAAGAGGGCAATGGAATAATAGCTGTTATAGGCAAGTATAAAATAAATAGACCTCTACCTAGAATATTGTCCCAAAATTACCGTTTATCTTCCTTTTTTGCATGGAAAAAATAAGGCTCATGCATTACTTTGCTTTGCTAGCTGAAGAACTTTCAAGGGAATAGTAATCACTTGCATTTATATCATTCTTTAGAGTTTGCAGAGCACTCTCTTCACAACTCAGTAAGCTAACTAGCATATTATTGCCAGCATTTCACAGATAAGGAAGCCAAGACTCAGGGGGCTTAGTACTTTGCCTCAAGGTCCCCTTGAAAGTGCCTAAGATAAGATTTTGACCAGGGTCTCCTTACTCCAGATCTAACACCTCATGCCACACTGCTTCCATTATGCTGAACACATTACACACATGCCAACAAATAAAATTACTGCATTCACTAACATATTCTATCACTGGAAAAGTAGGGCAAATCACTTACTTCATCTCTTGACCTCTGTTTCTTCCATTTGAAAATCTTGCACATCCAAATGAATGTTGCTGGGGCACCTAGGCAGCACAGTGGATAGAGTACAGGCCCTGGAGTCAGGAGGACCTGAGTTCAAATCCGGGCCTCAGCCATATAATACTTACTAGTTGTGTGACTCCGGGCAAGTCATTTAAACCCAATTGCCTTACCAAAAAAAAAAAAACCATGAATGTCTTCCTCCAAAATTGTTTCCTTGGGAGCTCAGACACTCATTCCAATAATGCCACTGTTATTTTAACCATTTCCAAAACTCTTATTTGGGAAATGTCTTCAGAACTAGTTTTGACAGCACATAAAAAACCCGGAATTTTATTAAGAAGGAATTTTAGAAGGAAGCTTTGAAATTATGTAATCTAACCTCATTTATAGATGAGGTGCAATATGACCTGATAGAAAGAACAATGAACTTGGGTTCAAAGGACCTGAGTTCAAATTTTGGATGGGCCATGGACTATTTCTGTAACCTTCAGCAAGTCATTTCACTACTGTGGGCCTCAGTCTTCTCAGCTGTAAAATGATGGATGACTCCTTAGGTTGCTCCCAGCTCTGGATCCTATCAAGTGCCTTGTTGAAGGTCCACAAGTTAATGGCGAGTCTGTCTGCAAGTTAATGGCAAAACTAGGATCAGAATCCAGGTCCTAAGCATCCCAGGTTCTTTCCACTACCCAGAATATCATTATCTTATAGTCACTCATCATTCAGGATAGGGATAGATACAAGATCTGTGAGTTCAGCTTTCTAACCATTATACCACACTGCCATAATTATTGGTTCAAAATGACATTTCCCAACTTTATCACCCATATCAATGGTTTCAAATTCAAATAGAAACAGGGAGCACTAATCCATAGGTAAGCCCAAAGTCTGCATATTGATTTAGTTTTAAAACATATTATTGTATATGTTTTATTGTATCTCCATTTATTTTGTTAAATGTCGTCCAATCGCACTTTAATTTCATCAGGGCCACAGTGGGGAGTGATGCAGGCTGGCCTTCAGGTACCAGTTTGACAAATCTGCCTTAACTCATTCCCCAGATGCAGTACAAAGCAAGAAGCAAATCCACCTCAAAAAATAAGGGTGTTGTGGAACTGGAGCCACGTTTTGTTAACATGTTAACAAAGACTTTGGCAAACTAGAGCATATCCAGAAAAGGGCAAGCAGGAGAGTGAAAAGACTAGAGATCATGCCATTCTAGCACCACTTTCAGAGAACTGGGGGTGTTTACTCTGCAGAAGAGAAGATATAGCTTGGAGTATTTGAAGTTTTGCCACGTGGACAAGGTATTAGATGTGCTCTGCTTAGCCTGAGTAGGCAGTACTAGGATAAACGGGCAGGAGCTACAGAGAGGCAGATTTAGGTTCACTAAAAGGCAACACTTGCTAATAATTAGAGCTGACCAAAAGCAAAGCAGGCTGCCTATAGAGGTAATGGGTTTCCCTTCCCTGGAGGTCTTCAAACAGAGTTTTGAAGATCAACTGTCAGGGCCTCTGTAGGAGGGATTTCTATACGGGCACAGAATAGACTACATGGCTCTGAAGGCCCTTCCCACCCTGAGATTCTGTGATGCCACCCTCAAGATTTGCCCCTATGAAAGCTAGCCAGTGAAATACACTGCCAGCTCACAAAGTACTTTCAAAAGAGGCTTTCAAAAACAAAAAATGTTTTGAGCAATGGCAATATCTTTGGAATAAAGGTGTAACATCCCAAGGGGATTACTTTGATCAGCTCTTCATACACTTAGAAGAAAAAAAAAATCTGGTAGATTTGTTTAAAAACTAGTCTAACTGTATGATTCTACATAAGCCAAAATGAATTTATAATTCATAGATTAGGATGTTATATTTTTCTTTCCAATTAGTGAAATATCTAACTAGACTGACAATCTTTCACTGTTAGTCACCATACCCAACCCCATGTGCTACAGCAGACAGATTGGACATGTGGACTAAGAGTGAAGAAGAACAATCAACTGAGGCCCTCCTCGAATGATATGCTTTTATCCATCTGCTGAAAAGATTATCTTTCTTGAGGCAGTGTGGTTCAGTGGCAAGAGTTCAGAACTTTTCTGCTGACCTTGGAGTCATAGGACCTAAGTTCAAATCCCAACTCTGTCACTTACTTCCTGAGTGACTTTGAGCAAGTTGTTGAACCTCTCTAGGCCTCAGTCTGTTCATCTGAAAAAAGAGGAGGTTAAAAAAAAGAAGAGAGAGGATTAGATCAGATGGTCTCCGAGATCTCTTCTAACTCAGGATCTATGATACTGCAATATGAGAGATCTCATTTGGGGAAGCTACTAGAGAGAAGGGGCTGCAGTTTTTCATGCAAGCAAAAAAATGACGTATTGGATAGACAGTTTATGCCAAGCATACCTTACAGAACTGGCCCAAAGCCAAAAAGTAAAGTGAACGGTTTTCCAGAGCCTTGAAATGCCCCCAAGGAAACATCCCCCTTATCTGCATGGTAAATTCCACCCTTGTCAGATGGCCTCCCCAATCAAAACCTATAATCAAGAAAGGATTTGTTAGCTGTATGACCTTCTCCCTCCCTTCTGGGCCTCATTTTCCTCATGTGTCAAATGAGGGGGTTGACCTAATTGGTCCCTAAGGGTGTTTCCATCTCTAAAGATTCCATGTAAACTCCTTTACACTTAAGTTGAAATGGTTGATAAGGCTTAATGTGCACTTTCAGGCATCATTAAGCAGGCGGGGGAGGTTTGGGGATGTGGGAAGGAGTGGATTTTCTGGGACCCTGAAACCACCCATTACCCAAGGTTCTGCAAGCCACTTAAAATCCAAGCATGGGGCTCCTGAAAGTATGTTACTTGTCCTTACTGCTGCTTCTAGCAGCTGTGAAAAGCAGCTGGAGGAAGCCACCTCATGGAGCAAAGGAGAAATTGCAGCTGTCAATGGAGGGGTGCTAATGCACCTATTTTCAGCTGCAGCATCTGTCTCTGTGACTGGCGTTTGTGACTAGCTCCCCAGGCTGTGCAGCTGTCAGCTCCAGGAAATCTAAATCAGTCTGCTCGGGAGCTGGCTGCCTTGTCAGGAGCTCCAGAAAGAAATGGGGCTGAAAGTGAGACTCTTGCCACAGGATTTCTGATGCAATCGCTCTGTCTCTCCGCAGCAAAGAGACTGCACCAAATTATCTGGCTCCCCTCGGAGAATCCTTTAGATTTCTGAATCTGTAATTTGTCACCACAGTCCATTAAATCTGGCAGATAAGCTAATCCAAACATCTACCAGGTTGAGGGGGATTTTTGCTTCTGAAAATGGATCTCTCGTCACACATCTCCTTTGACAAGATCTTGTTCAGAGCTAACTATAGCATCCCAGAATAGGCTTACCCTCTGAGAGCAATCAGGCATTTTTCCCAAATAGCCTATGGGGACAATTGGGGACTTTTTCTACTTTAACTTGAATCCTTTCAATATTCTTAATTTGGGGGGGGGCAGGGAGGAGCAGTAGTCAAGAAAGGAAATGAGATTTTAGAGGTAAGGAAAGGAGAAATGATCCATGCAAAACCATGAACAAGACCAAATTGTGGTAGAAATAGTGGTGGTGACGCTTGGACAAATCATTTCACCAGTGTCCTCATCTGTGAAATGGGAACTGGAACTAGATTTCTAAAGCCCTGTCCAGCTTTACCATTCTCTGACTTCTGTTTGCCTTCGAATCCTTCATTCTCCCTCTCTTCATGCCCCTTCCCACCTCAAGCATTAGGTGTACTCCTGCTGACCTGGTCATCTCTTTCTAGAACAAAGCTATCTTGACAAAAGCAAAAACCCATTCACATTTGGGACTTGATACATTCCCCTTTCCAAAAAATATTTGCATTTCATTAAAAGGATATGCAGGGAAGGACATGGTAGAATTTCCAGCATTGTAGTATCATGGATTCAGAGCTGGAATGGACTTCAGACATCATTTAATCCAACCCCCTCATCAGTGGGGGAAAGAATATCAACCAAATGTTTATATTATATTCCATAGGAAAAGATGAGCAGTTGAAAACTTTTGATCGAGGGGGATAACACGATTTAAAAAAAAAAAACTCTGGACAGTTCAACTGACAGTCTTGCTTAGGATTTCAGATTAAGAAAAGGATTGTATAGGGGAGAAAGTGGAGGCAGAGAGATCAAGTAAACTGTTACAATGGGTAATGAAAGTCCCAACTAGGCAGTGGCTGGAAATGGAGATAAGAAAATTGTTTGGATATATAGTATTTGCAAAGCAATACAATGTTAATTCTTAACATCTCTTTGATGTTCCTGCCTTTTTGTCTCTTTGAGAAGATCTCTTTGTCTCAAATGTCTCTTTGATGGTTATTGCAACACCTGCAGGGAGGAGACATTTTTGCTAAGCATCAGTTTAGCACCCCTCCACTAGTACCACGTTAGACAGCCATAAAAAGTAATATCAACTCTGCTTAAAGGGAAAAAAAAAAGACACACACATACATGAGCATACACACACACACACTTAAAAACTATGTATTACTCTCCCCATCAATGTGTATGATTCTTTATTCCCAAGATGTCTTTAGGGTCATACATACCTTTAAGAGCTTAAAGCAATCTTAGAGATCACCTCCTCCAACCACTCATTTTAAAGATGAGGAAATTGAGCACCAAAGTAACAGCTACTAAGTGGCAGAGCTGGAATTTGAACCCAGGTCCTCTGCATTTTTTCTACCACACTAGGCTGCCTCTTTCAAGATTTGTGGTTATTGCTGTTTGCATTTCCTGCCCTGTCAAAGACATAATGTTATGTTCTAAGAAAAGGAGGACACCCTTTTGGTTGACTGCTCTCTCTTCTGTTTCTAAAGAATAATGCACGACGAAGTGAGTGAAACTGAGAACATTCGGAAAAATCTGGCAATTGAAAGAATGATCATAGAAGGGTGTGAAATTCTCCTGGACACCAGCCAAACTTTTGTGAGACAAGGTATAGCACTCATACGAATGACATGCTCCTATCACGTGTATAAACTGCCAGTTTGTTTTGCCACTATACGTCAAAACCTCTTTTCATGTTTTTCTATCATTATGGGGTGCTATAAGGCATAAAATTGCAGTACTATATATATATATATATATATACACCATTTCACAGTTTCTTTTCTCCAGATGTAAACATAATTATATACAGATGGCCTCAGTTACTCTATTGTGTGCTATAGTAAACATTGGTACTTTCATGTTTGTTTGATTTTTTTTAACACAAAGGATATCAATTTCATGTAACAGATTTAATCTCAGACATCCTGGATACTAGAGACAGAATATAGCTGTTAGCCCATTTCTTCTGACATTTGCTTAGAAAGTATCTCCTGATGACCAAACCAATGTTAGTCCGTACACTTTATTCTCACTGGTGGGAAGCTTTTCCAACCATTCAAATCTACAAGATCTCTTAAAAAAAAAGGAAGAAGCAGTAGAGGGAGGGCAGAAGGACAGAGATCCTTTTTTCCTATATCTGAGGTGACTGAAGATCACAGTAAAGATGTCAGTCAAAGTTCAGAGCTATATGCAGAATCCTTTCACCCATAAAGAGCAAGGTGATGGCCTGGCCAAAGTGGTTTTAATCCATGGCCATGTTCCAAAAGGGATTGTGTGTAGAAACAAGTATTTTACAAGTGGTCTAAGTATCTGTCTCATTTAAGGCACACGCCGAGAGATTACAACAATCTTTTCATAACAACCTCAGGCTACAGATCTTGTTGTGGGCTGCCCTCTATTATACTCGCTGCTGCTATTTCTCACTTATATTTTTCCTGCCTGTTGCTTTCTCAGTCAGATAGGAAATAGTCTATGCAAAGGTATAGCCAGCCTGCTCTTGTCTCCCTGAGGAAGCTGGCCCCCAGTGGTTTAGTTCTGAAGTGATAGGATGGGGTGAGCATGTGTGGAGGTGGGAAAGCGCCCCTGCCACATGCTCAAGAATATTGTGTGTAGACAGGGCAGGGGCTTCCCGGGGAGAGGCACCTGTCACCCTGGAGAGCTTGCTCCATGCCAGCAGGCACTCTCTATAGCATCAGAAGCTGGATTTGTCAATGTTTCATCATCCCTAGCCTCTAATTTGGTTCTGTCCAAAGAAAGATAGATGATACATGCATACATGCATAAATGTGAATATATGTATATAAATAGATGATACATACATATATACATACATAGATATAGATACAAGGTACATAGACATATAAATTATATATATATATACATAGGTATATAGACAGATAATTAGATGATAGATACATAGGTGCATGATACATAGATACATTAATAGATAAAAAAGATAGATAGAAAGAACATTAATAAGTGTTTACTATGTATCAAGCATAATGCTAAGTGCAATCCATCCCCAGATTTACAGTGAGGCTCAAGAAGCTTACTCTAGTCTGTTATCTAGATTGGGCTGAAATCCGAAGACCTCTGCCCCACACTTGAAAAACCCAAATCTCCAAAGCAGTCATGTAGCTGCTAGGGGTCAGAATATGGGGAAGCAGAGATAGGAGTCCCTGATGAAAATGTCTCAGACTTCCTTGGGGTGAGACAGTGTTTACACTCACTGTCTACACCTCAGAACCAATTCAGCTCTAATACTAAGGGAATAAAATGCCCAATATCCTGGAGGCCAACTCCTTTGAGCTGTCTTCATGTAGGGCAATTTTCTTCAATGTAATACACGTTATGGGGGGAGAGAAGTTTCTGTTACTATATACAATTGATATTTTCCTGTTAAGAAATGTTTCTACCATTCTCATGCTGCCATATACATGACTCTCGAATTGCACATACCTCTCAAGTGCATATATACAGTTCAATTAGCCAAATATTTATCAAGCACATGTTATAAGCAGGTCACAATGTTAGGCACTAGGGATACAAAAACACATGTGGGCCAAGAGAACTATAATATATGGCAGAACATCATGATAAGCACACAAAAGAGGCACCAAAATGCTATAGGAATTAGAGAAAGGATTACTTCCCACTAGAGTGATCAAAGAAGATAGCATTTCAACTGGATCCTGGAGGATGGATAGGAAAAAAGAAGGGAAGGGAATAAGCATTTATATAGTGCCTATTATGTGCCAGGAACTGTGTTAGGTGCTTTTTATAAATATTATCTCATTTGGGTAGAAAAGAGTTAGAGATAGGGGGCAGAGAAGGAGTGGAATGGGTGAAAGCCATTCCAGGCAGAGGGAACAGCACATATAAGAGATCAAAAGCAAAGAAAAGCACAGGCCATCTTTGAAGAATAGCAAGTAGTCTCAGTTGATCTTATCATCAGTAAACAAGTGCTTATTTAGTGCTTATTATATACCAGGCACCAGTGTGCTAAGCACCAGGGGTTACAAAGAAAGGCAAAAATAGTTCCCGCCCTCAAGGAGCTTACATTCTAATCGAAGTGACATGTAAATAACTAGACACATACAAAATAGGTACAGAGTAGGTGGAATTTAATGTGAAAGGGGAAAGACTGGAAGTTAGGGAAACCACTAAAGGCCTCCTACAGAAGGCAGAACCTGGGCTGAGTCTTGAAGGAAGCCAGGCAATCCAAGAGGCAATGATAAGGGGGAAAGATTATTCTGGCCTGGGGGACAGGGAGCATAAAGTCACAGACACAGGAGTGTTTGAGAAGCTGCAAGGTCAGCATAGCTAGATCACAGAGTATGTGGAGGGGTATCAAACATAAGACTGGAAAGGTAGGATGGGACCAGGTTCACAAAAAGTGTCAAATGCCAAACAGAGGAATTTAGATTTGATCCTGTAAGTAATAGGGAGCCAGAGTATCTCAGTGATCAGGTATGGCACGGTCAGACCTCCACTTCTCTCCTATGCATGGTTGGCCTGTACCTCAGGGCAAGGTGTTACATCCATGGCATGTCCTTTCAGGAGGGATGAGAAGCTTTCTTGAAATCAAAAGGTCCTCTCTGTGTGAAAGGGCCCTCTTTTTGTGTGGCCTTTCCAGTCATTCTTCTCCCCTTGTGCTCTCTTGCCCAACCCTGTTCCCTTCTTACACTCGCCTTGTGAGTTAATCAGTTAAGAAGCTGGTAACCCCCTTCTAATAGTCAGAACCTTGGGATAAAAAGGCCTTCTAAATATATAATGCTCTCCTGGGGAGATCTGTAGGAAGTACAGGGAGATTCTCAGCTTCCTGCTGGAGGTATTATAAGACTGGAATTTCTTCTGCTCAAAGACAGAACTATTTTTCCCATGACCACTCTCTCAGAACCTAGTCCCATATGTTTGCTGTAAAAAATAGTCTCAGAGTAGGCAGGATGATGCTAAAGGAATTGTAATGCATTTCTCTTCTCTTAATAGGTTCGCTTATCCAGGTGCCTATGTCTGAAAAAGGAAAAATCACAAGAGGACGTCTGGGGTCACTGTCCTTAAAGAAAGAAGGAGAGAGACAATGCTTTTTGTTTTCTAAGCATTTAATTATCTGCACTAGAGGCTCTGGTGGAAAGCTACACTTGACAAAGGTAAGACTAAGGAGGATAGGACCTGGGATCTGTCTGGCCTGAAGGATTCAAAACCAAAGAGAATAAAAGCAGGGATGTCCCTCATAACAATGATACCACAGCATTACAGAGGTTAGATCAAATGAGGACTGAATGTGAGCTTCACCCACACAGGCAGCCCACCCTATTCCAGTCTTCCTGATTGAGCCTTCTATTTGGGAGAAAAAGAGAAACGATGGGAGCAATCACTTGGGAACTATTGTTGTGGCTTTAAAATAATGACACGGGCTGTGTGTCATGAATTACTGTTGTACACATTTTGGCCAGGGCTGCCCAGAATAAGTCAGCAATGGAACTTGAATCTGTCTAGCAAATCAACAGCTTTCAAACATTATGACAAAATAAATCCCTCTTCTGGGTTATTTCTTCATGCCTTAAAACCCCAAACACTGATGCAATATTGGAATAGACCCATATTACTCAGATTTTTCCTCCAAGAGATCCCTAAACCTGCTTAATTCTTGCTCTCTGAAGAAATTTTATTCTAATGGGGCTCCACAGAAAATATGGGATTTAACGGTGAGCCCAGCCCTTCATCCTTGTATATTGTGTCATCTGGTTCCTCGCCCATCTTCTCTCTCTTTCTACCAATGTAAATGGATGGTTTCTGAGCTTTCCATCAGCCTCAGGCCATCCAATAATGATTTTGGCTGGCCCAATGCTTTTGCTGGCTAGCTTGAGGCTGATAATGTCAATAGCCAGTGCAAGATGCAAAAGATGCAGTGCTAGTAGAGGACTAGCATGGGGGATGGAGCGAGAGTCTAACTAGACCATAGTGCCAGCAACGAAGAGCAAGAATGAGTATGAGGGGTCAGGAGAGGCCTGTGTTGTGACTTTACACACTGTTCCCAAGAATTGTGCTCCATTTTATTTAACCTGTTCTTTATTCTACTCTTACAAGCCTGGGTTTTGTTGGTGAATAAATAGCCATACTACAGAAGTATCTTCTGGCTCAAGAGAAAATTCCCTCTCTCTCTTGTTTGACAGTGAAATGACAGATTTTCACTGGCACACCTTGGTCAAAAGCATTACTAGAAGCACAGAAAGCTGTTTAATTGGATTTCATTTTTAAATACAACACATTCTCCAGTCCCTTCCTAGGACTTTCACTTGGGGATAAGAAGGTTGCCTTAATTGAGCCAGAATCTCAGTGGAGCAGCTCATTACTGTCACTAAATTACTGGTCTGAAATATCATGCATTATATGGCAGAGAGCCCTCGGTTCGAGCAGTTGACTACAGGGATTTTGCTGCTTATATTAATTTATCAACAAATTAGCTTATTACTTGCATGAGGGCAATTAACAATTTCCAAATATCAAATTATCCATTTTCAACAAATCTGAGCATGAAATGCACATCAAGGAAATCTTTCACGGTTTATTGGCTTTTGAATTTTAATTACTAAAGATCTGCCATGGATGTTACACAGAAGTCTCCTCCTTTAGGAGGAAAGTTGTATTAGACGACCTCTAAGGTCTCTTACTACTTGGAGTCTATAATTCCATAATTTTTCTTGGCTATTTCTTAAAATGCAGTAGAGCCTCTGCTGTGTATTACAAGGTTCATTATTACTTGGCTTTTTACCTAATAAGAGTCAATCTGCAGCTCCCTAAACTTAATGGCTTATTAAGATGAGCTTTTCAGAAGTGGGAATGAAAACTTTAAATGAAAAAAAAACTTGCAAAGATGAAAACATAATAATATATAATCATAATAGCTGGCATTCATATGGCACTTTAAGGTTTAAAAAGTACTTCACATAGGTTAACCCATTTGAGCCTTGCAACATGCCTGTGAAATAAATATTATGGGCAATATCTCCATTTCATAAAAGGAATAGAAGAGAATGGAATTGAAAAGGATTCATTAAGTGCTTATTATGGCCCAAAGATTGTGTTAGGTGCTGAGAATACAAATTTAAAAGTAAGTCAGGCCCTGCTCTCAAAGAACATTTTAATTGGAGAAAATAATGCATAGGAGAGTTCAGTTGCATGATTGATGGAAAGACTTGGTGGTCCTTTAGGAAACTGGACTAGCTATGTTATGGGAAGGATCCCATCCTCTTTGGCCTGGTTCCAAATGAGTAAACTGAGGTTCAGAGAGTCTGTGACTTACCCAAGATCACACAACTAGTAAGTGTCTAAGGTAGGATTTAAACTCAGGTCTCATGATTTTATGAGCAGAGTGCTATTCATTATAGTGCTCACTCATTCTTTCTCTCTCTCTCTCTCTCTCTCTCTCCTCAATATATATAGATATATAGATATATAGATATGTATGTATGTATGTATACATATATATACACATATATGTGTATGTATATATATGTGTGTATGTATGTATGTGTGTATACTTCTCTGCTATAACATGGAAAGCCTGTGACGAGTGATAGTTTTTTGGGTTTTTTTAACCATTGGCATTAATAAAGAGTTGTTAGCTACAAAAATTTGGCTCTCATACCTCAAAACATCAAAATGTTGGGTCTTCAAAGTCTACACTAGCAGAACACACACTCTGACAGGTATTACCAAGCTAAAAAAGCTTAAAGTTCAGGACTAGCAGCAGATTGCCCACAATTTGGTCCCAGTTATTATAACTAATTAATCCCCTGAACTAGTCACATAAACTTGAATTCACACTATTTTAACAACTACATAAACTATAAACATTGCTTCCAAGCCAATTCAACTATATAATTCAAAATCAAATTATGAGGCCACTTCAGGGGGGATTCATTATTTACACTAATTAGAACATAGCTGTACCTGTCACCCAAGAACCAATCTAAATACAGAGAGACTCATGACTAAAAGATTAACCATCAAGTAGTTATTTTGGGAGAAATAACTGGTTTACTAGATAAAACATGGAAGTGATTCCACCTGACTAGGTCTAAGGCATATCTGTATTGATGAAAACATGAGTCTTTTGAAGTATAAAGGGGAATTTAGTCATAGAGCTTGAAGGGACTTTAAAACCTATAATCGGCAGCCTAGACTTCTATATGTAAGCGTGACACAGGACCTTCTTTATTTGATTTCAGTGTAGGTCACATTGCTATTTTAGTTATTTGTAGAAATTAGTTTTATTTGTTTAAATCTATTAAATGGTGGGTCTATAAAGATACAGATCACTAGGATAATATCATAAGATAAAGAAATAAAAGAAAACTGGGAGATTATGTAGTTTAACCACTTCTTTTAGACATAAAGAAACCACCACTCAGAGGAAGGGAAGTGATTTTCCTAATATCACAAAGCTAGCTGGGGATGTATTCATGACTTGAACCCAGATCTCTAGAATCCTCACTCAGCATTATATATCACATATCATACTACCTCAGATACAAGAGGTAAAAGGCATTTTGCCAGACATTCCAAAAAGAATTTAAAAACCAGAAAATAACATATTGAAATTTGAGATTCAAATTAATCCACATGCTGCTGTTTTTCAGAATGGAGTGATCTCACTCATTGACTGTACCTTGATGGAAGAGCAAGAAAGTACAGATGAGGAAAGTAAGTATTTCACATTTCTTCAAAAATAACTAACCCCAGAGTTTACAGCCCTAGATAGGAGGCTACTCAGTTTAAAGCAGGTAATGGTTTTGTTCTACAGTCACAAAAAGTTGAAAACACACCTCTCCCTGGTAATAGAAGGCTAGATTTAGAGATGGAGGTAAGTGGAGGGATTATCCAGCCAAATACACCCCCACACACACATCTTACAGGTGTGAAAAATGAATCCTAAAGAGATTAAGTGACCTGACCAAGGTCATAAAGGTCCTAAAGTGGCAGAGTTAATATTGGAACCCAGATTTCGACTGCTCTGCACACACTGATTTACCATATAGCGACAGGCATCTAATTTGTTTAAAAAGTGATCTAGGCTCTCTATCACACTAGTCATCAAAGGGATCAAAGAACTTGACACTATTATTTATTCTAGCTAAAATGTAATAGGCATGAACTGTTTTTTTCATTGTACCCCCGTGACTAGAACACAATAGATATCTAATAAATGCTTGGGAAATTGAATTGGATTGGAAGGGACAGAAAGAATAAATATTCTTACCTCTCCTCCCTTCCTTTTTACAGATTAGGTAATCAGTGCCTCGGTCCCAAGTTTGTCTTTCTGCATCCTAAATTAGTTTTGGGAGACCAAGGTCATGTGCCCGTATTCCCAAGTTACAGAGAGGGAGTGAATGCTGGCCTTCCTAGCTATGGTGAAGAGCCTTCCAGGACATCTCTATTCTCCCTCCCCCATCTGATGAAGTCCTAGCTAAAAAATCCATCAAAAGGAAGCAGAGCTAATACAGGACCTCTGCTGGATTGGAACAGTGCATCTTGAGAAGTGCAACTAAGGCAAGAGAGTTAGGGCTTAAAAGGCTGCACCTTATGTCCATCAAGGGCATTAGTCTTATTACTAGTGTGTTCATGTGGCACTTTAATTTCTGCAGCTCCTTCCCTAAGGTGACTCCCATTGGAATTCACGCTGTCCTTTCATTTGTTTTAATAGCCAAAGTGTTCACAGAGATTTCTAGATTCATAAACCTACAACAAATTGTGAATTACCTAGTTTCTGTGTCTGTCACTTCATACAAGCCAGTGCATCTTTCTGGACATCTGGACATCTTCTAATGATGAGTGAGGGTGTATCAAAAGGAATCCATTTGGAATTTGTGGAAATTGTGGCATAGAAATGGGGCCTTTGTTTTCATAAGTGTTCTAATCTTTTAGAGAAAATGGAATAAGAAGGCAATCAAGGAATATTTATACTTCTTATAAAACCAAAAGGATCCTGAGTACCACCCAAAAATGGAATGCGCTACCATGATAGGTAGTGAGTTCACTATCATTGCAAGTCTTCAAGAAGAGTCTGGATAGCTATTTTTCAAGAATGTTATAATAAAGACTTTCAGGTAGGGGTTAAACCAGATGACCATTGAGGCTACTTCCAACTCTCAATCCTGGAATTCTGTGACTTTACTGAATGTAGTGTTTGTGTTATAGAGATAAATATTAGACCTGTGATTTCATTGGTATAGGGAACTCCAAGGTAAGGAAACTCCTTCTACTAAGACAGATCAGTACTCCTCTAAAATTTGCTATCCTCAAGAATTAGCTAAAGCACTGAGAGATTAGCAAAGAGCTCTGTGCTCAGGCTCACAAAGCCAGAATGTGTCAAGGGTGGTACTTGAACTGGTGTCTTCCTGGCTCTGAGGCCAGTTCTCTATCTAGTACATCACATATGAATACTGTTTCTCTGTGCTTTGGGAAACAGCTATCACATTTATGGACTTAAGTAAGAAATATTCTCTCAACTCCACAATCTTTAACTTTCCTGACCATTTGACATGGAACAAATCACTTTACTTCTCAAATGGTTTTGGGGAAGGTGTATTACACTAGAAGGGCAGCTAGGGGGTACATTAGCTAGAGCCCTGGGCCTGGAGTCAGGAAGAACTGAGTTCAAATCCAACCTCAGACACTTACTAGCTGTGTGACCCTGGACAAGTCACTTAACACTGTTTGCCTCAGTTTCCTCATCAATACAATGAGTTAGAGAAGGAAATGGCACACCAGTATCTTTGTCAAGAAAACCCCAAAAATCAAAGAGTCAGACATGACTGCAAAATGACTAAACAACACTGATATGCATTAGTTAAGAGAGTTCCCAAACCAGGAGCTCCATATACCAATGGAATCATGGAGTCCAGATGAAAAACAAAAACTAAAAAAAGTTCCCCCTTCTTAAAATGCAAGAACCAAAAGGCACTTACATGAAATCTTCTGGTCCAACCTCTCCCTTTCATAAATAAGAAAATTGAAGCCTAGAGAGATAAAATAACTGCCCAAGGTCACCTAGCTTGTGAGTAGTGAAGCCAATAGTAGAGTTCAGATCTCACACTTCCATTATGTACTAAACAAAATGATAATGGTCCCTTTTGGGATGCTTTCATCTCATGAAACTAGGGATTCAAGAATGTAAGAATAGTTTCAGGTATTTAACAAGACAAAAATGCTGTGGATTTAGTGTCCCTTCAAAGAGTTTGAAATTTTACAACATTCCAAACAAAGCCACAAAAAAAGCAGACATTCTGACATCTATCAAACTACCCTTTGGTTTCAGAGGAAGCATTTAGGGGTGGGAGAGGAAGGGGCAGATGAGGCAAAGAGGGGAGTGTCTGTGTGTGTGTGTGTGTGTGTGTGTGTGTGTGTGTGTGTGTGTGTGTGGAAGGGAAATAGACAGACAGATGTGAAAGGAGAGATGGAGAAAAAGACAGTGGGGAAGAGAAAAGGGAGAGAGAAAACAGACAGAAACTGAGAGAAGAGGAGGGGTGAGGGAGAGAAAGAAAAGAAGAGAAGGGAAAGAGAAAGGAGAAGAGAGAGGAGGGGGAAGGGAAAGAGAAGGGAAAAGAAAAAATGAGAGGGGGAGAGATGAGAGACAGAAAGAAGGAGGAAGAGATAGTAAAGACAGAGAGAAGAGAGAGACAGAAAGAAAGAGAGAGACAAAAAAGAACCATACATAAAACAAACAAATACAAAATGAATCCAAAGTTCTGGCTAGCTTTTACACAATTATACAGGCCAAAATGCTTAGCTTGGCCTGCTAACCCTTCCCAATGTACAACATTTCATCTCCCCATCTTTTATGCCTTTTCACAGGTGGACTCCCATGCCCAGAATGTACTCCTTCCTTACCTCTGCTTTATAGAATCCCTATTGCTGCAAAGCTCAATTCATGTGCCTCCCCAATGGTCCTTTGCTGGTTTCCCCCAAATGTTAACTCTCCCTTTTGAAATTGCTTTATGTGCATTACTTTTTATATATCATCTATTTACTTACATACATGTTGTATACATCAACAAAATATAAGCTATAAGGTAGTTTTTCCTCTTTGTATCCTAACACCTAACACAGTGCCTTACACTGAATAGATAGTTGATATATTTGTTGAGTTGAATTGGATAGATTTAATTTGATTGATTTTATTTGCCCTTTTCTCATCTGTAAAGTGATTCCCCAACTTAGAGATGACTCAGGAAAATTAATAAGTGGTCAAACTTGCTATTAAAATGCTGTGCACAATGCTTAAGTTAATGTATCTAAAATTGTAGTGGCTACGTTATCATTAAAAAGTATTCTAGCAAAGAGAAGAGGAAAAGAATATTTGGTATGTGAGAATGATCTCTTTTGAATTCTAAAGATAAAGCCTCCGGACAAGATATAGACCATTTGGATTTTAAGATTGTGGTGGAGCCAAAAGACTCTCCGTCTTTCACTGTCATCCTTGTGGCCTCCTCCAGACAAGAGAAAGCTGCCTGGACAAGTGACATTAGTCAGGTAAGAAGAAATCTGAAGAGAAAGTGAAACTTCCTCTGAAGAGCTCAAGGGTTTGCTTTGCTGGATGTGGATGATGTGGGAGTTTTCCTAATTTATCTTTTAGCTAATTACAAAAAGTAGAAGAGCAAACAATGTCTAATAGGACAGATAGAGATGCAAATTATTGACTAGCTTTGTGGATCCTGATAATGAGATCAGCTTCCCTATCCCATATGTATACATGAAATATTGAACAGTGGAAACCCATCCCAAGAGAGAAACAATAAAGGAAAATAACTGAAAATATAAATGCACAATAATGGAGGCAAATTAGTCTGAACAAGTTACTTGAAAACCCAAAAAATCTGTCATAAAACTCAAGAAGTCCATAACATCAATTATCTAAAGTTGTGATTTAGCCTTGGAGGCAGGTAGGTGGCTTAGGAGATAGAGCACTGAGCCTGGACCTGAACTTAAATCAGGTCTCTGACATTTACTAGCTGTATGATCCTGAGCAAGTCACTTAACCTCTGTTTGCCTTAATCCACTGGAGAAGGAAATGGCAAACCATCCTAGTATCTTTGGAAGAAAACTCCATCAACAGGATTGGTTGTGCTTTGGTCCACAGGGTCAAGAAGAATCAGATATGACTGAACTACTGAACAACAACATGGATTTAGCTTTAGCTTAAGAATTTACCAGATTAAATTCCAATTTAGAAGAACTAGGACTTTTGGGTCATAAAAGTTGCTGGTAAAAGATTGCATCATTCATTAATCAGAATGAACTAACATTTTCTAAATAACTCAGCCACACCCAACTAGAGCTAGAAGATATTAAGTGTAGAAGTGAAATCTGATAAGATGTGGAACAGGTGTAACAACTACCTGAGAAGCCCTACCAGATTTGGTTCACAAAAGGGTAAATTAACTTTTCTTAGTTTAGTACCACAGAAGACATCTCTAATTCTTAGCAAATGTATGCTGTCAAGAGAGCAGGCAGGAGAGGATGGATTGATATAAATCCATCACCAGTACAGTAAAAACGACCCTAAAGCACATGCCTTTTGGATCAGTATCACTAATCAGTCAAGAAACGTTAAACCCTACTATGTTCCAGGAAGCACACTGTTAGATTTGCTTAAAAAGATAAAGAGCTAATAATTGTTTGCAGGATCACACATTCCTAAAAGGCTAATGGAAAAAAAAATGAATGACTATGTTAAGCAAGGTAGGCTATCATTAAAGCATTCTATTCAAATTTGTACCTGGCTGCCTGCCTGGCTGCGTACCTGCCATTAAATGTTACAGACATCTGGTGGAGTTTATCCAGTTAGTGCTAATATAGATGATGACACCCTTGTAGCTGCATAGCAACATATTTAAAACAAGCCAAATTCCCACAGAGAAAAAAACAGAGTTCAGGACCAGAAGTCCATGTGGTTGCCAGTTCTGTACTTACAGTGCCTTACATATGGTAATTGCTTAAGCAAATAAATGTTTCTTAAATTGAATTCTCAATTTCCCCTTAATGAACTAATCTTGGGAGTTGGGGACAGACTAAGGAAGATAGGAAGGGATGTTGGGAAGAGATTCAGTTGAAGTATTTGACTGGCTAGATTATAGTCATAATATCCCTTTATGAATGGCTAAATAGCTACATCTACATAGAGATTTAGACTTATAGACAAATTTATATGTAAATATATATGTACATATATATGTATGTATAACATGGCACATATGTAGCTTTACCCTCTTCATGTAAAATGCAAGCTCTTTGAGGACAAGGAGAGGGTTTTTTTGTTTGTTTTTCCATCCCCAGAACCTAGCACAGTGCTGTGCACATAGTAGATACTTAATATGTGTTTAATGAATTCAAGTTTTAGTTACTGCAAACTTAGCTGGGAATCCTGTGGACTGTCAGCCCCACAACTATTCAAGCAATAAGCAGTAGCAATTGACTTCACAGTGATCCTCTCAGAGTAACCAAAACCTACCTTTCTCATTTTGCCGCCTGATTTTGGGTACCTAATTCCTAAATTCTAGCTATTGACTCCTTTCTTCAGTCATATGCAAGTGAGAGCTAAGGAGTCAAAGTTCTACACTACAGTCATGGTAAAAACGAGCTTAGAAATGTAAACAAATATGAACATTTGTTCAAATTTCTTTGTGTCCATTTTGCAGTGGAGCCAAGAACAGCATGTATTTATAAAGAAGCATACCTAGCCAAAGTTATTGAACCACTTCCTCCTAGTACCCGAGTCTGATTCTCTGCCTGTGGGTATGTCTCCTTAGGAAGCTATAGATTAATCCTTTCAAGACTGTTTAGTAATTTTGTTAGACCTCTTAATTCTAATCATTAGATACTAATGAGTCTGAGTTCAGAAAATTAATAGCCATAAATTCCATGATAGGAATGTAAATGTGACTCAAGAAAAAAAAGTTTTATTCCTAGGATTTATTTTAATCTAATCTATGTTATTGATTTTAAATGTTGATACTTTGATGAATCCCTTATCCTATTCTTTGGAGTGTAATCCCTCTCCCAACACAGATTAGAATTTATTTACACCTCTAACATATTCATATTACTCCAAGAAAATGAAGTCTACAGAGCACACTTCTTAATGACCTCCTAAATGCCATCTAGAGTGCCAAGCATCCCATTCAGCATAGTTCTTATATAACTATAGTACACAGAGTAATACATTAAAACCTGGAGCACTAGGGACAGCTAGCTGACACAGTGGATAGAGCACTGGCCCTGGAGTCAGGAGGACCTGAGTTCAAATCCAACCTCAGACACATAACCCTTACTAGCTGTGTGACCCTGGGCAAGTCACTTAACCCCATTGCCTAGCCAAAAAAAGAAAAAAACCTGGAGCACTTAATGGGATGGTTGAATAGGCATTTTCCTTTCACCTCAGTTCTGCATTTTCCAAGCAACTCCCTCAAGGTCCATGTCCTCTGGCAAGTCAGGCCAGGCCTTGGGCTCATCCTCATACAAGAGTTCATTTTCTCTAGGTCTTTCTGATTCCAGGTCCATTACTCTATGCACTGTACCACTTAGGTGCCTAATATTGCTACTAATAATAATACTAATAGCATTAATATAATGCTTTAAGATTTCCAAAGAGTTTATGTATGTTAATTCATTTAAGCATTCTCTTTCACCTGGTCTAGTATTCATGAGGCACAATAAAAAAGAGCATTGCATATGGAGTCAGAAGGCCTGGATTTGCATATTGGCTCTTAATTCCTGTGGGTACCTGGGCAACTCATTTAATCTTTCTTAGCCTCAGTTTCTTATTGGTAAAATGAAGGGGTTGATTCTGATACTATGTAAGGTCCCTTCCATCCTAAATCCCATATGACTAGGAATGTTTGGTCCAGACAAGCTCTCAGTCTGGATTGTTAAGCACCACTTATCCTTTATCAGCCTGAAGCTGTTCTGGATACAAATAGTACCAGGTGTCATTACAATATGTTACCTCTCCCAAATTATCAAGAACATTGACTTACAGCCAAGCTGACCAATATGCCTTTCCAATGGCCAGCTTAATAATCATTTTAAACCACTGTCCAATCAGTCTCAATCAGTTCAATCAGTTCAACTGTCAGGTACCCAGACAAATAAAATTGGCCAATTAATGGTGATTGACCATATCAACCAAATCCATTCTATGACAATATTTAATGTCAATGGGTTCTAAGTCTTCTAGTACTGCTGTGAGAAAAAAAAAAAAATATATATATATATATATATACACACACACACACATATTTCCCTGATGGAAGAAGATTAAAACAAATATACCAGACCCTACCAGTAAATAAATGATGGCCAAGTAGCAAGTTGGGTACCCTGGGAGAAATATTAACTCTTACTGGCTGATAATTACTGTTTCCACAGCAAAAAAAACAAAAACCAGTCCCTTGGAAAGTTATCTTCCCTATGTCCCTTGACACTACTGGGGCCAGGCCTGGAGACTTCCGTCTATGCAGGAAATTTGCCATTTCCTGCTGCTGCCTCATAGCCAGCCCCCACTGGTGAAAAGACTTCAGATGCACTACTACCCTAAGCTTTCTGTCTCCTGCTCATTGAAGCATTTTTCCTAAGGAAAGACCACTTCGGGCCAGGCATCTTCCATCCGTCTCAAAGTAACTACTCCCATCTGTACCAGCACAAGACATCTTCCACCTTCTGCTGCCAGCCCATCACCCCAACCTGGATGTAGAGAATCTCTATCACAAAGAACAACCCTCCCTTTGACTTGAAGCCTTCCATCTCCTGCTGGGTCTATCCTTTGAGGACAGAGCGGGAGTGATATCGCCTACTCAATGATGAACATTCTCACATCTGGTCATACTCTTCACATCCCAGTAACTCTGAATACCTATAGATCACCATCCAAACCCCACTCCGCACCCCCTTCTGCCTGACTCCTCATTCCAATCCCCCCAGTCCTCCCATGGCAAAGTCTCATCCTAACTCCACTGTGCCCTCTAGAATGCCTGTTCCATAGTCAACACACTTCACTTCATCTTGATCTTTCCCTCTCCCATTCCTTCCATCTATCAGCTCTTACAGAAACCTGGCTCTCCCTAAACAACGCAGCTTCCCTGGCCACCCTTTCCAATACTGGCTGTACCTTCATTCATTCTCCCTCAACTCATTTTCTCCTCTGATACTGCCACAACTCTAGTGCCAGCTCTCATCACCTCATTCCTGTTTACTACAATAGCTTACTGATGGGGCCGCCTGCCTCAAGTCTCTCCCCACTCCAATCCATTCTCCATTTAGCCACTAAAGTAATTTTCCTAAAAGACAGGTCTGATCATGTCACCCTCCTACTCAACAAAACCCAATGGCTTCCTCCTGCCCAAGAGCAAACAACAAAATGCACTATTTGGCATTCAGAGCCCTTCATAACCAACCCCCTCCTACCATTCCCGTGTTTTTACACCTTACTCCCCTACACTTACTCTTCAATCCAATGACATGGGCCTCCTGGCTGCTCCATCTTTTGGGCTCTGGCCATTTTCCCTGGCTATCCCCCATCCCTTCTCCACTCCAACTACTGACCTCCCTAGCTTCATTTAAGTCCAAACTAAAATCCTGTCTTCTATAGGAAGTCTTCCCTACCCACCTCTTGATTCCAGTTCTTTCCCTCTTTTAATTATTTCCTATTGATCTTGTATACAGCTTGCTTTGTATATATTTATTTGTATGTTGTCTCACCATTAGACTGTAAACTACTTGAGGGCAGGGGCTGGTTTTTTGCCTCTTTTTATACCCCTAGCCCTCAGCACAGTGTCTGGAATGTGGTAAGTGCTTAGTAAATATTTATTCATTAATTGATAGATCTCAAAGACTCCCTTACAGCATCTGATGGAATCATAGAATGTTAGGAGTAGAAGAGGCTTTCCAGTACAGTTCAGTTCCCCAAAGTCATTTAGGGGACTGAGAGGATGAGGAAACTGAGGACCAAAGAAGTGAGGTTAGTATCAGAGAAACAGGAACATACAATTTCCATTTTGCTCCACTGATTTTAGCACTGAGCCCTTAAAACCTAGCTAAAGTAATTCTGTTTCTCAGTTACTCATGAGCAAGTAAAGCACCAAGGTGAGTCAGATGCAGAGCTGAGGAGATCCTAAGATACTGGTTCCCCAGTTCAGGATTCTTTCCACTACACCAGACTGATTCTATGTTGATTATTCTTGTCACTGTTTGATTCAAACTTTGGAGCTAGATAAGGAAACTTATTTAGTCTCACTCTTTTCTTGTTTAACCTTGTAAGGCTATAGTGTCTTTTTTAACCATAGAGAATTTGAAAAGTCTTTGATTCTATAGTCAACTCTTTTCTTTGGTGAGACAGTTGGGTTTAAGTGACTTGCCCAGAGTCACATAATTAGTGAGTGTTATGTGTCTGAGGTCAGATTTGAACTCAGGTCCTCCTGACTTCAGGACTGGTGCTCTATCCACTGCACCACTTAGCTGCCTATAGTCAACTCTTGACTTTCAAACACTGTTTAAAATATAAGTAAGTCAACAGATAAGACTTACAAATGTTTCATATGGGCTTTTTTACCATGCGTTTGATATAAATTTTGCCTATATTCATTGAATTGTGACCAATATGAACAAAGGTTAACTTTGCGCATTCTAATAACTAAAATCTTCATAATTCTTTCTAATATTACTAACATTTCTTCTCATTGCCCTTTCTTCTACAGTTTAAAAATAACCTGTATATAGGGGCAGCTAGGTGGCAGAGTGGATAGAGCACTGGCCCTGGAGTCAGTAGGACCGAAGTTCAAATCCGCCCTCAGATACATAACACTTACTAGCTGTGTGACTCTGGGCAAGTCACTTAACCCCAATTGCCTCACCAACAATAATAATAATAATCTGTATGTGTACACTTCTAGTATACACCCCCTGCCACTAATCTAGAGTTTCTTAACCTTTTCTGTGTCATGGATCCCTTTGGCAGTACAGTGAAGCATACATGTCCCTATGTACTTATTATTGTGGACATTCATTATTGAAGGAAATATTAAATTTAAGTTAAAGATCAGCGAAAATGAAGATGTAATTTCTCAAACAACTTTCCAAAAGAGAATTCATTATGTCTGTCCCTAAACATACCTCTCTTCCTAACTTCTCTATTTCTGTCAAGGGTATCACTGTCCTTCTAGTTATTCCCTGGTTTGTAAATTTGGAATCATTTCAACTCTTCACCTTCACTCATCCTCTGTATTCAGTCAGTTGCAAAGTCTTGTAAATTCTACCTCCATGATATATCTCACATCAGTCCCTCTATCTCTACTCACACAGCCATATTACTATTTTTGACTCTCATCACCTCTTGCATGAATATTACAAAGCCTCCTCACTGATTTCCATGATTCTGTTCTGTCCTTTTCCAATCCAAATAGCTACCAAATTGATATTCCTAAAGCATAGGTCTGATCATGTCATTGCCCTGCCCAAGATACTTCAGTGTCTCCCTTTCACCTCTAAGATAAAATGCAAATTCCTCCATTTGGCATTTAAAGCCCTCAGTCTGGCTTCTTATCTCCTCAACAGACTAATTTCACATTATTTCCCTCATGTCATTGGGTTCCAATCAAACTGGCCTATTTGCTTTTCTCCTATATACAGCATTCCATCTTCCAAGATGCCCAAGATGTCCCCTGGGCCCGTAATGTACTTGTTCTTTACTTCTACTTCTTAGAATTCCTTCATCCCTTCAAAACTCCCTATAGTGCCATCTACTGCACAAAAGTCTTCCTGATACCCCCAGTTATTTGCGTCCTCCCCTTCTTCCTCTAAGTTACTTTGCATTTACTTTGTATTTGTGTGCATGTTGTATCCCCTCAGTACAAGGTAAGGTCCTTGAGGGTGAGAGTTCTTTTTTTTTTGTCCTCATTACCTAGAACAGTGCCTTGAGCATAATAAATGTTTGATGAATATTTGATAAACTTAATTGATCATTTAGATATGTGATACTTTATTCTCTGTTTCCAGTGTGTAGATAACATTAGATGCAATGGCCTCATGATGAATGCATTTGAAGAAAACTCCAAAGTCACTGTTCCTCAAATGATCAAGTAAGTGATTTTTTTTATTACCAGAATTTTCTGAGACAGCATTCATTAGCACATGGGTGAGTTTTATGGAGCTCAAAAATTCCACTGGGTTTCAACATCTGTACTTTGTTTCAGTTCATCATAACTAAACACATAAGGACTTTAGTTAGAAATTTTTCTATATTTCCAGTTTCTGAGGACATGATAACTTCTGAAGACATGGTATTTGAAATGTAAGCTATATTTTCCCGGACCCGTAGGAAACCTATAGGAAGTTCAAGAATAATAAATGAATGAATGAATGACAGTGTCTACCCAGTGCCAAATATATATAGAAAAAGCTAAAAAAACTTGGTGAAATGTACTACTCTTCCCAAATACTCTGATTTTTATTGTTATGAAAACAAAACTGCAAGAACCTCCCTATGATCCTAATTCTTCCAACCATGTCTCAGGGATGTTATATACTTCCCATTCTCTGTAATCACCTCCTATACCCACATATGTTCTTAGGCCACCCATGACAAGCAAGAACCATAAAAGAGGCACCAGGGACCCACCCAAGAAGCAAGGTCACTGGCTGGTGCTCCTGTCTTGGATTAACTAACCTGGATTCTTGACCTCAGTTTTCCTTGACTTTTTGATGATTTTTTTTCTACCTTGAAAATCTTCTGACTCCCAGAATTTCCAATTTGCTCCTGACCAAATTAGCTGTTCATTTATTGAGCAGTCTGGTTCCCAGATTCTGGATTTGCTTTATGTCTCCAGCCCATTAATCTCAGGCCCTGATACTTGTCTAGGTCATTTTCAGGCTTGTCACTCACGTGAATAACTATAACCTGCTGTTTTCCATACTAAACAACTAGTTCTTTTGCTTTTTACATGGATCATCTGACATCATATGGGTATACACTTTGTTAAACCAAGTGTGGGTAAAAATGAACATGGCCCCCTCCCCACCTTCTGTGGAAAGATCTGTGGAAAGATCAGGACCAAATGCCAACTGAAAGCTCAAATCAATCAAGTCCTTCATATATTCCAGTTATTTTTGGTATCTAAAGTCCATACAATGAACTTCTTTCTAGGCAAGATAAATTATAATATGGTCCTTCTAACACAGATCTGCACAACTTAGCAGTAGGTAGGCACAAAATTAAAATAGACTAAACTTCTTCAGGCCACAGATAGTTTTTTAGCAGCTCACTTTCCAAGTAAAGGTAATTAGAGACAGACTGACGATGGTTGGTTGCCTTGAGTCATGTGACAAATAGGTGCACAATGGCAGACTACCTGAAATCCCTGGGTGGGCCACAAGCCGTGGGCCATATGTTGTGGAGTCTTATACAGTGTCTTATACAGGTCCAATACAAGATGCATATTATAGTAAATTCTACTCTCTGGTAGTTTGTATTCTAATAAAGTTCCAGATCATGTGAGTATAAGCATTTGGCCAAGCACAGTTCTACAGATTAACCCAATTCCGTGGTCCTTGGACCTAAAAGAAATATGGCTACTGGAAAGTATTTTTTAACCAAAAAGAAAAATAAAGGCACCATTATCGCACTGAAATTTTTTTCTATTACTGCTTATTGTCTTGAAAATAATATGGCTAAAGTTTCACTAATAATGACCACTAATAAGATCTACTAATAAATTTATGGATTCATGAGTTGTTGGTTTTTTAGACTGGCCTAGAGATTTCCTCAGCTATGTAGAAGGCACTTTTGGGACATGTTGAATAATTGGACATGATAGTTAAGACACTGGACTAAGTGATTTCTAAATCCTTCCAATTCTGAGATTATTGGCCCTTAACAAATGTTAATTTAGCTTTAAAGTACTAGCTGACCTTTCACAAAGGCAGCCACCAGAAATAAAAACATGCTTTAGTCAACTATTAGTGATATCTGATTCATAATTTAATAGTAATATAGTGACTGCTAGTGGAATCTACTAATTTTTTTATAATTATTACATGGCCCAGTGGGTCTAATGGCAGCATAAATAGCAGGATGCCTCATGAACCAAAGAGATATAAAGTCATCCAGGAATGAGAACAAGAAGACCTAAAGTCATGATTCTGATTGGAAGACAAAAATGACCATGTAATATTATAAAGTAGAGGAGAGAGCTGATCAGTTAGCCCTTGATTAATTTGATGTTTCCCAATCAACTTGATGGGAAATCCATACCACACCAAAGGGTATGGACCTTTATCTGGACATCTTAAAAACATCTCCCAAGGAAGCAGACATGTGGCTGGCACTCCTGAGAAGAAACTGGAAACCTTTTTCTAATTTTCTCTAATTTCTTCTAACTGCCTCCAAAATGATTGAGAATTGGGGCCTCTAGTTGGAAGAGCAGCTCATCCCCCATGGTCTCTGAAAGTAAATTGATTGCCTCTCTCTCTCTCTCTCTCTCTCTCTCTCTCTCTCTCTCTCTCTCTCTCTCTCTCTCTCTCTCTCTCTCTCTCTCTCTCTCTCTATGTTTCTATCTCTCTTTCATTGTCTCTCTCTGTGTCTTTTTGTGTTTGTCTCTCTACATGCCTATCTCTGTCTCTCCCTTCCTTTGTCTCTCTCCTGAATTCCATTCCTGAACTCTCAAACTTAGGATTACCCAGAAGGCAACTCTCAAAGCTGGGCATCCCAGGAAATTGCCCATCTTTGGATAGAAGGCTAGATTCCAAGATTACAATGACTAGGGTATTCAGAATTCCCCCTCCTTTACACAGAAGGTTGGGGTTCAGGAACTGTGTTCTTGAACTCCTCTCAAGGACCATGTGTAAGCACACATCCTCCACTGTCATGTGATTCTACCACAAATAAACATCATCTGCTTGGGGGGGGGCAGAAAAAAATCCTCCACCCTTCCACACTGACTCCAGATTGAAGTTACAGTCTTCTGTGTCCCACTCTGGACTTCCAGAGGACAGAAAGAAAAATAAAGAAATGTAATCAGATCACTCTTACAGGGTATAGTCAGTTCTTCCCATAAGAGTCTGTCCCCACCTTATTTTCATTCACCAACATCTTAGAAGCATCTCCAGTCAACAGGAACCAATCAGGGTAGTTGCACCTGTCCTCCAGCATGATGCTAAGGTTCATGTCTACCTGCCCTTCAGATGCTGTCAGACAAAGATCCATGACCTTGGTAAACTCATAAAATTGATCAAGAATTCCCTTGATCAAATACCTTTTATACTTAGAAAAGAAGAAAGCAGATGCATCAGCTAAAGAGCAATATGTCTTTGCATTTGCCCTGAAAATTGAGGTATAGAACCATAAGCCTCAGGTCTCATCAACCATTTGAACAGATTCTCCCTAACAAATAAAGACACCCCCCCCAATGCCTAATTGGTGGGACCTAAAGGAAATGCTAATCCCAGCTTCTTTCCACAGAGGGCCCCTTACTCCTCTCCCTTCTTTCCAAACCCTGTTTTGGGGCTAGGAAGAGAGGAAAGTTTGAACTGAAAAAGACTCCCTCAGAGATCTGAAAGAGCCCAAACCATCCTTGAGAGAAAATTCCAGCTCCTAATCTCTGTCCTCAGGAAAAGGAAAAGATCCACAAAATCATAACATGTTGAAGTTCATGGGAATTTTAGGAATCATCTAGTCTTAGAGTTCTTTTGACCTGGGGTCCATAGACCAGCAAGTAGTCTTTGGATAGATGTCAGGTGGTTGGTGAACTTGGATGGAAAAAAAAATTACATTTTTATTTTATTATCTTCTGAGGGAAATTCAGCATTTCCTCCAATTATGAATGTAGGTAATAAACATAAACCTGAGGAGAGATCATAAGCTTCACCAGACTGCCACAGTGTTGCATGACCCCCACAAAAAAAAAGTTTAAGGACCTCTGATCTAGTCCAACACCACCATATTATAGAGGAGTAAACTCAGGTCTAGAGAAATGAAGTGATCGCCCAAGGTCACAGAACCACTAGAATCTATGTCTCCTGATTCCCACTCCAGCACACAGAAATCTAGGAAAGAAGAATTCTCTGAATTTCAATGTTTTAAGTACTTTTCATAGCCTTTCTGAAACAAGAGTAAATCTCCCTTTCTTGAACTGCAAACTCTTGAAAAGAAGTCCACAGAGTCTGCATCACTAAGTTATAAAATATTTAATAGGACTAAGAAGAGACATACAAATATTCATTTGTAATTATGAATTTCTTGCCTAATCATCATTTAACCTCCCAAATTTCCAAACTCCACATTAAGAGCAACATTAGATAGTGCAATAAAATCTTTGGGCTTGATTCCAGGATTTGGGAAGAAAGAGTCATTTCAATCCAATTCTGACCCCCTCCCCCACAGTGGCTGTGTGATCCTGAGACCTACATCTTCCCTAAGCTACAGTTTCTTCCTTAGGTAGAAAAAGGGGAGAGGGGCGGGAAGAAGAGGTGATTAGGTATGCTAAGTACTTCCTTCCAGCTTCAATATTCTACATGCTGAGAGCTAGTGAGGTCTAATGGATAGAGAGCTGACCTCAGAATTAGAACAACCCAGCTTCAGTCTTGTCTTTACCATGTACTAGCTGCATGACTGCAGGCATTTAAACCTCTCAGGGTCCCAGGTAACTGTCTAAGACTATAATCTGCTCAGAAGGTGCTAACCTGAATTAGTAAAGGAAGCTCCTCATCACAAGCATCTTACCCTAATACTAATAAAATTATAGATCTAACTTTTAAAGAAAAAGGGTAATTGCTATATTTGACTTCTGGGAATCATGAAATTCTTCCAACCTATTCCTCTCATACTCTAACCCTCCAGCCTGATTCAGACAAGAAATACACCAGAGAGGATTTTCTTGGTAATTCTTTTGTTACCTTTCTCCAACCACGGGCATAATTCTATTTCCTAATTTGGGAGACCTCAAGGTAATCCCAGCTTCTCTCCAGGGAGGGTCCATTACTCCCGTCTCTCCTTCCCAAATCCTGCCCTGAGAATGGGAGAAGGAGAAAGAAAGGGAGACCAGTCTTGCATTTTGTTAATGAGAGTATAATATCTATTCAGGCTGCAATCTACCTTGGTCAGACTTGTGACATCAAAACTATAGTGTTCCCTTGTAAGCACTACAATTTAAGAAAGATACTGTCACAAATTACAGTGTCAGGAGTGGATGAAAAATCTGTTGATGATAAGACTGGTGAAGAGAACATGTATATCTGGGGCACAAACACACACATACTTTTTGACCCTCAGAACAGCCACCTTAGGTTAAAGGCATTCATTGTCTCTTTACACTTAGTGAGAACATGATCACTGTCTTTTAAGTATTTCATTCATTCAGCAAGCATTTTCTTTTATTGTCCAAACTTTGTGCTAGGTGCTGGGAATAAAAAGGCAAAGTAAAACAGTCTCTGCCCTCAACTTGAACAAAAATAAGTAAATATAAAATATAGGAATAGGGATAGATATTGTATATGTGTGTGTGTATATAAATATATATATATATGCACATTTATATGAGTGTCTGTATGTGTATGTATGTATACATATATATGGGGCAGCTAGATGGCCTGGTGGATAGAGTGCTGAGCCAGAGTCATGAAGACCTGAGTTCAAATCCAGCCTCAGACAATTACTAGCTATGTGACCTTGGGCAAATCATTTAACCTCTGTTTGCCCAAGAGGCAGCTAGGTGACTCAGTGGATAGAATGCTGGGCCAAGAGTCAGGAAGACCTGAATTCAAAACCGGTTTCAGACACTTACTAGTTATATGGCCCTAGACAAGTCACCTAACCTCCAATTACCTTAAGCCACTGGAGAAGGAAATGGTAAACCACTCCAGTATCTTTGCCAAAAAAATCTTATAGACAATATAATCCAAGGGGTCATGAAGGGTTGGACACAACTAAGCAACTGATATACAACAATATATATATGTATATATATATTACAACAATATATATATGTATATATATATATATATATATATATATATATATATATGTATGTATATATATATATATATATATATATATATTACACACACACACACACATGAATGTATTTACACATACCTATGTATATACATATATACCTGGGAGCATATAACTCCCATACCTGAGTTTCATAGTTAGATAGATAGATAGATAGACAGACAGATATGTATAGATATGCATAAATGTATGTATATTCATAGATATGCATTATGAAACTCCAAGGTAAAGAAACTCTCCCTGCCAATGGTTGCAGGCACCTTCTCTTCAACTTATCATCTTGGAATAAAGAGAGATAAACTGACTTTCCCAGCCAGTATGTATCAGGAGAGAAACGAACTGAGTTCTTTCTGGCTCCAAGGTCAGCTTTCTATTCACTGCACCATGCTGTCTACAAAATATAAATTAAATAAGAAGAAAGTAATTTGGAAAGGTTACCATATAGAAAAGGGAATAAGCTTGCTGTAAGTTGACCAGACAGTAGGATGAGAACCACCAATAGACAAATACCCATAAAAGAGATTTCAGGGTTGAGCAGGAGATAGAGGATAGCTCAAACCCTTCCCAGCTCTAATATTCTATAACCCCTTGACATTTCAGTACTCCTGGAGCTGATGGGCTAGAGCAGGACTTCTTTATAGAAGTTTTGAATTCTATACAGAATTTGCCTTGGTAGAACCGGAGTTTAAACCTAGACCACTTATGCAACTACCAAATGAGAAAGGTTTTTCATGCTATAAGCATGAACATTTCCATACAACCAGTACAGAAAGAAAATAAGTAAAGGTTCAATAAGGGACCAAAAGAAAAGTTGGGTCTCCCATATAAGCCTAAACTGGTCTATTCACTCTCCCTCAAACACACGTGTTCTTGCTTCCATTCTTGCGTTCATGTGATGCCACTGAGACAGAATATCCTCCATTTCCTCTTGGCTTAACCAAACCTTATAAAGCTAAGATTCATCTCCTGAATATAAATTCTTATAAATGCTCTAGTCCTATATTCCTCACTGAATCATAAAGCCACAGACTATCCAAGTTGGAAAATCATTGGAGATCGTTTAGTTCAACTCCATCATTTTACAGGTAAGGAAAATCACCCAAGGTCACACAACTGACTCAGTAGCAGGACAGGGACTAGAAACCAAGTCTTTGATTTCCCAAGCCAATGGTCTTTTTTACTATATGATGCTGCACAGAGCTAGTTCAGTAGCAGCTATATTAAAATATGGTCAGTATGGATATAAAAATTTTGAATAGCATAAACTTTTTTTAATATAACTTTAACATTTACTGTCTCATCTTGTCTGCCTTGTCTTCTTATAACTGCCATATTATTTTTTCATGTGTATATATCTTGTCTCCCCAGCAAGGGTGAGGGCAAGGTCTAGGTCTTATGTTTCTCTGTATCCCTCATAGCACTCAGTACATACTTAGTATTCAATATACTATGAAAATGAAAGTAAATAACAAAACCAACTTGGCCATTAGCAGCTCTCCAAAAGAATGAGAGGTGTTCCACATAGCTTCCTTGAAGTGAGCTGCTCACCTACTTTAACTGAGTGAATTCTTCAAATGAGGAAAAATTAATTCCAATTTATTTCCTTTTGCTACTTATACCACTTAATGGAGAAACAGCCAGGGTAAAAGAAAAAGTAGGTGGGCTACTTTGTGTTTAGTGTTTTGCTCTTTTACAAGATTAATTTATAATCACAGAGAATCTTCCTTTTAGTACTTCATCTTTCTAAAAGTGCCCATGTTATCGAAGTGATGCTTACGGTCACATTTTCCTTCTAACTCTCCTTACAGGTCTGATGCTTCCCTGTATTGTGATGATGTTGACATCCGATTCAGCAAAACCATGAACTCCTGTAAAGTCCTGCAGATCCGTTATGCCAGTGTGGGGCGACTTCTGGAAAGGCTCACGGATCTAAGGTTCCTGAGCATAGATTTCCTCAACACATTCTTGCATTCCTACCGGGTGTTCACAACAGCTGTGGTGGTTCTGGACAAGCTCATCACGATTTATAAGAAACCTATCAGTGCAATACCTGCAAGGTAAGGTTAGAGAGGTCAATGTTTACACCACCGGAACCATCGCCATTGTTACCAGCTAGTAGGACCCAAACATATCCCATACTTCTGAATCTGGGTGATGATTATATACTAATCTCTTTCATTGGTAGCTTCATTTCTGTTTTGATTCATGAGTCCCCCTGTCAATTTTAATGCCAGTAGACCCACTGGGCTATATATTAATTATCAAAAAAAAAATCAAGCGATTCCATTAGCATTTGCTACATAATTTTCAACAGCAGGCATCACCAAAAGATGAATGAAACCTATTTTTTTCCTTTACGATCCTAGGATTGTAGGCTTAGGATTGAAATTCACTGAAAGACCATCTAGTCTAGACCCTTTGTTCTACAGGTAATATGTAACATAGAAGGATTTAAACCCAAGTCTTCTGAATCCAAATCCAATGGATCAACTTTTTAGAATCAAATTAATAATTTTTATGAGAAGCCAGAATTCCTTTCTTCTCATAGATCATAGATTCTCAGAGTTAAAAAGGATCATAGCATCACTGATCTAGAGCAAGAATGGACCTCAAAGATCATTTGGTCCAGCCTCCTCGTTTTACAGATGAGGAACTTGAGGCCCAGGGAAGTTAAATGACTTGCCCAAGTTCATACAAGTAGTTAGTGCCGAAGGCAAGATTTAAACCCAGGTCAGGGAACCTGGGTTTTCCTCCAATGTTTTCCATTGTACTACATTGCTCACAGAGATCATCATTCCTAAAAATTGGTCCTTTTAGAACTCATGAGGAAATCAGTAGCCTAGCTTTTCAGTTTTGTTTTGTTTTGTTTTACTCATTAGCCTGCAAACATTTTTGTTATGGATTTCAGCATTGTCAATCAATCAATAAATAAGCATTTATTAAGCACCTACTGTGTGTTAGGCGCTGTGGCCCACTGATCATGCAGCTTGCTCATGATCAGAAAGTGATCATGATCATAGTGATGTCAGACCCTATACTGGAACCCTGATCACTCCAAGTCCAACATTCTGGGTACCAAACCAATAGATGGAAACAAGATTGATTTAATCATGTCTTGTTATAGAAATTACTTTTCTGACATTCAATGATTGAAGCCAAGTAAGTGAAAAAAATCACTAAAACAAAGTCTAAACTTGAGTAAATAAAAAATTAACAAAGGTCTAAGAGGACAGATAATGAAACATACCTCCTCCTTCATGAAAGAAAGGCCAGTGCCTAGTAGGACAGAATATTGTATACATTACCAGAAACTGTCACTGTGTCTGATTTTTTACCTAATTGGTTTTCTTTTTGTTACAAGGAAGGGTTCAATCTGGAAGGGCGGGGTAGAGTGAATTACCAATAGGGACTGGACCTGTGATTTCATAGGGAACTCTCAGGTAAGGAAACTCCTTCTACCAATTCAGGTCAGCCCATTCTCTGGAATTTATCATCTTAGAGAGTTACCTAGAGCACTGAGAGATTAAGTGATTTGCCTAGGGTCACACAGACAGAATAAGGCACAGGCATAACTTGAGCTCAGGTCTTCTTGGCTTAAGGCTGGCTCTCTATCCCCTGTGCCATACTGCCTTTCATAGAGTGAAATAACCATGACATAAAAATAAAATGAATCAAACTTTAAAAAACAAAACAAAAAACCTTTTCCTATGGTCAGATTTCTATTACGCCTTGGATTCTTTGGACTGGATTCATCTATAGAGCTACTCTAAACAAAATGTATGTACTTACATACTAGGGCAAATATACACAAATAAATAGTGTGAAATTTAATATAACAGAAGTACTATATAAGGACCTACTGAAAGAATCACGTTAAAATCACGTTAACTGGGCATGGTGATACACAACTGTAATACCTACTGCTTTAAACTCCCTACTACTGGAGAGGCTGAGGCTGACAGATCTCTTAAGCTCAGGAGTTGTTAGTTTCAGTGGGATATGGCTAAGCTCATCAAGTGTCCGTACTATGTTCAGTATTAATATGGTGAGCCTCTTGGAGTAGGAGGGTGGAGCCACCATGTTGCCTAAGGAAGGGTAAATCTGCCAAAGTCAGAAACATACCAGGTCAAAGCTCCCAGGATCAGAGTGGTATCAGGCCAGTGAGTAGTGTCTATACTTCTAGCCTGGATAAAATAGGGATACTTAGTCTTAATTTTTTTTTCATTTAAAAAATTATTAAGTGTAATCTTAGTTAGAATGGAGCTCCATAGCGCAGACTGACCTCAAAAACTGTTGCCCTATTAAAATGGGGATATCCAGGAACCTAGACTGCAGTCAGATTTTTCAGCTATATGATGCCTTTTTAGGTAAGCTAGGACTTACCATACAGCAGTAAAGAATTTGCTTATTGTACTCATAGGAGGTAAGAGAATGGTGAAAATACTTATAAAGAGAAAGAAAGATAGAAAATTCTATTTGTCTGCCTCTATTTACCCCCATGATCACACCCTGTATATCCATACCCCCCATTATCACCTCTTCATGCACCACATAGTCAGTGTCAACTCTCTCTTCTGTTCCCCTTTCTAATAAATGATACTCAGTGCAAAAATACTGACCTCAATACCTTTACTGCATCTCTGGCTGAATACCTTGGAAATAGTCACTTCTCAAGTGAAGCATGTTTTCAACTTAAGATTTCACTTGGCACAAGTTGGGTCAGACAAGGAGGAAAAGATTATTAAGTGCTTTCTTTTACATGCTAGGTTGCACCTCCATAGGGCAGCTAATATATTATCTTGTGGAACCCCACTCCATCTGACAGGTATCAAGAAATTAAATTCCAGCCACCAAACAAACCTTGACAAAGAAACACTTCTTCCTCCTCAGCAGCTCCTAGAAACACCCTCATTGTGTACCCTAAAAGGAAGGGAGGGGCTCTTTCTCTCAGGCTTCAAGAGAGTAGAAGCTATTGGAATAACAACTACTAAGTCCAAAGTGGTCCTCAATCCCTCTTCTGCTACATATTTACACTGCATGGCTCTGGAAGTATGGACCATTCAGAGAAAAAAGATGCGTGGGCTTTTAAACCTCTTCTTCTCCTCCTTCCTGTCCTAAGTACCCCCTCTCCACACAACCTCTTGGTCCCAGACCCAAAGCCCAAGAGAATACACAGGAGAGGTGAGAAGGACACATGATAGGGGTTGGAAAATATAGTCAACAGAGTTGTAATGGATGCATGGTCCATGTGCAGACACCATTGGTCAAAGAGAATATTTGTTAGTTACAGCAATGTTGAAGATGACAACTTGTGAAGATAGCGACATCTGGTGTAAGATGCTAGAGAGCTGCTTTCAGGCGAATTATTATATTATGTAAGGATAGTGAAGAGACTGGAGGAGGCATGGATATTCTATAAGTGTTTCCAGTCTGCTAAACACATTCTGAAGCAGAGTCTTTTGGATTGGCTGCAGAGGCTTTCAAAAAGGCTTATATGGTATATATGCAGACTCCCATTATATAAGTGAATTTGACCAGACAGTTCAGGCCAGCCTCATTTGCTGTAATTTGGATCCAAGGTCTGATATCTCAGCTTATCCAAAGGTAATCAGGGCCTGGTAAATAAGCAACTTACACTGCTAATACTAACACAAGATTAGACTGGTTGAACTAGAAAGCCACTTTATTAATTTATAATAAGAAGTAGAGTGATAATAATTTATAATGAAAATTATAGCACTGACTGACCAATATTTGCATTGGTCAATCAGTGTTTTCTATTCCCAGTAGGTTAACCTACTTTTGAACACAAAATGAGATCAGCAGGTTGCTTACTAAATATTTAATTTTCTTAACTGTAAAATGAAGAGATTTGGCTAAACATTACTCAACAAATACTTATGAAGTGTTTATTATGTACCAGGCACTATTAGGTGCTGGAAATAGTTACAAAATTAAATAATCCCAATTCTCAAGGAGCTTCCATTCTGTCAGGGAAACAACATGTACAAATATGAGCATATACAGAATAAATACAAAGCAGTTAAATATAAGATAATTAGGGAGGAAGGGAGGAAGAGATCAGGAAAAACTATGTTTAGAAAGTTATGGAGTCTACAAAGTGGAGGTAAGGAGAAAGGCACATGGGCAAACCAATACAAAGGCACAGAGATGAATGAAAGAATGTTGAATGTGAGGAACACAGAGAAGGCCAGTATTACTAGACTGTGGAAAAGATGAGAAAGCTAGGTTGAGATCAGATTTTAAAGGGTTTGAAATGCCAGACAAAGGAGTTTACATTTTATCCTAGAGACAATTGGAAACCACAGGAGCTTATTGAGTAGAGAACTGTGCTTTTAAAAAATCATTTTGGCAGCTATATGGAGGATGGACAGGAGTGGGAAAAGATGAGGCAAGGTGACTAATTAATAGACAGTCACAATAGTCTAGGGGAAAGGTGATGAAGGCCTGAGCTAAGGTGGTGGCTTTGTGAGTAGGAAGAAGAGAACATATATGAGAGATATTGTGACAATAGAAAAACGATTTGATAACAGATTACATATGGGGTGAGTGTGAGGGAAAAGTTGAGAATGACACTGATTTTGTGAGTGTTACTAAGCAGTTGGTGGTATCCTTGACAGTAATTTTAAAGAAAGGAGAATTTGAGGGGAAAGATAAAGAATTCTGTTTTGGTCATGCTGAGTTTGTGATGCCTGTGGGAACCCAGTTCGTGGTATCCAAATGTAGCTTGTGATGTGGGATTCAAGCTCCTGAGAGAATGAGACTGGAAATGTAGATCTGGGAATCATCTGAACAGAGGTGACAATTAAACCTGTTGGAGTTGATTAGGTCACTGAAAGAGAGATTACATAGAGAGGACTCAGGTGTTATGTAGAGAGTGAAGAGGAGCTTGGAATACATTCACAGTGAAGGGGGGTGATATGGATCATGAGACAGCAAAAGAGACTTAATAAGGAGGGAGGCATCTGAGAGGTACAAGGAGAACCAGGAAGGAGTACTGTTATAAAAACCCGGAGAAGAAAGAGTAATCCTGGAGGAGAGGGTGGTCACAATGTCATGGGTCCCAATCTCTGAACTTCTCTGAGTCTCGGTTTCCTCATCCATAAAATGATTATATTAATGCTCACATTAACTGCCTTGCAGAGTCATTGCAAGGCATGGGCTTTGTAAACTACAACGATATGAGCTCTTGGCAAGGAACATGTGGCTCTTGGGATATGGCCAACACAAAAGAATAGAAAAATAGAATCTGACACTCTTTTTGGCAGAAAGAGAATAAGTTTTTGTTTCCCAACAGGTCACTGGAGCTCTTATTTGCCAGCGGCCAAAATAACAAGCTTCTGTACGGTGAACCTCCTAAGTCCCCAAGAGCTAATCGCAAGTTCTCCTCCCCACCACCTCTGTCCATTACCAAGTCATCTTCACCAAGTAGAAGAAGAAAGCTTTCCTTAAACATCCCCATCATCACTGGAGGGAAGGCCTTGGATCTGGCTGCTTTAAGCTGCTCTTCAAATGGCTATGCAAGCATGTATTCTTCTATGTCACCCTTTAGTAAGACTACGCTGGACATCAGCAAATCATATGTATTCAGTAATTTTCCTAACAAGATACCTGATGAGGGTGAAGGTACAGCTGAAAAAATAGAAGACTCAAGTCCCAACAAACAAAGTAAGTTGGTTTTTTTTAAGAGACTATGTCTCACTCTCTCATCCAGGCTAGATATGCAGCAGCTATTCATAGGCCCAATCCCACTACTGTTTGACCTATTTCCTACCTGGGCTGGTTTGCCCATCTTTAAGAACCTGGTGGGACTATCATATGAATTCTGACACCTGATTAGCATAGCCAATGCAGCTCAGAACTTCAGAGTTCAAGAGATCCACCAGCCTCAGCCTTACTAGTAGCCAGGATTACAGGCACATACCACCATACCCAGCTGTAAGTCAATATTCTTACACAGAGGGTCTCATAACCCAAATCGTAAACAAAACCATGGTCTTAGCAGAGACCAAGAACAGTTGTGAGTTTCAAAAGAAATACGTAGAAATCATATCAAAGGTGGAATCTAGAAAAGTACAGGTCATTTGGACTTGACCAAAAGATTTAGTCAGTCCAATTTATAATAGCCAAGCCACAAGTAGGAAGGACTGATATTTAGAAGAATTCTGCCATTCTCAGGGCAGTCTTAATGAGTCAAAGCTGACCTTAGAACAGCCAAATCTTTTGGTCCTAATCCAATTTTCCCTCATTCTTGTAGACTTAGTCAGTGTGTCATTTTACTTCGACAATCTATGAATTTCAACTTCATTGGACTTCCCAAGCAGAATCATAAAGCTGACAAACAAAAAACAATTTGTGGGTGTAGAAGAAAGATGTAGGTGAGAGGCGTGGGTGAGGCAAAGAGCATGTATTATGTAAAGAATCAGGGGGAAGCCACCAACAGCAGTGGCCCTGAGAACCATGAGTGACGAGGGAAAGCAGATGAATCATAGTACAGAGCTTTGCGGAGGCCAGAAGGCAGATCTACACCCACAGGGTTGGGATTATACAACATGACTAAATAAGGAATTGAAGGAAATTGACCACAAATAGGTATCCTTTGGGAAATAGGAAGCCAAACACATCACTAGCCATCTGCAGTGTGCCCTGTTTTTTCCCCACTATAGCTAAATAGGTACATGGTTTTAAATCAAAGTAAAAATAAGTTTTCCATATATATCAGCAGAGTTCACCATCAGAGATTTGCCTAGGCACTGGGAGACTCCCAGAAACTAACCTAGAAGCCATTTAATGTCGTCTCAGTTCTATGTTCTGTCTCAGAACTCTCTTCTGCTTGCCCATATAACTTACTGTTCAAATTCAAAGACCACTACCCAATTCAACCAGGAATAACTGGTACTTTATTTTTCTAAACACACCCAAACTGAGTCATAATATTATTATTAATAACAATGTGTGTGTGTGTGTGTGTGTGTGTGTGTGTGTGTGAGAGAGAGAGAGAGAGAGAGAGAGAGAGAGAGAGAGAGAGAGAGAGAGAGAGAGAGAGAGAGAGAGATTTCTTGTCTAGGGAGCTAATAAGCATTCTATGATTCTGAGACAGAGATCTTGAACCAAGGTACCAGTTATCTACTTTATGTGATATTTCTCTTAAGGTAATGTCATTTGGAGAAATCATCTTCTAGGTCAGGCCTATCAATAAATTAAAAAAAAACATTAGAAATAAGGTAGGAAGGAAGACATATGGGATAGGGTCATCATGAAAAACAATTTAATTTAATTCAACAAACATTAATTAAGTTTCTATGTATAAGGCATTACACTGGGCTCCACAGATACAAGGACAAAAATGAACAACATTTCCTGTCCTCAAGGAGCTTACATTCTACTGAGGAATAAATTAGGTTAATTAACTCTAGCCTATTTGCCTACAGAATTGAAAAAAAAACTAGATTGACCTAACAAAAGTCAGGCAATAGACTTTAAAAAAACAAGATTAAAACATTATGAATCTCCTTTCTCCATTATCTTTGTTCTCTTTGTGGATAGTCTTTCATTCATTCATTCATTTAGTATCCTATTAATGTAAAAAAACCTCTTGAGTATGTTTGCTGCAAGTAGAACTGTATAGCCTACTGACTTAAGAGTGCAAATAACTAGGTTAAAAAAATATTTGAGGGCCAAATTTGTCTTTCCCTTTAAAAATGATTCATAATGATTTAGCAAATTGTAATAACTATATATGTCAGCATTCAATTCAGCATAAACCTACTATGTTCAAGGCATTATTCTAGGTACTGGGGAGTCCAAAGACGCAAACTAAATAATTCCTGCCATCCAGGTTCCAGCATTCTACTAGGGGGAATACTCCATATACCAGACAAATATGGCATAAGGGAGGCATGATGAAGAGCAAATGAAAGGTCCAGACAAGGTATTCTAGGAACATTTATAGAAGAGAACACTTTCAGCTGGGGGAATTTGGGAGGGTTACATGTAGGAGGTAGCACCAGAGCTAAGAGCTCCTTGAAAGAACACAAGGATTCTGAAAGGTTAAGATGAGGAATATGGATTCCAGGCATGGAAAAAGATCGTACTCTGCAAATTTACAGAGGCAAGTGATGATCTATTGAATTCAGGAAACACCTAGTGGTCTAATTCTGATGAGAAGACAGGGAATATTTTGATAGCAATGGAAACCCAGATTCTAAACATGGACTCCAAGAAAACCATCTGCCTTAGGGACAAATCAGAACAGAAGTTTAATAACAATGAGAGTTCCAAGAGCAGTACATTGTTTGCACTGATTGGCAGGGTTCTTGTCTGCATCTGCCTGGCTTCTTTGCTAGCATCATAACTGATTTGCTTCACGTTTCTCAGGAAAGACTGTTCCTGTTCCAGAGAGAGAGAGAGAGAGAGAGCATTTATTGAGTGTTTACTATATACAAGGCACTGTTCTAAATTCTCAGGATATAAAAAACAAGCAAGGAAGCAAACCAGCCTCTGCCCTTAAGATGCTTACATTCTAGTGAGGGAAGACAAAAACAAAAGCTAGAGAAGAGAAGGAAGATGAGGCAGGTGGTAAAAAAGGAGAAAAAGAAATTCAGAGAGTGGAGATGAGAGTGAAAGACTAAAGTCAGATGAGTTATGAGTTATCCATTTCAAATATTTTCAGGCCAATAAAAAAAAATCAATGGGCCATTTGATTTAGATGTCTAAGTTTTGCCCAGTCACTACATATAGGAAGAGTTCATTTTTTATAGATAGCTATTGATTTTATATTTTAAAAAGGAAAAAGGGCTCCCAGGATATTTTACTCAGGAGAATAAGGGATTTAAATTTATCACTGGTTTGATGCAATTCAGTCATTTTAACAACCAAAACAACCACACCCTGATATCACTAATGGAACCAACCCCAAAATCAGTGACACCAAATCAGTGGGCCTAAATTAAGTAGTTCCTATAAAGACTTTTGAACAAATAGTATAAATAATTACAATTTGCTATAAGAGCTATGAAAAAATTACCTACAAATTAATTAGACCAGAGATTTAAAAAATTAAACTGACAAGTAAGAATTTTGTTTTAATTCTTGGTAAAACACTTTTAGCTCTATATCTTCCATATCTTCATTCTGGGCCTCTTCTAATACAACTTAATTTACTAGACCAGAGATTCCCAAACTTTCTTGATTCATAAGCACTTTAGATTTGGTAACTTTTTCACTGTGCCCCTAGACCAAATGAAATGCTAAACAGTTCTGTTCATTAAACAGTTAGGTTGAAAATATTAACTAGCCCATAGCACCCCTGCGAGCTCTCTGGGTTGTGAACAGTTTGGGAACCACAGCATTAGACCATTTTTAATTCCTTCTATTTTGAAGTCCCAAATCCTGAGTGGCATCTATGAGCACAAGCTGAAGACCATTGCTTGGGCAGGGAACAGGCAGAGCTGGAGGAAAGCCCACCCCAGCCCACTATATGCCACCCTTCTACTTTATTCTTGGTAACTAGGTGCTAATCACTTTTGTTTCTACACCACCAAGGGACTTCATGTGTTTTCAGTACCCTCTACATTCCACATCCTGGTTCAATTGTGGTTCTGACACCTCCTATGGTGAATGAACCACAAATTTATTAGATGATTTGTGGTGGGTTTTATTAAAAGTCAGTAACCACAGTAACTATCCACAAAATTATGCCTATTAATTGTTCAGATACAATATACAGAATCACTAAAGGGGAGCCCTGAGTTTCATCTGATAGAAAACATGATGATAATTCTCATTGAATGATTATAGATTATAGAAAATTTTAATCATTCAACTTTCCAAGTTACAGGAATGAATTTGCATTTCTGAATGGAATGAAAGAGGAAAATTAAACCATTTCTTGTTTTCTCCTAGGCTCAGAAGTCTCCGTAAGAGAAGAGTCAGATAACGATCAAAACCAAAGTGATGATGCAGACACAGAAACTTCACCAACTAAGTCTCCAACTACTCCAAAATCAATCAAAAGCAAAAATGCTTCAGGTATTATTTATTACAAGTTAAAAACACAAACACATTCAAAATGTTTCAATTAAATTCATGAATGATGAGATTTTATTAGCAATAAAGTTAGAGCTATTTTATTCATTGTTTGTCCGTAAATGAAGGAGTGGAACTGGTTTACTTCTTTCACATGCTTCAGCTCCAAATCTGTAATCCTATGATTGTTGATATCTTAATACTGGATTCATGAAGGCAATTGCCATCCCATGGTGCCACTGTGAAAGACAATATTTGGTCAGCCTGCTGTAATATTTCTTGGATTTTTATATTATAAGTATAAATCATAAATCTAATCCATCCCAGGCAAATAAATAAGTTTGCTCAATGTTAGAGATCACCAATGATATTAACTAGTGTCATAGTCTGAAAAGAACTTTGAGAAGTCCTTTATTCCATTAAAAAAAAATCACAATATTTTGTGGGTCATAAAGATGAGTGCATTGCAACAGACTGGGTTTCTTGATCCCTCAAGCTATGTACCTGTCATATTCCTGGATTCTCACAATCTGGGTACCCAGTTCCTAGTCTGTACCCTAAGGTCAAAGTCATCATACCACATGTACTTTTGAAAAAGTACCAATAAATAGAGTCGTTAAGGTTAGAAGGGACAGGGTAAAAGATAACTAAAAATGGTTTCAAGTTACAATATGAATTGCCAAAATATAAACTCATTCCCAAGAGTAAAACAAAAAGATAGCGCAAAGCAGAACTTCATAAATAAACCATATAAAATTCATGCTGAAGTTGCTGGTGTTTTGGACAGAAAGAGTGAGTTGATTTACAGAGGCTAGAGGTGCTTATTTTCCAAGTGTAACAGTGAAAGGGTTACATTTTTAAATGTGACAGTTACCCTACAGCTTACCAAAGTAAAAGTTCCAGTTTTAGAACTAGAAGGGACCTTGAGAATCTTATCTAGTTTAACTCCTTTGCTTTATACATGAAGAAACTGAGGCCAAGAAACACTATCACTGGAATAAATTCACATAACCTGTAATTGACAGAAATAGGGTTCAAAATCCAGTCTTCTGACTTCAAAACCTACCTTCTTCCTACTACACGATATTGAACAATCATATCCCCATCAAATATTTATGATGAACTGATTCTTCAATAATTCTGGCTGGCTCAGGTCTTTCCACCCACCTGCCTCTACCACTTTTGCACCCGCAGGTACTCCTATACATTTAAAGGTGGACCACTCCACAGAAAATATTGAGAAACAATGTTATATCCTCTTCTGCCTTCAAATAAGGCTCTATCAGCCCCATCCTAGAGACATTTTAAGCCTAAAAGAAAAGAAAGACAAATAAATGATTTAAAAGACATATTCATAAATATCTTTCTATTTCATGAGAATTTCAATCATTTTACATCTCTTCTAATGCAAGAACAAAAGGGAATTAATTTATTTTACTATGGTAGCAACTAAATTTATACCTTAAAAATTCCTAATTAAAGACTGTATTATTCCCTATAAAAACTGTATTAGGAAGATTTAAAATTGCCTTTCCCAATTATAAGTCTATAAGCTTAAGAGAAATACCCAGATAACCAAAATGTCTTAGAAACCATATCATACCAGATTGGCTTTTGAAGCTGTTCCTAGGCCTTAACATAGTTTTCTCAAAGCTGAAGGGGAAGGGGGTTACTTTTGACCCTTTTCAGTGGAATGACTAGATCGTAGAATGTCAAAGCTGTCGGGGACCTTAAAGATCACATAATCCAATCCATTTATTTTACAGATGTGGAAACTAGACCAAAGAACTGAAGGTGAAGTGAACTAATGGTTTGCTTTGTTCTTTCTCACCACCAGAATTTTCACTATTTTCTTATAATAATGGAGTTGTGATGACTTCTTGTCGAGAACTGGACAATAACCGGAGTGCCCTCTCAGCTGCCTCAGCTTTTGCCATAGCAACAGCTGGAGCCAATGAGGGCACACCAAATAAAGAGAAGTACAGAAGGATGTCATTAGCAAGTGCAGGTATGTGGGATAATTTTCAGGGTTCTCTGGGAAATCAATCTCTCCAGGATCAACTGCCCAACAATCCCCAAATCATATGATGATCCTGTGATAAAGGTTTGGTCCCTCTTTAGCACCAAGTCCTACCAAAGGCTGAGAGAGTCTCAAAGGCAAGAGAGTCTCTAAGAAGAGAAGGCGTCATCAAAGGATGGCTGAGGGAGAAGAGTACATTTGGAAGCATTACCTTAAGTGTACTTAACACCCTGAAAGTTTTTTTTTCCCTTCTAAGGCCATTGTCTTAAAAAAAAAATTAGCTGACCAAGAAAGGGTAAGTTCCCTTCCCTTCATTGGCAGGAACAATACTCAGGTCTCTGGACAGTTTGTCCAATGTATAATCCTTAAATTTGGAAGGCCATAGTGTTTTTCTGTCAACTGGGAATTTTCTTTAAAAAAGGTGGGGGTGGAGGAGGGGTGTCAGCTTCTTCATGCCATTGTCATGAATCAGCTCATGAGCCCTAGTACAAAGGTTTGTATGTATAATAGGTGCTTAATAAATGTCAAAACTAGCTTTCTGAAAAGGCCACAATTGTAAGAAGTCTTTCAGCAAAAGGCCCAGCTTAAACCCAAAGCTATTGCAACTCTACCGACAACCCAAGCTACTGTGGGGTGACAGACAAGTCTAAAGGAAGCAGTTTGCACTTCCAAGTTCAAACCACAATGTGACAATCATGGCACAGCTGGGTTAGATTTGAAGGCCATTTCTCTACTACACCAGCACTTATCTCAGTATTGCAAGGAACACTGATTTCATCAGAATAGTCACTGTCTACACTAACATGTATTGTGGATTGCAATTCTTTTATAGCTTAACAAACTGTCTTTGTGAGTTGCTGTGCCTAAAGAAAAAAAAAGATCATCCTATGGTGGTCAACTTTCTTGTAGCGACCCTCTTCAAACTTAGGTCTTGGTACTCTGATGACAGGTGTCACAGGTCTGAACTCAAAGCTTCGATAGCTAGCAAGGATCTGTCAGAGTATGTTCTCCACCGGCCTTGGAGAACCTGAGGACACCTCTAGAACTGAATGGATATGAATATCCACAGTCTGGTGAGGCATCAGATTAGTATTTTAGTGGGAAGTGACACAGAAACAACTAATTAAAATTTTATTAAAAACATGTTAATCAATTTTCTTAATTTTATTGTTTAGTTGTTTTCAGTCATGTCTGACTCTTCATGACCCCATTTGGGGTTTTCTTGGAAAAGACACTGGAGTGGTTTGCCATTTCCTTCTCTGGCTCATTTTATAGATGAGGAAACAGAGACAAACAGGGTTAAGTGACTTGCCCAGTCTGAGGCTGGATTTGAACTCAGGTCTTCCTTACTCTATCCGCTATGCCATCTAGCTGCCACCATGCCAAATAAACTATCTGAATGATCAATGAACTGACCAAGTGTTAGTTTGAAGAAACTGGCTAGTGTTAGAGGTTTGGGGCAAGGGGAGTAGCAAGAGGAAAGTTGACATTGTGAAGAAAGGCCAAGTGGTTTCCATGGGGAAAATCTTCACACTATCTTTAAGCATGGAGAAGGTAGAAGAAAAGAGAACTCAAGAAGAAAAATGTATCCAGAAAGAAAAAGTGAAAGCACTACGTTTCGCAGAGTGGACTTGCTTTTCTACTGTCTCCATGCCTCAACTGTTTCTCTCTCCAGGCCATTTGTTTTCTTCCTTCTGCCTCAGCTGCATAATAGGAAGTAAAACCCTGAAGTGCAGGTAGTGGCCAATATGAATTGAACTAGGGGAAAAGGGAAGAATTCGTGATTTATGGTCCAGGAGGTGGTTGGTCTGTAGCAAGAACAAGGGATGACAAAAGATGAAAACTTGGGCAAATTTTGCACTTATGTCTACAAATTATTAAAAGACCCAAGCAAAGGACTATGGAATAGAGTTATCTCTGTTGCTATCAAAGAATCTTGTGTGATCTTAATGAGAGACACCTTGTTGGAGAAAAGTCACTACGACTGCATTTTGTTTTACAAATGGTGCTTTGTTTTTGTTTTCTTTTTGTCATCAAAAAAATAATAAACAGCAGCATTTTTTATTCTCCACACCTCTCAATAAATTGTGTGACTGTAAAGAGAAACTGTGCTATCATCTAGGAAATCATCTAGGAAAGTCTACCCATTCCTTTCTCATATTTTCATCAAGGGAACCTTTGATATGTGCATAAACCATTCTTACAAATAGATTACAGAGATGAGGAAGTAGATAAATGACTCAACAGTTCCACCATCCTTTATATATTGTAGATGCCTGATCACTATTTGTTGAATTGTGAATTTTGCAATATCTCTTTTAGATATCTTGAAAATTGATCCATGAGAATCACCTTCAGATTGTGCTTCACTTTTATATATATTTAATGGGCTAATCCACTTTTCCCCACCTCATTTTCTTGATTTCTATTTCTGCTTCATGGTATAACATAGCAGGTACAATGGCGGTAAGAGTCCAAATCTGGCCATTCCATTCTCATTGATAAGAGTAGATTACCATAGCAATCCTGGCATACTTCCTTCATTTCACCTCTACTTGTTGTATTTCCAATTTTATCTATAATTGCTCTTGGGGATGACCTAGTTTAGTTTTCCGTTAGCTAAACTCTAAGAAATGGTGATTATCACAGAAAATTCTTTACTTTTATTCATTTCCTATTTTTCCAAAGTTAGCCACTCATTTAAATAAGTCAAGTTGAACTTGTTATATTTGAATGCAATATTGTCACATCTCTAGCATTTTTCCTACTTTTATATTAATTTTTGCATTTATTTTGACAAACTGATGATTTCATTACAAAGTCAGCTAATTCTGAAGTGCTCCCAAGTCAGCCATCTGCCATTATTGACTATTAAGATATAATTAATGTTATTTTCTTCTATGATTTTTTTCAGCGATCACTATGTCCAGTACCTTCTAACTCTCTTCCCAAAGAGAGTATTATGACATATAGTCATGCAGACTCTGAATAATGTATCATCTTTTGGCCTCCTTCATATCTTAATACTGAGCCATATTTTCCAATGTATTTTTTGTCATCCTCCCCTGTGCCTGCCTTCTCACTAAAGTCATCAAGTACCTAGATATATGTTGACCTGATTTGGAGGATTTTTATCAAGTTCTTCTCTTTTCTTCATTCTCTGTGACAGCTGCTGGCACATAAATTACAATTATTTTCATAGGTCCCCTTGCCTTCATGAATGCAAGGTGAAAGGAACAGATGCTTCATGAAATAATGTTTCTTATTATCCTTGAACGCACAAAATGAAACCAATTCTAGCAACTTTTTTGTTCCTCTCTCCAAGAAGAAACTGTGAGCTATCCTTCCATTTAAAGGCAATTTCTTTATGACCTCTGGTTGCATTTATAAGAAAAATGTAGTTTAGTACATTTAGGGATACATCATCTCAGTGGTCATTGGACAAGGTTCTCACAAAATTCTAACACTTTTTTGGTGTTAGAATACCATCCAACAGTTACATAAATGTTTGTAAGTAATCTAAAAACTGTGATTTCTTTGCACTTTCTGCTTGGTTTTCTACATAAGTAAGAGAGCTCTACAAAGCATTAAGAACTATTTTATATTTTTATGTTTTATGTTATCATGGCTGGACAATTTATTTTTTGCCAACCTATAGGTGATGAACTCTCTGATACTTAACTACAGATGGTCCACTGGGAACAGACATAGTCTGTTATCGAGCCTGTTATGCTCAAGGCTTTTCTAGCTTTATAGGACCTGCCAAAGCTTGCATTCCACTGGCACATATTTTTAGAGCATAGGACCATTTGAATACTATAATGAGATACTGGAATAGTACCTTGCTGAAGGACAATTACAAACCTAAGGAAAATTCTTTTACTCTAACACAAGAACCTGAGTGTATGAAGTGGTAGTTTAGTGGACACACTAGAGTATATTGACTACTCTAACTGCTCAGAGCTCTCAAAATGCCTATTTGGTGCAAAAATCACATGACAGAATTAGAAAGCCAGCAGAGGTGGTAGAAGCAAATTGAAAGCATGATTTAAATCTAAGCACCAGGAATATGATGTTAGATTCAAGATGTGGGCTGAGTTGTTTTTCTAGACTACATTGTTGCTGCCTCTATCCCCCAACCTTGTCCACCACAAATCTCCTAAAACAATTTTTCTCCACTTTATTGGTCACCAACATTTTAGGTTTCCCCCCTGACCAAAGGAATGGAGATAAAGAATTTGTGATAAGGAGAGCTGCAACCAACCGAGTATTGAATGTCCTTCGACACTGGGTCTCAAAGCATTCTCAGGTAAGATTTTTTTCTTCCATGAAGACAAAATGCTTGATAATATTTTGAGGCCAGATTACAGCTGGGAAGAATTAAGAATCATCCTCAAGTAATCAGACATTACCTGAAATATTTGTCAACAGATCTATCTCAAACAATCTACTACCATCAATATGAAAGAAAGAAGATGAGAATTTGATCCTTTTATTTTTATTTATGAAAAAGGAGTATAATTTTTTTAAAAATAAGCAATTGCAATTATAGAAAATAACAAGGCAAAGCTATGTCTCTACTACCCACACACCTGTAGCAGCGGTAAAGTTTTCTCCTTGTCAGAACCCTAACGGGTAGAGCTAAAAGGCAAATGTTGTAAAAAGCAATACTTATTTGCTATTTCTGGAACATCTTTCACCCAAATATCCCTAAGTAATTAATAATTCATTTGTACTGTGCACCTCTTACATGGAATAGAAGATGTTATATATGTGTTATTCACTATTAATCCACTGGCATCAGTGATGAATCTACAAAGAGAGGCCAGGAGTCTTCCTTTCCTGCTCTGTGCCATAGATAACATTCCTATCTTTGCTTCATATTATAATTTTATGCCAATTAAGGCCATTTTTAAAAATAATTTTAAAATTTTCACTCTAAATATGCTTGGCAGGATTTTGAAACCAATGATGAACTAAAATTTAAGGTTATTAGTTTTCTGGAAGAAGTCATTCATGACCCCGAACTTTTGACCCAAGAAAGAAAAGCAGCTGCCAATATTATAAGGTAAGATTTTATGAACCCACTTTAGCTGGTCCAAAAGCACTTTTGCGTTCAAGATTCTGGACTCTTATTTTGGGTGAAACAGGTGAAGGGCCCTTTTCTGGAACTGGTAAAATGTTTTTGTGGTTGTTACATCTGTTACTATTAGGCTGGAAATGGATTGAAATTGGATTGAAAGTGAAATTGGACTGCAGTTGGTGGGAAGGGGACATTTGGGGATCTGAGTTCCACTTGGATGAATAGCCATCCATTAGAAGACACTCTGTGCTCCTGTCCTGAAAGGGTTACCATGCCCCTTCTTTATTCCTTTACATTTATCAGTTCTCTCCCATAATCACAGAATCTCAAAGTTGGAAAGGACTTCAGAGGCTATCTAGTGCAACCCACATCTGGACAAGAATCTTTCTATAAAGTTCCCAACAAGCAGATATCAATCCTTTGCCTTCAGACCTCTAGTGAACCTCCCAAGGCAGTCTATTCTACTCTTGGACAACTCCAATTGTTCCTTTCAATGGAGGGAGATTTTCTCTAGAAAGAAATATTTGTTTAAATGTAGTAATTTAAGCCACTATCTGGGTGACTTACTAGGCAATATCAGTCTAATTTCATCATTGGCCAGGTGTCTCTATAATTATAATTAAAGGTAATACAAAGGATTACTTAAATTGTCACAAGTACCAAGTGTCAAAATTGCAATGAAAGAAAATCAGTTACAGAAAGACCTTTCTGAAACCCACTGGTCAGAGCAGACCTTTAAGAAGTAAAAGTAAAGCCATAATTAAATATGCTGATGGAGTGCCCATTTTCTCTTCCTAAAGTTGGAATAGAAACATTAACCTTTCCTTTCTCCCATATTCAACCTTAAATCAGTTCCATGTAGTAACAGTTCATGGGGCCCTTCGCACCTGTACAATTCCCATCCACATCATTCCAATTCATAATTCTTAACCTGCCAAAGAAACCACTGTGGCTCAAACTGCAAACAGGATACTAAAGAAATAGTTCCATTTCCTCAGTATTCATTAGATTAAAAGGCATAAATGTTGAGAGAGAGAGAGAGAGAGAGAGAGAGAGAGAGAAGGATGGAAGGAAGGAAGGAAGGAAGGAAGGAAGGAAGGAAGGAAGGAAGGAAGGAAGGAAGGAAGGAAGGAAGGAAGGAAGGAAAGGGGAAGGAAGAAGAGGAGAGAAAGAAAAGAGGATGCGAGGACTCCTCAACTACTATCACTTCCTTTCACTTCTACTTTTCTTAAACAACTGGTGTCTTAGCAACAGGTTTCATTTTCTTACCACTCATTCTCATCTGGCATCTGCCTCCAACACTCTACTGAAACTACTCTTTCCATAGTCCCTAACAGTTTTCTAATGTCCAACTCCAATAGTCATTTTCTGTCCTCATTCTCCAGGACCTCTTCACAGCATTTTATATTAAATGCCTCTTTCTTAAACCTTTAAACTCCCTCGGCTTCCATTACACCGAAATATTCTTGTTCTCTTCCTACCTCTCTGACCCAGTTTGTGTCTCCGGTTCATTTTCCTCTTCTTTATCCCTAACTATTAGTTTAACCATAAGATTAATCTTTAGCTCTCTGTTCTTATCTACCTACCTCACAATAAGTACTTCAACAACTAAGACACTATACAAATATGAGCTACTATTATTATTAGCATACTTGCTTCTTTCATGGTTTCAACTACCTCCTCTATGCTGATAATTCCTAAACCTTTATCTCCAATAGTAAATATTCACCTGATATGTTCTCAGCTGTTTATAGCATTTTTCTACATGTTCAATCATCTCAAATTTAATGTGCTTGAAACCTAATTCATTACTATCCTTCCCCCTCTAATTCCATTCCCAAGTTCTCCATTTCTATTAATAGCCACATGATTCTTCAAAGCTAGAAACCTTCATAACCCCAGTCAATCACTTACCACTCTACTAAGTGGCACAGTGGATAAAGTGCTGGGCCTGAAGATAGGAAGCCCCAAGATAAAAGCCAGTTACAGATAACTACTAGCCATGTGGCCCTGGGCAAGTCATTTAACCTTTCTGTACCTCAGTTTCCTCATTTTACAAATGAGAATAATAATAGCACCTACTTCCCAGGGTTGTTTTGAAGATCAAATAAAATAATATTTGTAAAGTGCTTAGAACAGTACCTGGCACATAGCAGGCACTTAAATATTTGTCCCTTCCCCCCTTCTCTTTCATTTCTCTATTCTATTATTTTTTTTTCATTGTCTTTTAGATGCTTTTCTGCCTCTTCATTTCCACTGTCACCATCCTAGTCCAAACTTTCATCATCTTATACCTGAATTACTGTGCCTATCTCCTAGCCATTTTTCTTACACTCCAGTCTCCCTCCCCTCCTCCTCCAAGACATGTATATTGTACACTGTTACCTGGTTAACTTTCTAAAACACCATTTTAATCAAGTTACTACTGTGCTCAAAGCACACACTCCATTTTGCCTGCTGTATGAAGCTCCAAGTCTTCTACCTAACTTTCAATCTCTCCTTAATCTGATGTGATCATTGTCTGTCCAACCTTATCCACCTTTTCCACACACACAATCTAGTCCCATATTTGCCTTTAATAGTGTTTTTTTCTCTATCTGATTCTCCCAATTCTTCTCTGCCTATCCCAAACCTAACTATCCTTCAAAACCCACTTCTTCCATGAAAATTCCAGGAAACACAGACATTTCCTTTCTCTAATTCACTTGTGCCACCTTTATATCACAATTTAGTGCTTTGTTGAAGACTATATTACTTCACCAATTGTTTTACATATGTTTGTTTATTCTGTTTATGTAGATTATAAACTCCATGGACAGAAGCCACATTTTAGATTTCTTTTGTGCTTTGTGCAATGCTAAGCCCACCCTTAGGTGCTTAATAAACATTTGTGGTTGGTTTGAGTGATTGAATAGAAGCAGATATCTTTTCTAACAGTACCTCACAATCATCTGGTTTAATTTTACCTTTTCATACCCTAGGACTTTGACACAGGAAGACCCAGGAGACAACCAGATCACACTGGAGGAGATCGTACAGATGGTAAATCCTGTTTTCATAATAAATTAATAATACTCAGAAGTTTCTCTTCACTTTCATCTATTTCTTCATTTGCCCACCCCAAGCTCCCCAAAATAATTTTGGAGTTGGACCTCAGCATTAGCAGGCAGACCCAAACTTAGGCAGGATTACAAAAAGGGAAATTTATCTTCAACAAACCTACCATCACTACCTCCCTGTTCTCCTTCCCTATCTCCCCTTTCAGCAACTCTTTCGTACTGAGAAGACCAGTACTCTCATGTTGTTCCAATCTAGCCTGTTAGGAAGAAAGGAAATCTGATAAATCCTGTAATTATTCCTGAGAACTAGAATAGGGAGGGGATAATGCTTAATACAAAGGAATGTATTATTAATGGTAGGATTTTAGGTCTCAGTAGGAGAGATTATTTTGAGAAAAGTCTTTAACTGTTTTATGCCTATAGTCTATGATCTGCTTCTGTTTCAGATTATATCATTAGGCAACCATCTAGCCTAGTTCAGTCATGTCCAACTCTTCATGTCCCCATTTGCGATTTTCTTGGCAAAGATACTGGAGTGGTTTGCCATTTCCTTCTCCAGTTCATTTTATAGTTGAGGAAACTGAGGCAAACAGGGTTAAGTGACTTTCCCAGGGTCATATAGTTAGTAAGTATCTAATGCCAGATTTGAACTCAGGAAGATGAGTCTTTTGGACTCTAAGACCAGTGTTCTATCCACTGCACCACCTGGCTTTCCTTTCCCTAGAAATAGAACTCATCAATGGGACACATAAATAAATCAGTAGGGGGCATGAAGAGGTGGGCCCAATTGAACTCCATTTTCCAAGATGGCAAAATTATCTCTAATCTGTTAAAGCTAGTTACCATAAAGATATGTAATTTGTCATGCTGGACCTGGATCTAGCCCACTCCATCTTTCCTCTCCTCATCTCTGTTTTGCCAAAAGTGAACAATATCAGTGATACATGTTTCAGGGTGTTGTGCTAAACAGTTTCCCTGAGATGCTAAACCATATTGGGTTATACTAGCTGGGCTATTTTAACACAAACCAGACACATGAACCATATTGCACTAATTCATCCCTTCACTAGCCAAGGTTTTAATTTTTAGGTTCCCAATCTATTTTGCCTAATTCCTTTTTTTCTCTTTTTCATTTTTTTTTTCTTTTTTTGAGGTTGGGACTTTCTACCTCACCCAAAGCAGAAGTATAGCAATCACTCATGACTAGATCCCAATGCTGAATGGTAAAAATACCTTTACCCAGCTCTGTTTTCCCTACTTTAGTCTGATTTTTCCCCTCCTTAGGCAACCTAGTGACCCTCCTACTCTCCAGGACTTGCCATGCCCAATAATTCTTCTTACCAGAGCAAGGAAACTTCTATATATCCAGGGTCAGGGCTGAGAAAATCAAAACATTCTGTTCTGTGTGGGTTTAGAAAGAGGTGCAAATTTCCCCCCTCCCATAGCCAAAAGGCTAATTTTTAGGACATTCCTATATGAGAATTCAATCTGAGACTCTGCTTTACGTTATCCTATTCAACTTTAAGATGAAATCACCATTGATTTTGCAGCCAAGCCCTCTTACGCTTATAGCAGATGACTTATCTTGAATGTTGCCCCCTTAAGTTTTAAAAAGCCTCATTCTTGTTGATCTTCTAGAACAGAATGTTTGCCAGAGGTTATGCTTCCTCCTCCTAGATGCTTCAATTGTCATTAAAGTACGGTTCACTCAAGAAAGTAACATAAAGTGTCCCATAATTTTAGTCCCTGTTCACTCAGGAAAATAACATAAAATATTCCATAATTTTAAACCATGTTCACTCAAGAAAGTAACATAAAATGTTCCATAATTTTAGTCCATAAACAATCTGCTTGGATGGGATCTAATTTTGAGATCACCTCTTAAATTCTGTTTTTCCTCACCAGTTTGCAGAAATTAACTCTCACTTTGATTTAAAAATCATCTTTCTTTATAACTAACATAAATGCATTGGAAATTATCATTGTAATGCAATGGAATTACTCAAAGGTAGCATAAATTCTTCCTAATTAAGGAAGAGAAGGTTCTTGCCTCTTTTTAAAGATCACCACCTTCCATCAGAACACCCACAAATAAGGTTTCCTTTATACTACTCTTGTTCCCATATCAGTGCCCTACAGGCAGAGCACAAGAGTCAATGTTCAGCACAATCTTTATGACTAAACAGAGCATTTGCTTTGCATCTTGGTTTCCCCTCCTCCCTTCTTCCCCACCTGGTGACCTGCTCCAAATGACTTACAACAGAGGACCCTGTGAATCCTAGGGGCCACTTGTAACTCTCTCCTATTATATGGCTTCTTCTGCCTCAATCTTAAATATTCTTTTGTTTTGCATAAGGTCATTACTTCTTCAATTCTGTCTTTTGATAGTTTCCCAGGCCACCTGTCCAAGGAGTTGGGTTTTAGTAATGTAGTATGTGAGTGATACAATAAGCTGTTCTTATTGAGTAGCTCTGAGGTTGAGCCAGAGATACAAATTGAGTAATGGCAAAAGAGGCTTCCAATAATCTAGACTTGACATTTGAATTGTTACTCCCTCCCAACACTCAGTCACGAGTGATCACATTATTAACTCATTTCAGGGCATTTTACACGACCTATAGAAAAGTTGGACAGAACCAAACAATAATCATGGTCAACAGCATTCATCCTCGCAACTGCTCTATATGTGCATTTGGGGCATTCAAGGATTGTTAAGTACAAGAAATGAAGTCTAACTCCAACACTATTATCAATTGGCTTTTCAGAAAATGGTACCATATGTCCTGGACACAGCACCTTTGCATAACCAGTAATCCCATGTTAAGCAACACTCGCTGTCCATTTGTGTGTGTTATTGTCTATGCAATAAATATGAAAGGCAGTGTCTGTAGTAAGTGGATAAAGAACTGATCTTACAGTCAAACTTCAGTTCAAGTCCCCCTCTCTGAAAACCACAAGTCTGGGGTGGGGACAGAGGGAATGCTTTTTTATACTTGTGTCAATTGTGATGAGTGCAAAACCCAAGAGACAGAATTTCTGGGTAATCAATAATCAATTTATTAATTAAACTAGCTAATAATAAATTGATTGTCAGTGGTTTCTCTCAGCAACCAAAGATACCTAATGGAGACACTGAATGCCTTAAATATTTTTTGAAAGGGAATGCCCTTGACAGGAGAAATCAACCCTGATTAGTGGACATTTAAATGAGACAGTGGGCTAAAAGTCTTCTGCTCCTCCTGCTGAGAATGTGGCTTCATCATGAGACTCAGCCACCTCTAGCAGTCTGGACTGGGAATCCATCCACCCAGACCACTCTGGTTGGTTTTCTCCTTTGTGAACTGGGTCACCCTAAACTCCAATGGAGGGGCGCAATGACATGGGCTTATTTTCTAAGGGAAATTCACCTAGATTAGATTCTGTTTACACTCTAAACAGAAGTAAGGTCTCCTAGTTGGGTGGGGTCCTATCCAAGATCCAGAAGCATGTACCCCAAGGATTAAGGCAATCTCCTCTATCACAGCTAGTAAGTGTCTGATGCTAGATTTGAACCAAGGTCAGCCTGACTCCAGGTCCAGCACTGTTTGCAACATTCATCCCTTGCTGCCTTAACTATAGTATTCATAGATTTTCAGAATTGGAAGGGTTCTCAAAGTCCATCTAGTCCAGCCAGAACCAGAATAAGCATCCCTTCTAAAACATACCCTTCAAGTAGCCAGCCAGATTCTGCCAGATTCTAGTATAACTGCCTATGGAGGGGAACTCACTGCCTCCAGAGGCAGCCTCTTCTGCTTTTGAGCAACTCTAATTGTTAGGAAGCTTTTCCTGATTCAAAGTCTAAATTTGCCCTTTTTGCTACTTGCACTCATTGCCCTTAGTTCTGTCCTCTGGAGACCAGCAGAACAAATGAAAACCCCCTTCTCTGTGTGAGTCCTTCTGATACTTAAGGACAGCTATCATTTTTCCCTTAAGTCTTCTCTTCTTCAGGCCTCGGTTCCTTCAGCTAAATATTCATGTTGCATGAATTTAAGGTCCTTAACCATCCGGATGACCTCCCTCAAGATGCTCACCAGCTATCAATGGATGGTTTTTGTAAAAAGTGACATCCAAAACAGAACACAAGATGCCCTCTATGTCAAAATGCCTTATATGTCATTGCATTAAACCAACTGTTGACCCTTTCATTTAGGCTGAAGGAGTGAAAGCAGAACCCTTTGAAAACCACTCTGCTTTGGAAATAGCTGAACAGCTGACTTTACTGGACCACCTGGTCTTTAAGAAGATTCCATATGAGTGAGTAACTATAATTTTCCTGTGGGGATACTTTTATTCCCCTTTCATATGCTGGTTTTGGAAGTTTGCCAGTGAATATGAAGAAATACAAGATAAATTTTCTAAAGCAGTACAAAGACATTCCATTGTGATCATAATTGTACATGCTGTAACTTAAAATAGAAATATTGGGGGGGGGGCTTTGACTTTTCTACCAAACTTACCTAAAGTTCATATACACAGACACAGACACATAGATGTACACACAACACACACACACACACACACACACACACACACACACACACAATTTATTGCCTGTCTCCTTTCCCAAAATGATCATTCCCCTTCTCACATTTACACTTTTTTTTCTAGACCCCTGGACTCTAGGTGTTGAGTGATGGGTGAGACAATTTGAGGGTATTCCCATCCCCACAATTTGAGGTGGTTTTCCACTAGCAGAAAATGGAAGTTAATAACTAGTGGCCAGCCCAGAAAAAGTCCAAAGCCATCCTCCATGATCCAAGCATTTGCTCAACACCTCCACTTTTCAGCAGTTCCCACAGGGGCTAAGGCTCTAAATCTCTGAGCCTGGCTCCAGTGTTAGAACAATTGTTACACTCAGAGAAGTAGAGCAAGGCTTGGCTGTCATCAGGCACAGTCCTCACATCTCATAGTTGACAGCATAAACATCATATTCCAATCCCAGAGTCACAGAAAATCTCCAGGTTGGCCTTACTACACTCAACCCAGTGATGGCAACTCAGATGGAAATAGGGGCCACTAAACTATACATAAAAATCCCTGTGAACTGCATATTTGCTAAGCATTAAAATATAATATTATCTATGTTTTATTGAATTTTTATTTATTTTGTTAATATTTCCCAATTATGTTTAGGCAGCCCTCTGGGCCACAAGCAGCCTGTAAGTCATGTGTATTTGACAACTCTGCTCTACACCATCCATTCACCGTCTTCCCAACAAATGAGTGGCCTGTAACTCTTTTGACACAATGTGTCTACACTCTGGAGATTTCACAGAAATAAAGAAACAGAAAGAAAAACACAGGCTTTCTTAGCTATTTCCTATCTAGTTTCAAAGCTTCCGGATTTTGAAAATTATTACATATCTTAGACATATTATGTGGTAATTTCTACCAACTTGTCAGCTTTACAAAGAGAAAACATTTTTCATCCAACTCTCATTTATGATGGTCTTTCCTGTCCATAGCAAATTATCCTGTTCATTGCAATGACTGATATAAAACCACTAACTCTCATAACCAACAGTTATGCCTGAAGAAAGGGGGAAAGCACAAAATATGTGTGTGGATCAAACTGAAGTAAATCTAACAGAAATAGTGGGAACCCCAAAAAATATTTCTAACCTTAAACTATGAGATGTATAATTTTCATCAAAAAACATGTCCTTCTCTTCATCTTACCACTGGAATGCCTGTTATTGAATTTCTTGAAAAGTAAACATTAATATTGCTTAAGGAAGGCACTACACTTTCTAACTTTAATTATAATGTATTTTAAGGCATCAAAAAGGTAAGTTCCTTGATACTAGGGTCAAATATTAGATTACTTATCTTGTTATTAGCATAAAGTTAAGGTTTGGGAATTTAGTTGGTTTTTTTCTGGTTTGGGGTATTTTAGTTTCAGTTAAAGTTTTGTGATTTTTTTTTAATATGGTTCAGGATTCTTTGATCTTTTCTATAACGTATCAATTTTTTTTGCAGTCCAGACCTATGATTTCATTGGTGAAATCCACCAATGCATGTCAGTTGCCTGGTGCCCAGAGAAGCTTAGTAGCGTATTGCCAATGGTACACAATCATTGTGTTTCAGACGGACTTAAAGGAGGTCCTCTTGACTCAAAGGCTCACTCTTTCTACTAGCAGCACTGCCTCTCACATATGACTTTTTTAAGTAGAGTTTTATCTTCTTTCCTCACTCAGAAAGGTCTTTTAAGAACCAGTAATTTGATTCCACTGAGATTTTAGTATGAAGTGGATTCAAATGAGATATTGTATTTAAAAAGCACTTTGCAAACCTTAAAATACTGTATTGTTCAGAATGAAGAGCCTCTTAAAAGAGATAGGTACGTTGCAGAAGTTAAAGATTATATAGTTAAGGCATATGAAAAAATTGTTTGCACTTTCAAATCTCACAATGAAGACGAATCAGGTTTCTTAACCCATCATACAAGACTTGAGACTCATCCAGTTCTAAAGCAGTAGTAGGGAGAGGTGTACTGGTCTGGAAATCAGAAGACATAGATGGCATTTCTGGCTCTACATTTCCTGTTTGAAAACATAGTCAAATCAGTTTACCTCTCTGAACCTCAGTTTCCCCATCCGTACAATGACTGCCACTAAGGCACCTCCAACTTTAATATTCTAGGCCTTTCTGTGAAATTTATTTTACTCCCACTTTTCCACTTTTGATTTGACAGACGATAACAGTACTCTGTGCCCCAGGCTCCCAACTGGACAAATACCTATTTTGCTAGGCTGATGTCAAATGTAAACTCTATCTACAAGAAAACACCAAATCTGGGGTTTGAAATAGCGTCAGATATTTCTGCATAGTAAAACAAGGATTTCAAGGAAATCCCAAGGAGTCATGTTTAATTATAAGCAGTTTTATTATAAGTAATATATAAGTAATTATAAGCAGTTTCATTATAAGCAATACTGTACTTTCCCTCTACTCTGTGTATACATGTGTCTAGGTTGGCTCTGTATGCAGTCAACAAATTCAGCTATGAACAAATGTCACTTATCCTTACCTTTATCTTTGTCACTCTCAGAGAGTTTTTTGGACAAGGCTGGATGAAGGTTGAAAAGAATGAAAGGACTCCTTACATCATGAAAACTACCAAGCATTTTAATGATGTAAGTATAGGATTGGTAGCAACTTTCTACTCTACGTTTCCCTTTGTTATAAACCTCTTTTTGTTAGAAATTTGATTGGGAATTTCCTTTGGAGTTCCCTCCCAGGTCCTTACAAGCTTTTTAAGAGAAGCAAAGATTATGCCTCCTTTGCCCATCTACGTTGGCTGCAGAGAGTATGGCCCTATTTATTGGCTTGATTACATAATTTAAAATGGTTGACTGAGGGTAAAGCAATGGAAGTCTCAAAATCTATTGGCCTATTATATCATTAGAAAGGTTCCACTTCAGAAAATGTCAGATTCTTTTTCTTCCTAAATACACATTTCCAAGAAGTCTTGGCCTCCTAGAATTTATATTACAAAAGTCAGATCTCTAGGCAAACATTTTAAGATATCAAAAATGTCTTTATCAATTTGGAAGGAAGAAAACAAGTATTTATTAAGCATCTGCTATGTGCCAGACACTGTACTAAACACTTTAAAAATATCTCATTTAACCCTCACAACAATCCTGGGAGGTAGGTGCTATTAATATCTCCATTTTAGAGTTAAGGAAACTGAGGAAGACAGAGGTTAAATGATTTTCCCAGGGTCACACAACTAGTAAGTGTCTGGAGCCAGATTGGAATTCAGATCTTCCTGATTCTAGGCCTAGTGGTAGACCTCAGCCTACCTACCACTGAGCCTCCTAGTTGCCTAGGTGAAGTCATTTCATTGGATAACATCAGGAAAGCCTAGGTTCAATTCCTTGACAGCTAGGTGGTACGATGGATAGAAAAACAAGTTGCTATGTCTAATACTTCTTTGACATGACAAAGAGTTAAAATTTTTAATTCTATGTAAAGGTATTCAGGTATTCTCCATTTTTTCCAGTCTGCTTGCTTGACACTGCTGAATGAATAAATGAATGAATGAATGAAGTATTTATTAAGTGATTGTTACGTGCAAAGCACTGTGCTAAGAGCTGGAGGTACAAACCGAAAAGTAACACAGCCTTTACTCTCAAAGAGGTCACATTCTAAATCATGGAGACAACACATTTGGAAGACTTTGGCACAGGTCACATGGGAAAGTCTTATGGTCCTTATGGTGCAGTGGCAAAGCAGACATTAGTGCCTCATCTCTAACATCATTATTTAATATCAGTAATCCCTGGGTTCTTGGGCTCAGCATCCAGAGTCTGAGGGCAAATGGCAATTGAGGATGTGGTAGCAGTTTGACTTGCATAGCACATCCTGCCTCCTCTCTATCCCTCAGGGATAGATACCTAAGTATAAGTTGCTACTTCAACTAAGCTGACTTGCCTGTCCTGTGTATGGCACTTGGTTGCCATTTGGTAGGGATGGGTGGTCCTTTCTCCACCAGAGTTGCTTTCCTGGATCATGGCTATGAAGACCAGTTAGCCTGGAAGCATGAGTATTGGTCTAAGGGTACTGCTACCCCAGGACTCCTGTGTCTTTCTATCTGCCTATTGGTAGCAGTTGCTCAGCAATTGTTACTGGTGGTGATAAGAAAGGTGGGCCCCCGCTCTACAAGGATTTCTCTCCTCTGTGATGGCTATGGGGGCTGGGCTAGATCACCAGCACATCTGGTGGTTTAAGGGGCACTACTATTTCCAAGGCTCTTGGGCTGAACCAATCAGGGTTTGAAGGAAAATGGTTGTCAAGGTGGTGATGGTAGTTTTGACTTCCCTGGCATAAGCTGCCTCCTGATTCTCCCCCTGGGTTCCTTGCTGCTGTCCATCAAGCAAACAAGGACCTATTACAGAGACTTTTCACCCTTTCATACCTGCCCATACTTCAATTTCCACTAATGTCTATGAAACTGAAAGGACATGTATAGGCGTTATTTTACTTGATGGCAATGCACGTAAGATTCATTCTCCAGAAACACAAAACATGCAAAAACTAGGACTGCCTAAATCCAGAGGTGCCAGATGTCAGAGTTCACAGTAACTCTATTCTATTGTGTCTTTATTTTACTGAAAAGAAATGCCTCCAAAAAGAAGTTTCAGGATAAATAAATCAGTGATAACGAGAACCAGGAGCTAATATCAACACTACTCTTGTTATATAAGTATATAAATACCAGTAATAGAAATACACTGGTTATTGAAGTGACCATTCCTCAATCTCTGAGAAAAAGATTTTTTTTTCTTTACCCTCTCCCCAAGGAACCATGTTGCATTATAACCAGTGTTGAACTTTCCCTTTACTTTGTGTATGCATATGTTGTTGGGCTATCTATGTATGCAGCCCCCAAATTCAACTAGCACCCAGGATTGACACCATCCACAACACAGAATCTCACATTTGGAAGAGGCCAACTCATATCTGAAAACGAATCCCTTCTATAGAAAATCTGATCATTGCTCATCCACTCTCTTTTTGAAGATCTCTAGTGCGTGGAGGTCTCTGATTCTTAAGGCAGTCCATTTCACTTTGGGACAGTTATAATTGTTTGGAATTTTTTCTTTTTTTTTGTTACTATTTCTTTATTAATTTATCTTAAACAAATACACAGTAAAAAAAGAAAAAGAAATATTATAAACTTAAATATTAAAACTTAAATACAAAATAAGAAAAAAAGCATTGCCACGTGCACAGCAGAATGTGAGAGGCTTAATAAATTTCTATTTCAAGAAAGCCTACATAATAAATACTACACACTGTAGTCAGAGCTATCCATCTTTTCTTTGCTTCCTTGTAAGTATTCCATACTATAATTGTTTGTCCTGTTTCTCTGAGGGTGGATAAACATCTTCCTTCGTAAGTCCAAGTCTTTCCATATTTTTCTAAGTCTACCAACTCATCATTTCCTACACCACAGTAATATTCCAACCTTATATTGTCTGGTTATTTTAAATAATTTAAAACAACATTAATTAATATGGCTGACATATAATGTAGTTTCCCTATTTTCCTCTTTTGATTAAATATTTTAGCTTTCACTTTGTCTGAGATCATGATTACTACCCTTGCTTTTCTTTTCTAATAAATTCTATTCCTGATCTTTATTTTACATGTGTGTGCATCCTTTTTTCCTATCCCTCCTGACTTCTCTACTTTACTTCTACCTGCTACCTTGTCCTCCTATTAATTAACCTATCCCCCCTCCAAAGATCCCTCCCCTATCCTCCTATTCCCATTAATCTAAACACATTTCTATACTCCCCCTTATCCTATTCCCTCACCCTCTTATTTCTTTATAAATTTAGAAGAGTTTTAGTCCCTTCTAAATGTATATGTTGTTCTCTCTTTAACCCAGATCTGATGAGTGCCCTCAAAAAATCCCTCCCTTATCCTCTCCCCCCTCCCTATACCCTTAGCCTTTTATTTCTTTCTGAATTTAAAAAACTTTTTAAAAACCCTTCTAGATATATATGTATTGTTCCCTCTTTAACCCATTCCCAGTGAGAGTAGGGTTCCAGAACTACCAGCCCTCCTCCCTCATATAATTCCTTTGTGTCAGTTCTTCTTCTCACACCACATTTGTATAAGATACTTACTCTTTTTACCTTTCCTAGATGGTTACTTTTTGGAATTTTTTCCTTATCATATCTAATCTGCCTCTCTGCAACTTCTATCTAGTATTTCATTCCTGGGGCCAAGCAGAAAATTCTAATCCCTATTCTATAAATCTGCCTTTCAGATGCTTAAAGATAGCCATCACATCCCCACATTTTGCCATGTGTAAAAAAAAAAAAAAGATAAATTGGGGAAATTATCCACATCCCAAAACAATTCCTCCTTTTCTCAAATTTTCTTTTTAGAAATTACCCCAGTATTTTTGTATTTTTGTTTTTTACTTTCTAGGCATTTGGGGTTAAGTGACGTGCCCAGGGTCACACAGCTACTAAGTGTCAAGTGTGTGGTCTGAGGCCGGATTTGAACTCAGGTCCTCCTGACTTCAGGGCCAGTGCTCTATCCACTGCACCATCTAGCTGCCCCATTCCCCCAGTATTTTTAAGCACTTGTTTACAGACCAACTAATTGATAAGTATGAAAGCAGGGAAATTTAAAGCAAATTGTTGAAAGTTAATTTAAAACACTGGAGAAGCAGTTTTGACATATCAATGGGAAAATCCAATTTAATTTTAAAAAATTAAAATTACACACAACTGGTATAGTGGAAAGAATACTGGGCTGAGTAAGAGTCAAAAAACTTGGGATCCAATCTCAGGTCTGCCACTAGGCAGGGCAACTTGAGGAAGTCACTTAAACTTTCTAAGCCACAAGTTTTCTCAACTGTCAAGTAAAAGAGATGGACTAGACGATTTTTAAAGGTCCCTTCCAGCTCCAAAATCTTACAGTAATAAGAAATTTCTGCTTATTAAAACAAGTTTCCAATCTCTTTTACTTTATTGAAAATGATGCTTCTGGGTATTGTTTTGTTTTGTTTTTCCCAAAGATCAGTAACCTGATAGCTTCAGAAATCCTCCGAAGTGAGGATGTCAATGCCCGAGTTAGCGCCATTGAAAAGTGGGTGGCTGTGGCTGACATCTGCCGATGCTTACACAATTATAATGCTGTGTTAGAAATCACCTCCTCCATGAACCGGAGTGCAATCTTCAGACTGAAGAAAACATGGCTGAAAGTCTCCAAACAGGTATGATCAGGTTGTTCCATTATCTTTACAGAGTTGGATTTAGTAATGACAGAAGTCTGAAGCTCTGTACATTATTTACGGTGTAATTTTGATTATAGAACTACCCTAAATATAAACTATAGCCTAAAAATGACATCTATGTTAAAGGAAAAATATATCATACAAGTTGAAAAATATCATAGACCATCATAGACTATCCTCAGATCAGATTTGGACAATATTGGAAGACAAATGATAGCTATGGAATAGGAATAGCATTATCTCTGTGTAAACCAAGATGAAAGAGGCAATTTTGTAGGAGAAAACAATTCATTCATGTGAAATGAAATATCTTTTCCCAGACATCAAGTGACAACTCCCTGGAGTGAGTACCTGAGACAGGTGCCACCTGGGATAAGTAATACAGCTCATACAAATGAGCACTTGCCTTCTCCTAATATTGTATTTCCCTCTGATTGATCATAGGTCTGCCCATTCTGCTAATTAAGACTACAGTATTTATATAGTGCCACTAAATAAATTCTTTTTCCCAACATGCCTCCAAAGTAAGATGATAGTATGACAATTTTATGCTACATAAGACAATGCATTGAGAATGGAATGGATTTCCGGAAGGTAACACAACAAATAAGCAAAAGCTGATGCTAGATTTTTGATAGCACCTGTTCTAGATTTTTAGCTTCCCCTACTAAGTCATCCTTGCAACAAAGGACGTGGCCCTGGACCTGGAGTGAATATTTCTGGGAATTAGAAAGGAGTCAAATTCCAGTGATCCTTTCAGATCCCAAACTTTATTAATAAAACATTAATGAGGTGCCATCAATGGTAATATTTCTTTGACAGCCACTTGGTAAGGGACTGAAATTCAGGGAAGATTTTTATTGATTCAGGACATAGATATTAAATCTACCTTTGATGTAAAGAACTTGAACCAGAATTTCCTATGAAAAAAGAAACTAAAAGAGGACTGTCCTTAGAGTCTGAAAGACTGTACTCCTGCCACACTTGGGTTATAGAACCTTGGATAAGTCACTTAACCTTTTAGTGCTCCCAGGCAGCTTCCTAAAAGCATAAGTTGCCCGTCTGTATCAGTAGAGGAAGTTCCTTACTGAGATCTCCTTTGAAACACCAATGAAATCACAAGTCTGCTTTCTTAAAAATGCATGTGTCTGTACATATGTATTACATAGATCAAATATAGAACTATAGACACACACATATGTGTATATGTAGTCTATGTGCATATCTGCAGGTATATATAAGGAAGTGGGATGCGGGACCTTACTAGGGTAGAAAACTGCCCAACTTATGAAGGTGTTACGTTGGGTCTTTCAGCTCACTCGCATGCCTTTAATAAATGATTACTTGCAGCACATGGAAGTGACTTGTACGACCGAACGTAGGTTTCCAAAATGAGCAGTTTAACACCGTCCACGTGGGAAGATCAGTCCCATTAACAACTACAAATCTATCATCTATTTGTCTGTATTGCTTCTTTGGTCAGAGGGAAGGAGGAGCAAGGCCTTTTCCCTGCAGGATGCTTTATTGAGGTCATTTGATAAAAATCTATATCATTTCTAAGACCTTTTCTTCATATCCACCAGGTGTGAAAGGTTGGTAGTGTTCCTCACCACTGTACAGGTAAAGACGCTGAGAGACATAAAGCAAGCTACAGTCTATAAGTGGCAAAGCTTAAGGTAGAACTCATAGCCCCTTAGTTTCTGACATATTGTTCCCTTTTCACAATATGCACTGTGCCACACCATACTAAAAGATTACAGTAGTCGTAATCACTCACCTTCACAAAGCATTTTAATGTTGGCAAAAATGCTTTCTTCATAGCAATGAGTTAGGTAGTACACATATCACTACCCCCATTTTGTAGATGAGGAAACTGAGTTTCTTACAGATTAAGTGACTTGCCCATGATCACACAGCCAGTAAGTGTCTAAGGTGGGATTTGAACCCGGGTCTCCTAATTCCAGATTAGGCCAGCATACCGTCCATTATGTTACATTGTCTTCTTAAACGCATGGTATTACAATTCCACTACATACCATTTATTAACAATTCACTTTGTATCACAGTAACGCAAGGTTATTGAAAAAGTGGCAAGTCATGGTACAGAACTATTAAAGCTGAAGATGTTGGTTTGGTGCCTTTGGAGGAATATGACTAGATCAAGTATTATAAAGCCTGAAATTTCTTCTGTATCTAGCTCCCAGAAAAAGTTGTAATTCCTTTCAACGAATGACAAAATGTGCTATCTGTGGGACCTGTCACTGTTCTCAGCTTGACTCTTACCCATGTAATCAGAATGTTATTTTTAAAATTAGCCACCCTGACTCAGGTGACTGTACTGCAAGTTGGCCAAATGATGTAACTTTCAGCATTGTTTGAAGCAGAACTTCAAGGACCTTTCAAGGCATTTCTTTAAACTTGTTACAAAGAATTAAAAACCTCATCGGCTCAGCATTTTCTTTATCTTGATGTCTTCCATTCTCCTTGAATATTGTAATTCTATGGAAATTAAACAAATTTCAGTGACAATAGCTACTACATTTATGGATGAAATCCATTCTGGTGACTCATTACTAAAAACTTATCCTGGCCTTCTGTAGTTAGAGTCTGAAGTTGAAAATTACTCCCATGTTGCAACCCAGTCCATTACTTTAAGGTAGAATGGATCAGTTTACAAGTTTGCAGTGCTTTAGTTTGACCTGGAACTGGTGCCTCCAGAACATCAGATGTCAGTATATCTCCATGCTGGGTCTCTAGATATGGCAGCCATGTTGCCCAAGTAGCAGAATGGCATGCTATCTCATCAATAAGGTTGCCAAAGACTTTTGCTTGTGTATAGGGTCTTTCCTCTTTCTAGCTGTCTTCTTCAAAGTCAACACAGTCTGCAGCAATCTGCCAACACTGAAAAAAAAATCATGTTATTGGCCTCATGTCTTTTGGGGGATCCTCTATCAAAGCTGAACCAATCATATATAATATTTCTAAATTGTTCTCTCTAGGATTTGAGAGGGGTAGGTTTGAAAGCAACCTATCAAAGTAGGTAAATTTCCTGAAGGATCAGAAAAAATTGATATTAATAATAGCATATATAGTCTTCATTTCATCCTTTAGCACATAAGTGCATAAAAGAAATAAAGTCTGGATCTGTACTAGGCTAGGTCCTAGACAAAATTGTGAGTAAGCCAAATTTATCTTAGAAAAAATAGCTTCCTTTTCTTTCCCCTTTATCTCCTTTTTCCTCCCCCAAATCCACCTTGTCTCTCGTGGTCTAGATCCCCTTCCTCCCATTAAAACCTGATTTAAGGAAGGCTCTATAAGCTTATTAATACTGAGGAACAATTGACTGATAAGGTTAAATATCTTATGTGTCCTCGAAGGGGAAGGAAGAACAATATCCCTTCTAATAGTGGATAAATCTAACAAACCAAATGAAAAAATTCTAATTGTGGATAAGTAGGGTGGTGGAAGAGGAGAAAATATTGAGAAAGACTGAGTCTCTTATTCCCTGAAATCATGCCATGAAGGTGATTGGTTCCGTCTTATTTACTCCTGATTCCCCACATACCCTGAATCTCTTTACCTATAATACTCTGATGCCTACAAGCTAGCATGATGAGCAAGATGACTAGTGGACAAAACTCTTTTGAAGACTGGGGCATCTCTGCCACGTGTCTTCAACTCCAGGTTACCTTGATTGCTAAGAGCAATCAATAGCCTTCATTTACAAAAATGGATCCATTTGTGTGCATGAACTGTTAGGTCAAAAATTTGTGGCTCATTTGCAGAGATGTATTACATAGACATGCCCTATGTCTAACTGGAACAATTATGGATTAATAATAATGACAATAACAACAATGATAGCATAGCTATCATTTACATAGCTCTTACCACGTGCCAGACACTGTGCTAAGCACTTTTTTTAAACAAATATTTTCTCATTTGATACTAAAAAAACAATCGTTGGAGATAGGTGCTATTATTATCCCCATTGACATTTGAAGAAATTGAAGCAGAGGGTAAATCCAAGATCACACTGCTATTAAGTGTCTGAGACCATATTAGAACTTAAATTTTCCTGATTCCAGGACCAGCACTCTATCCATTAACCCACATAGCTGCCTGCTGATTAGAATTACTCTGCCTGGCTGGAAGAAATGAAGAAAGCAAAATGCTGCCAGTACTAATATAACTAACTGCTCTGGTTTTCAATAATAATAATAATAACAACAACAACAACAACTAGCATTTATATAACACTTAAAAGTTTGCAAAACACTTTACAATTATTGTCTCATTTTATCCTCTCAACCGCCTTACAAGATAGATGCTATCATTATCCTTTTTACAGGTGAGAAAATTGAGGCAAACAGAGGTTAAGTAACTTGCCCAGTGTCACATAGTAAATATCTGAGGCTGTGTTTGAACTCAAGTCTTCCTGGCTCTCCCTATCACACCACCTAGCTCTGGGCAGCAGGGCATATGAAATTATTGTGAATCCAGAGATTACTGCTCACATCCCCCCAAAATGCAAGTTGGTAATAATGATGTTGTTCCTACAGATTTCTTGTACTTGTCACATTCAAACCAGGTCATCTGTGGGTGGTCCTACAATTCTGGGATTGTTCACATATCAATAAAGATTTTACAAATAAGAAATCAAATTGAGTCTAAGGGAAGGCAAATCCTTATCTAGATGCCAACACAGTCCATGCGAACAACTGAATTTATATCCTACCCAGATCAAAGAAGACAATACTAGGCAGAGAGTAGGCATTCAGAAAAAAAAACTTTTTGGTTAATTCATTGACCACTTTTCCTGGATGGAACTAGAATGCTGATTTTATTAAAAAAATGAATTGACATCCACATCAGAAGCCTTCCTCCAAAATACAAAAATACTAAGAACAATGGTACAGCTAGAAATCAAAAATGTAGATTAAGTATTCACAGCCCCCTTTTCCTCATCCCTTTTAATACAAAGTAAGAAAAAGGACAGCAACTGGCAGAAAGCATCTTCACTGTCCTGATTTCAGCTTGTTTTCCATTGCTTTCTTCACTTTCTCTGTGCAGGTCAGAACCATAGGAATAATACTATTTTCTCAGAAAGACACATAATGGATCCTTATACCACCTCTATCCCTCTGACAAATTTAAAGGTACTAGATAACATTGTCCCTATTCCTTACTGTCCTAGGGCTATGCCTTATCATGGGACATTAAAGTTGGAAGGGAAGATAGTTTGAGTCCTAATGTGCTTAAGATCTTTTCCCATCTTTGGGAAACAGCTAAATGACATGGTCTCCTAATTCCTTCACCACTGAAGAACTATCATGAAGCTGCATTGATTTCCACTTAATTAGACCTTGAAATCAGATCGTAATTTCCTGTGGGAAGATTTTTCCAATAAAGACTTGGGTTAAATTTCAGTGTGCAGCCAACTGGAGCCAATGCCCTTGTGAGACACAAGAGAACCCACTGAAATTTCCCAAGCTGAAGAATGTTGCTGGATTACCATTTTGGTCATTACTTAGCATACAACTTTTCTGAAACCTGTAATTTGAGACCTGGAAGGGATCTTGGAGATCATCTCAACCTCCTCATTTTTCAGTTGAGGTGACTGAGATCCCAAAAGGCTCAGTGACCTAGGATCACAGGCTAAAGCTTGCCAGCCAGAAGGGAAGCTTAGAAGCCATGTACTTCAATAACCTTATTTTATAGATGAGGAAACTGAGACACAGAAAGATTAACTTGCAGGCCAAAGTCACCCAGCTAGCAGAATTGGGATTCAAAACCCACATTCTCTAAACTCCAAATCCAGTCCTCTTCCCATTACAATGTACTAAGATGACACAGGTAGTTAGCACCAGAGAAAGAACTCATTGCATGTCTCCTATTCACTGAACTACATGCCTTTGAAAGAATCACAGAATCTCAGAATGCTAAGAGATTGAAGGTTCTCAAGAGAATAGCTAATCCTAATCTCTCATTTTACAGCTGAGACAACTGTGTTCCAAAAGGGGAAGTGATTTCCTACTATGACAAACCTGAGACATGGTAGAAATGGACTCAAACCCAGGTCTTCTAACTCTCACCAGGCCTTCTGATTTCTGTTTGAAGAGTTAGGCACTTGTCATTTCTTTGGACCTAGTCTGTGGGGTTGGCCAGATTTGATTATTTGACGTATGACTGAAAGCATTGCATCAGAGTTCAGTTTTCTTTTCAAACCTCCTTCAAAATCTTTCCTTGGGCAATCATTTCAAGTACAGTCCTTTTCTTAACGTAACAATATTTGTATATTTACAGTATTTCAAAGGTAGAGAACTGTATAGAAGTGACTCATCTTTTAGGAGTAGTCATGGAAAAGACCATGTGAGGAGAAAAGGAATATATGGTAATAGGATAAGGAGACATAAAAATCAGCAGTTCTCTACAGATCTATTTAAATTAATCTCAGATTTAAAATACCAAGTTTATCAAAAACCATCTGAATCCCAGTGCTATGCAGCCTATTCCAAGAGCCAAATTTTAGCCCTACTCATACATATTCAATGCAACTTTCTTTTAGTGACATATTTATGTGTGTGTGCATGTAAAAGAAGACAGTTTGACAGGTTCTAAACATCTAAAAAGTTCTAAGATTAGATCATATTCTACCATGCAAACACACACAACAAAATGGTTTCTTTTTCCTCTACTTTAGCAAGGACATGAAGTTGAAGGAAGTGCAAAGCAACTTGTTTCCGACATTTTAAATGTGTTGTTTGCTAGTAAATGCTTCTAATTCCTTTTAGACAAAAGCTTTGATTGATAAACTCCAAAAACTTGTGTCATCAGAGGGCAGATTTAAGAATCTGAGAGAAGCTCTGAAAAAGTAAGTGTGTCATTTTGTGATTCTTACTTTTTAAAAAAAATCTTAAAGGCCATTGCAGACAAAACTTTTCCAAAAAAAAATTTTAAAATGAAAAGAAGTCTGCTTGCCATTATTTATGTTATAAGTATATTGGAAGCAAATGAATAACACTTCATCAAGAACATGACATTAAACCATGATAATTGTGGCCTAGGATTTGCTAAATAATATTTTTATTGTTCATTAAGGACACGATGGTCAGTTTGCAGTTATCACCACCTCTTTCCAGAAGAGGAGACAGAGGAACAAAAAGGGAAAGAGATCTACCTAAGGTCACACAACAAGCAAATGTAAGAGCTAGGATTAGAGCTCAGAAACACTGACGTGTTAAATTCATTAAGCACTTGTCTTAACATGGCCACTCAATTGACTGAAAGGGAAAAATGAGTAAAGCCTGTTATGTTTCTGAAGTTGGGTTTACTGGTATCCATGTTGGCACAAATGATTTTGACTTCATCTTAATTATCATGCCAAATGACAGACAGAGGACAAGGTAGCACTTTGTATATCTGCCATGTTTGGCATGTTACAATAAAACCAAGAAAGCACATCCAATGGTCACTGTGAAGAGGAAAAACAGAGTCTCCGTCAAATCTGTTAGAACTCCTAAAGAGACAGTCTGGTCATTGATTGTGTATTCTCATTATGACTGTATTAAACTCTGTCCCAAGTCAATGTGACATGCTGAATTTGTTATTTTCAGTGAGTGTTGCCTTCTCCACTCATCGATCAAGTGCTTTCTTTGGGTAATTCCATTTGGTCTCTGTATTGATTTCCATTTCCCATATAGTCACACTGTGTGTTACATAGTCACCTGTTGATTGAACAGCATTAGAACTGTGAATGCATTTCCTTAGACACCTGTGAGGCAATCCCATGCTCAGTGTCCCATCAGAGCACATTTGTACTGCCCACCCTGCCCTTCCATCTGAAAGCTCATTGGCCAAAACACTTGCTATGGTGTCCCCAGCAACATTTTTGTTTGCTCACCCTCAAGACCAAACATGGAGACCAGTCGATGCCTTTGGCCCTTTAATAACCAGGGGTACAGAGGTCAACTGAAAGAAGCACTGATGATTTCCTTTCCTGACTCCAAGAGCCTCCTCCTGTTCTTCTTGTGTCTTCCTGCTGTCCTTCAGTCCGTCTTTCACCAGCTCAATGTATCATTGGCTTGATCATCCCCACTTTTATGTCCTTTGGCAGATGTTCTATCCATCTGTGCTGTTAAATCTTCTCTTCAGTCATTGTCCCTGGGAGACATCACAATATTTTTTTTTCCCTTCTCCATGGGCCAGTGCTTTGCCTTGGGCTCTCACATTATTCATTCACAAACTTGTCTGTCTTGCAGAGAAGCCTCTTCACCCCAGCTTCATCAGCCTTTACCTCCTTTCCTGTTTATAGTATCCTTCCTTATTTGCATCCTCAGTTTCTCATTTTGTATCACAATGCCTAGCCTTGCTCGTTTCCCCTTTCTGGTTAAATTAGCAAGTATCTCTTTCCTGTTCTCTCCAGATCACCAAGGCATAGATTGTAACTTTTTTTTTCCTCTTCAGAAAGGGAATGTTTGGCTCTAGGCTTTTAATTTTCTTAGAAAGAAAATTCCAGAAGTCAAGTTCATTACAAAATCATAGTCTTAGCCTTGTGGTATGGATCTAACTAAAAGAAAATAATAACAATAGAACATTATACTAACAGCACTTTTCTCCTCAAGAATTTGTATTTTAATACATATTTTATCCTTTGCATGCATCAATACAAGGTAGGCCTGGGCAGATATCCCTGTCTTAAAGGAGGGGAGGGGAAGGGAGAAGAGGATATAGAGCACAGACAGATTAAGTGACTTGCATAATAGTCCATGGTTGAAGACTCCTGAAGAATCCAGGCTTCCTGACTCTTCATGGAGTGTTCTACCTACACTGTGCTGCCTAAACTTCTATTATGACTCTTTCTACCTGCAGTGGATAAGCACTACTTTATGAGTGAAATAAAAAAAAAATGCTGCCTTTAATGGAATAGTTAAGCATGAAAGTTTTAGAATGAGAAGAATAAATTCTCAGAACCAGATTGCAACCTAAAATTCAGTGATAATTTTTTTCCAAAATTTCTCATTTGTACCTATCCCAGAATGTCTAATACCCCAGACAGATTTACTTCTTTTGAATTCTCATGTCCTTTCATAGCATATGTTCTAAGAGTCGGTTTTAGGGCCAATATAGATTTTTTTTTTATTTATAATTTCTGAGAGATCCATCCTTTGCCTGACAGAAGAGGCCTTCCATGGTCATTCTCCCCAGTGACCAAATCCTTTCCAGAATATATCATAACTTTTATTTACTTCAATATTGATTTATATCCTTCCTGGCACACCTTCAAGGCACCAGTTTGTTGGTGATTTGTCTACTCCAGTTACTCCCAAGCACTCCAGCAACCCCTCAGCAGTCATATATGTGTTTCAGCATTTTTAATTGATTATGTATCTATTTTATTTGTTATTTATAATCACGTGTATCCTTGTATATGTTCTTCTCCTGTTTCACTAGTTATAATGTAACCTCCTGAAGACTGTTCTTCATTGTTTTGTAATACCTCACAGTCTCCAGCAGACAGTTTGGCATACAAGTGGAGCTCAAAATAGTTTGATGATGTAAGACACCTGGCGGATTTCTAGATCCATCCTATTACCACATCTGGATACTGTCCCCATAATAGAACAAACCAGCTCTCCCAAACATAAATCCAGCTGTTATCTTGCTTCTGATATACATGACCACATCATGCCCTTGATCCTGCTTCATGATTTTCAAACACTTAAGTGAATAGGGAACCCCATATGACCTTCAGAGAGATTCTACAACTCCTAATCATTCATATTCAGTCTGGACTCGTTTTACCTTCTGATCTTTTTTCTGTCTGAGAGTTCTGCGCAGCAAAGAAAAGAAATACTCTACTGTAATTTCAGGATTTATTATGACTGAGAAATGGGAAGTAAGGGGTGGTAATATAAGATCTTCAAGACACCATTGCTGTGACTCTTCAAAACCTCCCTCTAAGTATTACTGGGACAAAATTCTTCTCCAAGCATTTGTGTGTTTTGCTTACTTCTGTTTTGGAGCCACAAGCAGAGGTAGAGTGCTAATGAAGTAAGTGAGAGCATCTCACATTTACATAGCACTTGGAGGCTTTTGTTGTGATTTATATACAATGATTATAGAATTTTAGAGTGAAGAGAGACCTTAGAAATCATCTCGTCTGCCCTTGCATTTGAATGCACAGTATGGTGAAAAGAGCACTGATATGGAATAAGAGGATCTGGGTTAAAACCCTACTACTTACACACCTGTGTGACTTTGGGAAAATCACTTAATTTCTTTGGGCCTCGGTTTCCTTATCTGGAAGATAGGGGGAGTCAGACTAGATTACTTCCAAAGTCTTTTCCACTTGGAAATCCTATAATTCTCCTTCCCAGAAGAAGGAACTGAGTCCTAGAGACATGAAAGAACTTGCCCAAGGTCATACAGATAGAAGTAGGACAGGAAGCCAAGTTTCTTGGCTCCTCATCCAGTGAGCTTTCCACTCAATTACTACCTCCACTCCTGCCTGCCTCTCTCATGATGAGCCAGGAAATCTAGTTTCAAGTGGCTGTTGGCAAGCTATGCAATTGACAGGAAAATGCTTTTAATGAAAGGGTAAAGTTAGCAGGGGTAAGCTGGTAACGAGTCTAGACTGTATTATATGTAATTGTATGTGTGATGTTTCCATTGTACTTTGCTTCTTTTCAGTTTCTTTCCACAAGTGCTCCACACTGTGCTGAATGAATAGGATTCAAATCACTTTTTAAAACTGGAAAAGTGCCTCCTTCTTTCCATTAGCCTGTGTGTTTGCCTCTTTACTATCCCCTGGGGATCTTATTGTACATCCTAATTATTATTTTCTCTCCAACTGTCTGTGTCATGTTGTGCTTTGGCTGCCATTATGCTAAGCCTTGGTTTGTACACTAAGTTGACAAGAAGGATGCAGGGTGCTTGCAGGAGTTCTATTGAACGAACATTTAATGATATACTGGAAGTCTAAAAATAAACAAAGTTTACATCATCATCATAATAACGTTATATTCACCCAGGATAGACAGATAGATATGGATGATAGATAAACAGATGATACATGGATGATTGGTTGATAGATATAGATGATAAATAGATGAAACATAGATGATTGATAGATAGATAGAGATGATAAATAGAAGATACATTGGTAGATAGATAGAGCATTTGTTAATAGCCTACAATGTACCAGGCCATCAAAAAATCTCAAAAGTATTTGGTAATCCTCCCAACACTTCCTCTTAATATGGAAACAATAGTAATCCCTATTTTACAAAAGAAGGGGTCAATTTAAAAGACAGAAACATCATGTGACATGCTTCCACATTTTAGTAGCTTGGCAAATGCACCCACCTAAGTCCTAATCTATTAGCTTTTTGACCATCTGATAACAAGGAGATCCCAAGGAGCAAGCAGTTCCTAGTATGAATTCTATGAAGAGTTCAAAGGCAGCAAAAAGAAAAAATACACTATATACAACCCAGGTAAAGAGTACTGAGCTCTGAGGGTGTGGGGAAATGCTTAAAAAGCGACAAAAGACACCACCCCTACCACCAGTAATGGAATAGACAAAAAAATAAAAATATCTATTTCTATCAATACAAGTAACAAAATCATGCACATGACAGAATACACTTAGTCATATGTAAATAAATAGGAATGGAAGATTCCAAAGGCATTTTGGGAATGGAACATGGTTAGTCAGGTGAGGCTGGTCTGGAAGGATTTGGTTTTCTAAAAAGTGAGTTTTTGGTGGAGTTTTGATGAAGGGAAGGGAAATTTGAGTAGAAAAAGTGAGACGGTTAATGAGTAAGAAGCAAGAGGCAAAGAGGAAACAGAGAAGTGTTTGCTTACTAGGCCAGTAAAAACAGGTCTGGGTACAGTAGGAAACAATTTGAGATTAAAGAAAAGCAATTTCTAGAATGTCTTATAGGTCATGGTGATGTTATTACTTTGATTGAAAAGCCGGAGAAAATTGAAATTGCCAAATCCTAAGGGCCTTACTAACATCATCTAACTAACTCATCAACACAAAAGCCGATTATACAAGGAAGTTTATTCCTGTTTTACTGATAGGAAAACTGAGGCCTCTATGAAGAAAGAGATTTGCCTCAGGTTATTTATCAGGCAAATAAGGGCCAAACCCTAAATTTGAAGCATGACTGTATACACCAGAGTTTATATAAATTCTGATTCCTAAAAAAAAAAAAAACACAGGAGTAAACCTAATGACATTATTTTAAAAGAGAGAACACAAAAGTGCATGCAAGGCAGACATAGCCCCGGGAGGGTGTGTTCGTGTGCCTGTGTGTGTTAATGAAAAACTTTTTATACCATTTGTTTTGAAGTTGTGACCCACCTTGTGTTCCATATCTTGGAATGTACCTCACTGATTTGGCATTCATAGAAGAAGGAACACCCAATTATACAGAGGATGGCCTGGTAAACTTCTCCAAAATGAGAATGGTGAGTTTCTAATGTTATTTCTAAGGGAAGTAAAGAGCTGAAAGCTGGGGGAGTGGGGCAGATGTTGATTCTAGAAGTGGAATATACCTCCTGGCCTTTTGCAGAATGACATGCAGCTTACTGAGATGAACAATTCCCAACTGATCACCAGTGGAGGGAGAAGAAGAGTTGAGCTGCAGATGATTGATCACAGAGTCAGGAAAAAGATGGGCAAAGCCTTCTGAATCTATGGTCAATCACTATAGCTCAGCAAAAAACCATGGGTCCTCTACAAGTATGTCCCAGTTGCAGAAAGAAAACTTCACAAGCAAACTAAGAGTCATCAGCTATTCAAAATTGATCTCCATACAATTTTTTCAATATGACAAAAGCTATTTCATCACCTTTGGGAATAATCAGTTTTAATTTTATGAATTTAATAAGTCAGAAGGACAAAGTAGTGTTTATTATTCTGTAACTACCATCTTTAAAACCTATGAAAATATTCTATTCAATTCAACAAACATTTATTCAATAGCCTACTGTGTGCAAGGCACTATGGGGCTTAGCATAAGACAAAGATAAAATGAAAGTCTCTACCCTCAAAGAGCTTACATTATATTTAGAGAAAACAATATATGACTAGCTAAGTATGTGCAAAACACGAAGCAAATTCAAAGCAATTTGGACTGAGGGAGAAATACTTCTAACAACAAGGGAAGTCATCACATTCCCAAGTGTTTTTTGGGAATATAATACACTATCAATGTGCTATGAACATATACTTTATACAAATCAATTTTCAGATGAATAGCTGACACCTAGTATCTCCAAAATACACTGTAGCCATAGAATTCCATTTCAGGAATACTGAATATAACCAATATAATGTCCTATCAAGTTCATTAAAATGAAGTTTTTGCCTCTATACAGAGCATTATCATACTTATATAGCTTTAACAAGTGATGCATTTACCTCAGAAGCAAGCTACAAGTCCAAAGAACACCATTACCTGATATAATCTTCAAAGAAGTGAAATGAATTTCAAATACTTTGGTGTTATATAGGCTGACATCCAACTTAGCTGTTGAATTCTATTTTAATTTTTTTTTGCAATATACAGCAAAAGGTCTTTTTCAAAAATTCTTTTTATTGTTATACAGATATCCCATATTATCAGAGAGATTCGTCAATTTCAACAAACAGCTTACAAAATAGAACATCAAGCAAAGGTATGTTTTAATGATTTCCAGTTGAGGGGAAGGGAAGGGAGAAGTTGCTAACATGACATGGTGACTAGAAGGACAGCCTTGGATTCAAAAGAATTTGAATTCAACTCTTTCCCCCTAACAAGTACTATGTGATCATGAGCAAGTAATTAATCTTTCAGTGTCTCAGACAACTAAGACTGGAAGTTACAAGCGAAAATCTCACTTGGATTGGTGTTCTTATACTGATAAAATCACAGGTTAGGTGTATGTATGTATGTATGTATGTATGTATGTATACATATACATATTTCATATTTTTTTAATATATATTTATCTTTAAAGTTACACCTTAGTCAATAACTTCAGGGGTCAGTTGCCATACACAACAGTAAACTGTAACATCAATGAAAATAAGCTATAAAAATAAATCCTGGCCCAAACTCAAATAACATTAGGCCTTCAAAAAAATGAAAACCTTACCTGACAGGAAACCAACCCATAGGAACATTCTAAAATGGTTTTTTTAATTTGATTTTTTCTGTGTTCTACTTTTATGAGAAATGAACAGGTGACAAGGAAAAAGTTTAATAGGTTTTACTCAAAAGTACAATTTCTACAGTCAGTGCTAATTCAGCCTTTCCAACAAAATGATATCCCAAGTCAATTTAATTCACTTCCAAAAGCATGTATTAAGCCAGGTGTCATGCTACAACACTGGAAATGCAAATATGAAAAGAAAATGGGTCCTAGCCTCAAGTTTACGTTGTAGTGCACGGATGCAATTTATAGAGATAAGTAAATATACAAAACACACAAATTAACTACAAAATAATATTGGGCCAGGGGAGGAGTAGGTGGAGATTCATAACTGGGGCAATGAGGAAAGGCCTTTTGTGAGAGGTGGCATTTAAGCACAGTCTTGACCCAGAAGCCCTGCAAGTTGCTAAATTACCTTAGATTAAATTATCTTCCATACACTCTCCTTACATAAGTAGAAAGTGCATTAATTCATCTTGGAAAGGTTTTGAACAGTAAGGGTTGAAACAAAAAGTGTTTTCCAATTCAGCTTCAGTTCAAAAGTTCAATCAACAGATCATTCCAAGGCTCACAGTTATTCAAGATATACCATATCTATTTTTTCCTTTGGCTTCCCTATTTATCTGGGTTTTCATATAAATTTGTGTTAATGGGTGAACTCCAATTATATTTTTTGCTCTGGGATGGTGCCTATGCAATTAGAGTATTGTCTATTTTATTACTAATGTGTCCACTAGGGAAGAATAATTAACAAATTAATTCATTAAGTTCATTTTTGCATTTTAAAATAAATCATGAACATTTATTAGCTTAAATAATCAAATCAAATTAAAAATAAACAAATCATAATTGGGTTACATATAATGCAGTATGCTAAACACTAAGAACCTATATTACATTAGTAGATATTCATATACAACAATGTGAGTTGAACCTAAGCTCTTGCTTAGAGAATTTCAACATATCTGTGAAACTTCAAACACATTGTCCTCTACTCACAGCCAATAATGGATTTAATTTAAAAAAGAAGAAGAAAGAAGAAGAAGAAGAAGAAGAAGAAGAAGAAAGAAGAAAAGCTAATAAAGTCAACACTCAGATCTGATCATTGAAATCACTAACTGCCTCTAATATGGTTATATAGCTCTCTAATTCCTGGAGTGTTTAAGATTTCAATGGTTATTCGGTGGAGAATCACCATAATTCTGATCTGGCTTACCCAATAATGGAAAGGGTTATCTTCTCACTACCCATAAAAGGTTCACCTGCATTTCTGCTAGATTTTGCTTCTCTTAAGAACTCTTGTATGAATACTTTAATTGCATAGACTTTTTGATTTTTTTAAATAATTGGATGAATTTAAGTTGTCATGGCTTGATGGCATCTCAGCATGCCTAAAATGTAGCACATGCCCTGTGGTGATTATTCCAAATCCCTACTTCCAGGGGTTCATTAGAAGGGTGAGCTTGCCAAAGTGTTTCCTCTAAAGGATTATTAGTCAATATAAATTAGTCAGTAGACTTAATTAGCCCTTTAGAAAGAAATATTTACTAAGGTGCCATAATAATAACAGTAATAACAAACATCTCCCAAAATGTGCCACACTTAGCAACCAGGACATAGAGTTCCAGGGTGAAGTGGGCATGACACATGTGGCAAAGGGCTTACCTACAACTGGAAGTTCATTTCTTCAATTAGTGGGATCCTCATGAAGTTCCCCTTAGCCATGCTGTAGCTGTCTTCTGGGCCCCTGGCAGAGTTTTAAAGCTGCCTTTCTTCAGCATATCTGGTTTGTCCTTGGCTCCTGAAAGTTTGTCCTTGGCCCACTGCCACCAATCACCGCTATTTCTGGGACACTCCCAGGATGATGATGACAGGTCCAAATCTTCCAACCCTATGAAATTAATAAAGTCATCTTCTAGTCAAGTGATTCCCTCTCAGAGTATTGACCAGACTGCTCTTTGCTCTAGCCTGACAGATGCTTAAATGCATCTGAATTGGCTTGCTATTTTATAAAAAATTCACAGGGTAATGATCAAATTTTCTCAGCATTATTCCATTTCATACAATGGACTTCTTTAAGTTAATCTAACACCTTTGATTAATTGATTGATTTATTTATTCAAGAGAGTGATTGTCATCTGGTTAAGGTGATTACTTTTGGAGATGTTGTGTGATGTGATTAATTGATTCAGTCAAGAAGTCTGGGTGACTGCCACACTTACATTAGAAATTGGTAAAAATTTTTGCAATCATTAGCTAATGTTTCTAAAAACTCATGGATAGTAAAAGTCCCTGAAGACTGAAAAGAGGCAAATATAAAACCAATATTTTTAAAAGACAATGAATAAGACCTATTTATAGACCAATTTATCATTGTATTTGAATTAAAAGAAACTTTTTTGTTTTCAAAAGATTACCACAAGATTTGGTGGGTCCCATTTTTTATTCCTTCCTATCTTTCCTTTGCCCATTTTCCAACCATCACAGGGACTGGTACTTCAAAATTTCCCATGTCCCTAGGCTCTGTGAGCAACAGCTCACATATCTAACAGAACTGACTAAACCTTTCATAGGATCATAACATTTTAGAGCTATAAGAGACCTTAAGGATCATTGAATCAAAAAGCCCTCATTTTCAGGTGAGGGCAAGATAATTTTTTTTGGTTAAAAAGAAAAGTTGTGTGTGAGCCATACAGTTAATGGCAGAACCAGAACTAGAATCCAGGACATTTTGCAACACACCAGATTACCAGCTTCAAATTACTATTAGTTCCTAAAATTTATCATCAGGCACTGGCTTATTCATCTAGGGCTTGTTATATTGGCATTTGAGTACCTCCCACGCTTTTTCCCATCCTATCACCATCAACCATTCACCACATCTGCTAGTAGAAGAGATGGTGATTGAAGATTATTGCTGGACTAGTCAGAATTCTTAATAAAAGTGCCTAAAAGAAACAAGTTTCTGAATATCTAATGGATAGAACTGTGAGTTCTTCTAGGAAGGTTTTGATTCCTTAGGGCTGGCTCCTTAGTGAAGTCCAAGTAAGATGTCTCCATCTTTGAACATTTCTATCCCTCTCTAAAGCCAGGGATCTGATTTATAGTCAGAGAAAGGTCTCCTCTGCCCTTCTTAAAGTTTTATACAACTTGTGTTCTAAGCACACATGCGCACACACACACACACACACACACACACACACACACACGCACACACACGCACACATCACATAATTGCTAAATACAGATGTGCTTACAAGCTGGAATTGGAGGTGGGCTCTTTAACCTTAAATGGTAGAACTGTGTTTTTCCTCATTTCCATTGAAAAATAGAACTAGTTGTATTCCAAATCCTCTCTGTTTTTTAAATATCTCTGCATGCAAATGTTGGTCATCTGGAACTCCTGATGCCATGGGAGAGACAATATGGTGGGGGGAAAGAGCACCCAAGCATTCAAACAAGACCCCTCTGGGACTTTCTTGACACAAGTGCCACTCTTGCCAATGCACTCTCTAAGACTGTGGGAAGATATTAAGATAACAGTCATGTGGGGAGGCTTCTGCTCTAAGGACTAAAGGAGAGTTTATATAGGATTTTATTTATCAAATCATTACTGCTCACCTGGCAGACAAGCTCCATTTGCCCAAGAGTCAATTTGGCTAGGCCCCACCTCTTCATGTTTAGCAGAGAATCACTGAAAGGAAAGGGTTCCATTAGCAAACAGTCAACAAGCATTTAATAACAATAATAGCTAACATTTATGTAGAGTTTACTATGTGGCAGACAAGGTGCTAAGCATTTTGCAATTATTATCTTATTTGATCCTCACAACAACCCTGGAAGGTAGGTACTATTATTATCCCCATTTTACAATTAAAGAAAGTAGGGGAGGGAAGGAAGGAAGGAAGGAAGGAAGGAAGGAAGGAAGGAAGGAAGGAAGGAAGGAAGGAAGGAAGGAAGGAAGGAAGGAAGGAAGGAAGGAAGGAAGGAAGGAAGGAAGGAAGGAAGGAAAAAAGGAAGGAAGGAAGGAAGGAAGAAGGAAGGAAGGAAGGAAGGAAGGAAGGAAGGAAGGAAGGAAGGAAGGAAGGAAGGAAGGAAATCTGAGGCCTATGAGATAAGATGATTGAGGAGTTCTTGGAATGGTTTATGGATCAAGAACTCCATTCCTCAGTCTCCAGAGCTAATCCCATTATGTCACAAAGAAATTTACCTCAAGAAAAAGCAGCCTTTCAGATTACTTAGAAACTTTTCTTTAAAGAAAAATGTCATGGAGGAACTAACATCTTAAACTTCCTAATCCATTTAAAATATACAGATTTCAGAAGTACCACCCAAATGTCCCTTTACATCCTAATCCTCCTGTAATTAAACTTACTTTTCTTTAAGCAACAGCATTTAAACTCTAAATCGTAGGATCTGAAGACAGTTTTTTCAAATCCTGTGTCTTATCCATTTTACTGTTTTCCTATTTTGATTACTGGTATTGTAACTATATTGTCTCCTACTGAGTTGTTTTTTTCACAGAAAATATGTAGTATTTCTGCTATATTGTGGATTTTAATAGGCTTTTGTGGGCTGGCCTGCAAACCTAACCACCCAGTTAGAGGATTGCCATTTCATTTTTTCAGGTAACACAATATTTACTGGACCAATCTTTTGTAATGGATGAAGAAAGTCTCTATGAATCCTCTCTACGAATAGAACCCAAATTACCAACCTGAAGAGCAGACCAGGGAACTGCAGCTAAAGTGTATACATTCTATATGATAATGTACATACTTGTTTTGTTTCTCTTGGATACCCTAGATTTTCTTCTCAGTATGTGCTTCTCAAATGAAATAAAATCATTATTGTTCTTAGATTATTATAGTAGGACTGGAATACAAATTTCTGCATTGTTTAAGATTCCACAACCCAACACTGTTTCCTGCAGTGCCTATTTCTTTTGAACGCCTGTATTATTCTGTTCTTTTATTCTTATGCTTCCTCCTCAAAAGAGGAAAAATGAACCAATGTATAAGAAGCCCTACGCACCAATAATTGCTTCCTTTTTCCCCAGCCCAGATCCCTGTGGTTCTGATGGGTTAGCAATTCAGGCGCTTACCAGCATATTTTACATAGTTGTTATAAAGGGGAAAATACATGTATACATATATACACGCCTTTTGAAGTCAAGTCATTTTAATAAATATATTCCTGCTGGCAGTGATGTAATTTCAAAAGCAAACTTCTGCAAAAAAAAAACTGTTATAAAGAATCTCATCACTAAATAATCTTGATGGAACAGAGTAGTATAAGCTAGAATTCATCATACTTTAAGAAGACCGCTATCTCATCTGATGCCATATCACTCATTGTTCTATTAATATATGATAGCATGAATCACAGTTTAAATAAACTGAATGAGGTTTCTATACCTTTGTGAGGAAAATTACCATTGGTGTAACTTAAACAATCCATGACTTTTGTAGATTGCTGCCCAGAGTTCATTTATAGTAGGGAACACACACACACACACAAAAATGTAACTTTTAATATTTCAGCTACATAACAATCATTACAGGCTTATGTTGAGATGCTATAAAACTGTATACCTTGTGATAATCAGTATCATAATGTAGAATTAGAGAAACAATTACCAAGTGTTTTTATTGCATATACTGTAATCCTGTCTAAATATCTTCTAGCAGGAATATAGTAATGTAGTGCTTATTCTGTGAATACTACCATGTATTTTTTACATTGTACAGTATATAAAACACAGTTTAATTTCAAAGTGGCAGGCATGTTCCACTAAAACAAACAGAAGACTTTTGCTGTAAGCAATACCTAGTGGTATGAGAATTCTATTTCAAGTCCTAAAATATTTCAACTTACAGCTTGTTTGGAAAAAAGCAAAATTTCCATTTTTGTAAAAATATATGTTTCCTGATTACCTCTTGCTAATAAATCTATTCTATCTCAGGGTGAACAATGAGTTTAGACATGTTTATCCTGGACTTTTTCTTTCCCATTCAGTTCAACTCAATCTTTCTTTAATACCTTCTATGAGCCTGGCGATGTGCAAGGTACTGTGAGGTACACCAAGCATAGGACACTGTTCCTTTCCTGAAAGAGTTCTCAGTCTTGCTGGGGAAATGAGTCATACACAAATAATAAATAATTAAATAAATAAATAAAAGGGCAGTAGTGATGTGCATCTGCTGTAAGCCAGAGTAGTTGACACCTTATTTTGCTAAGTGTTAGCTACCCTCCTAAAAGATACTGGCAGCTAAACAGAGAAGAGGAGTCAGGCTAGCTTATAAGTAGTCCTCCTTGGAACTTAGGCAAATGAACACAGAAAACAGACAATCTGGCAACCAAATTAGGAGCCCAAAGTACTATTAGCGTACCAAGAGCCCAGGAAATATGGACACCAAGACAACTGTTGCAATGACCTGTAAAGTATTTTTTTCATTCATTCATTCAATAAATATTTGTTGAAAGCATACTACAAGCAAGGTGCTGTCCCAGGTGCCCAGGGGGTCAAGAGAGGTACAAAGAAGAACACACTTTCCATACCCTCATTGAACACTCACAACAGCAGAGGAGATAAGACATTTATACAAACAAATTTAATTAAAGGAAGCCTGTGATAAGATCCAGCTATATGACAGTCAGTCAATAAACAAACATTTATTAGGTGCTTACTATGTGACATACTGTGCTAAGCACTGGTGATGCAAAGAAAGAAGAAAAAAACAATCCCTGCCTTCAAGAAGCATACATTCTATTGGGAGGGACAACATGTATACACACAGTAGACAAAGGAATATCAAGCTTTTCTGACTAAGGTGATCAGCAATTATATCTAATACAAGCTGATCTCCCTGCTAAAGAAGGTAAAAGGACTTCTTTTTCAATTCTCTTTGCTATAGCTTATTAGAAAGTATTAATGGTCTTGAAATAGGTTAGAAGGAATCATCCAGGAAGGAAGCCAGAAAGAAAAAGACTCAAAGGGAAGAGAAGGAAATTACTGTCGAATAGCATTAACAAAAATAATGCATTCAGACCATAGTATGAGATAACCTAGCAATATTCCTCCCTGGTCAGGACACATCTAAAGTATTTGTGTCCAATTCTGGCCACTATACTTTAAAAGAAATATTGACTGACTAGTGGGTATCCAGAAAACAGTGACCAAAAATAATGCGGGGTCTAAAAATTATAAAATATAAGGAACAGTTGAACCAAATGGTTTAGCCTGGAGAAGAGAAATCTAAGGGGAGATATGATGCTATCTTCAAATATTTAGAGCAATGTGGACATAGAAGATGAAGCATATTTTGTTCTTTGTTGCTCCAAAGAAATAGGATCAGTGGCAGAAAGTTACATAAAGGCAGATTTAGGTTCACTATAAATATCCTTTGACTAAAAGTCAGTCCCTAATAGATAAGTGATCAAATTATATGAACCAAGAACTTTCAAAAGAATTGCAAACCATCAATAATCATATAAAATTGCTCCAAAAACCTAATAAGGGAAATGAAAATTAAAACAATTCTGATGTTTCACCTGTCACCCATCAAATTGGCAGTTGATTAAAAAGAAAGAAAAATAGTCAATGTTGGAGGGGCAGTGGGAAGATAGGCACACTACCTAGTTGTTGGTGGAGTTATGAATTGGTCCAACAGGTCTGGAAAACAATTTGGAATTATGCAAGAAAGTTACTAAACTGTTCATATCTTTTTGACCCAGCAATATCACTTTTGGACATGTATTCTCAAGGAGGTCATTGATAAAATGGTCCCATCTAAATATTTATGCTTTGTTACTAGCAAAAAAGAAAAACTATAAACAATGTGGATAACCACCACTTTGGGAATACTTGTAGAAACTGTGCTAATATAACATGTGCGGGATGTGGGAGTATAGTGAAATATTATTGTGTCACAAGAAAGAAGAATTCAGAAAAACATGAGACTTGTATGAAGTGATTTAGAGAAAAGAAATTGGAACTAGGAAAACAATTTACCCAATGACTACAATAATGTAAATGAAAACAACACTAATAGGTGGCTGGACTCAGATTAAATTCAGTTATTATTGGTTCCAGAGAATAGATGATGTAACATGCCTTCCTCCTCTTGGTAGAGTGTGAGGAGACTATGAATGTCAGATGTTGCAAACCCTGACAGAGTGGTCACTATGTCAGTGTTTTTTTTTTAACATTTTCTTTGTTACAAGGGAACATTTCATTGTGTGTATATGTGAAGGGAGGGCTGTACTGGAAAATGATTGTGGTGTAAAAACTAAAAATAAAAACAAAAACAAAAGATATCAATAAAACTTTAAATAAAAAAAGAAGAATGTCCTACTAATTAGAGATGTCCAGAAACATAGGCCAAGCTACCTTATGAAGTAGTGAGCTCTCTAGTCACTGAAAGGAAGCAGAGGTTGGTTGACCATCTGTCATGGGTGCTATGCCAGGGATTCTTGTATTGAGTAATTAGACTAGAAAATCTCTCAGGTCCCAACCAAAAAGATCAGCAGAATACTTTGTTTTATAGAATAAATCATATCTAAACATACTTTAAATGCTGGACATTTAAATGTTAAATGCTAATCGTTACAATGTTTTACCATTTGAATGTTCACCTGTGCGCGAGTCTCAGGGCTAATTTTAGGGGCTAAAAACACTAGGCCCAGGCTACCAGTGTTGTATCAGGACTTTGGAGGGGAAAGTGTCCTACATACTTATTTTTGGAATGTGGGAGGAGCCTTTTTGTCAACCCAACTCAGAAGTGAGAGACTAAAAATCTTTCTCTCTTAGGGTAGTATAAGACTTCCCTCTATCTCTATATTTCAGAAAGTAATCACTGGTAATTTGATTAATCCTGCACAGCTACCCCAAGGAGAATCACAGTGGATTGAGAGTCAGTGACAGAGATGCCAAAATGTGTTTCCAAGCTCTGAACCTATGAGAATCACTAATATAAAATAAGAGATGTACCATCCAAGTGAAAGAATGAGAACATCAGACTGAAAAATTACTGAGTCAATATGAAATTAAGAGAGAGACTTACTTTAAAGGTACAAGGAAATGTGTTCCTGACCGCTGAAAACTTCTTATTGTGAGGTTTAGGGCTATAAGAACCATGGTACAAGAGAAGACTTTTTAAAAACAGACATCCAAAGCTGTGTTTTTAAGCTGTGGACATGGACAGAGATTTTGGAGCTGGAAAGCTAACTCCCTGGGAAAAGGAATAAGTTCTGGGAGTTAAGGAAAACTTCAAGAGGTATGAGTTGCAAGCTTAATGAATCAGGATGGTGGAAAAAACCACAGATCTGAAACTATAATAAGGAACAGCAACCAGAAATATCTGCTGAGAAATACCAGATGTCTGAGGTTTAGGGAAAGCAACATTATGCAACCAGAGAACACCAATGCAGACAAGAAACCTCTGGCTACATTCTGCTGGAACTATCCCAAGGCATTATTGTTCCCTTTAACTAGTGAATTGCAGTGTTCATGCTTTGAGCCTTGTGAACCTCTAGGCTTATAAGGGGTGACAATGAATATACCTCCAGGTTGAAGGGGACTGGGGCAAAATAAATATTAGATACTGAAATCCTCAAATTATCTGGAAGAGCACAAATAGCCAAGAAAGCAGAAGGCCTCTCAGGTATAATTGAACCTTTTGAATCAGCTCATTCAAGTCTTCCCAGGTTTCTCTGAAACTATCTGCTTCATAAACCCTATTATCACAATAGTATTCCATCACATTCATATACATAACTTGTTCAACCATTCCCTAACTGGTGAGTACCTAAGTTTCTAAATTCTTCTGGAGACTGATCTTTCTTATGTAAGATATCTGTGAAGATTGTAGATTTGTGATTGGAAAGGAGTCAAGCTTCTCATGAACCACATCCAAAATGACGAAAGAGACTCTTTAAAAATTGCTAAAAAAAAAAAATTAGAAAATTTAAAGTCACCAAAAAAAGCAAATCATAGAATAGCTCTGATGTTTCAACATATCTACGATGTCATCAATGTGGACCATTATTCCAATAGTAGACATGAGTGGTATCACACTCAAATAGAAACAGGGACCACTAAACCAAACATAAGGATACCTGAATGTCACATATTGATTTACTTTAAAATGCAATCTCATCTACACTGTATTTTTATTTATTTTGTTAAATATTTCCCAATTACATTTTAATGTGGTTTAGGCTTCACTTGGGAGACAAGTCAGTGGGCTGTGTGTTTCTATAACTCCCGTGTAGATCACAACCCATTCACCCTTTGTAATTCTATGTGATTCTTGTTCATGTTCTTCCACAAACCTTCCACCAGGAGTTTATCCAACATACTGAGGACCTTTCTCCAGGTTTCTCAACATTACATGAGTACCAGTACATCATATAGTCTATCCCTTTCCTGTTATCCCTTCTTTTCACTCTTCTATACAACGTATCCATCTCATTTTCTGATCATACATTTCTTTGAAAACATCTTTTCCACTAAATCTTATTTGCAATTCTTTGTTGGCAATGCAGTGCAGCATACATATATTCATGATGCAACTTTTCATTGCCCTTTTAATGAGTCATAATTTTTATTCTTCTGATACAATTTGTTTTTAATTATAAACTAAGAGAAACATGGGCAAGGCACCAGAAAACATGCATACCAAATATGAGCAGAAGCAATATCCAGAGACACAACTCACAATTTTTCCATTTGAGGCAAATGGTACTAAATAGTCCCTCAAATCCGTTTTACTAGATAAATTCAAGTGGAGACAGGATATCTTGCAACAGCATGAAGGTGCTCCTGGGGAGACTGTAGAAGCAAGGTAAAGGAAACAGGGAAGTGTGGGACCACCCAGGAATGTGATGGAATGGAAGGGAACATGGCACCTGTTTCTACTATGTGCTATGTCCATACTTAAAACGTACTGCCTGAAGGGCTCCAAGTACTATGTT